AGTCGATATTTGTTTAGGATAATTAACTGTTTACATCATTTCAATACTTTCGTGACAATATACACGTGAACACGAAATCTATTTATATATATGTATGTGCTTATAATGTTAATACGAAACATAGTATGTTTATTATTCTTTAAAAGCAAATTAAATGATTAATATGTTTTTATTTTCTTTTGTTGAATATTACTTTAAACAATGATAAGTGCAAAAGTTAATCTATAACAATAATGAAGTCATAATTTTACATGTTGTATATGTACCAATATTGTGACTTGGTTAGGTTTTTATTAAAAGTGGACACCCGCTCTCTAAATCAGATTTTAGTGTCGATTCAAAGTAAGAATCATCTTTTGGTGACTTTAGTTTAGAATCGTATTGTGAATAAAAGTTATGTTCTTACAAAAAGAATACTTTGTTTCTATTAATTTATTATCATTTGTTTCAGGATGGCGCGAGTCTCTTCTCTCTCTGCCAAAGAAATGGCTGAGCACGCAGATCTCTGGGACAGAGGACGACGAATGTCCGGTTAGTTTGAGACCCTAAAATATAAAGATTCTTAAAACATTATTAATACATCTTTGTTGGCCACGATAGTGGTACAAGGATGGAGATATTTTTTAAGAATTGCAGAATCACCCATGCACTTTGTAGAAGTGAATAGCTGTATTCCTCGCACCACCAAAATGTAGGTGTGTATACGTAGAATGCGACTGACTCAAGAGTCTCTACTATCTTAGAGCCCTTGGGATTTTACCAATCCCACCAACATAATCTAGAATTCACATCTTTCAGACTATTATAACGCAGTATAAGCTAAGTGGTTCTCAAATTCTTTTATATTCAGGATTATAGAATTGCGAAGAATAAGGTGAGGTGCTTGCTGCTAGGCCGGATGCCCCTGTGTTGAGGTTGCTATAGGTTTAATTTTAATATCGCGTACGACTCTTTTAAACGCTAATCCAGTACCACATGGAATACTCTAGACCTCTGGGCAGGAGCTCTCTTATTGGAGGATACCAGCTCAAGACAGAGCGGCTCGAATCGTCGACGAGCTGATTTCTGATCGGCTTGATCCTTTGGCGGTACATAGAGTTGAGGGGAATGTTCCGAAGAACTTTTCTTCGGTTAATATATTTGGCTTAGTTTTAGTTAAACCACGCAACACCACTTTATGGGAATAGCTGCCATACCAGGTATTGCCGAACCGTTAATAATTAGGGGCCTTAAAGGCCGGCAACGCACTTGCAAAACTCCTGGTCTTCCATAATATGTCCATGTGCGGCAGTAACACTTCGGTAACTTTAATTGACCAGCTTGCCCGTTTGCCAAAAAATAATTTACTAACATTGCTAACAGATTATTCTATTAAGAAAAAAAATTTATATATAGGTATACCATTTTATAGTATTTGATCTGAAATAAATGTAGTATAATTTTCAACACTCCGATATTTGAATCATATAGAGACCTCCTGGCACAAGTCAGGGATATTTTGAAGCCTAACAATGTTTATGGTGCTGCAGGCTACGCGGTCAGCCACCAACTATATTCTAAGATCGTAGGTACGAATCCTAGCTGTGCAATTTATGGTTACAATTTTGTTTATGTACGCATTTAACATTTGTTCGAACGGTATAATCGTAAAACTGGAATGCCTAAGATCCAAAAGATCTACCAGATACTATCCACTTGACATGTGTCAGACACAAAAGGCTCACCAACTTGCTTATTAGAAAAAACAAATGAGCACGAAAGATGTAGAACTCTCTCTGATTAGTCTCTCAGTCTGAAGCCCAATCTTAAAATTTTGCAGCGCCATGATTTAAGAGGCAGCACGGTATTCCGTTTCTGCTTCCCTTTCTCTGGAGTTTAGTATTAAATATCCATAGTTAGTTTCAAATGTTTTCTGAACCCCACGACTTAGTCACAGGGAACTTATAATCCCGTCGCTCTGATTCGGATTCGAATGGAAACAATATACATCTTGAGTTGGTCAACACAGTAGGCTTATTATCATTGTGTATGTATGTATATCAATGATCAATAACAGACCAAGGTATCTGCAGTGTTACATTGTTTTACATACTTTTAAACTTTATGGGTTGACATTGTTTAGAACTGAATAATAGACCAACTTTCTGACTGTTTTTATTTCTCACTGCAGCAGGTAACGGTTGTGAAACTGCCGGTGCCAGAGTTACAGGCGACTATCAACGCCTACCTGGATTTCACTTCGGTGCTTCTCAGTCCCCAGCAGCAGGAGAATACAAAGGAGTTGGCTAAGAAGTTCTGCGAAGATGTGGGGCCAAAGTTGCAGAATATACTGCAGCAAATGCAGAAGGATAAAGTCAATTGGGTGGGTAATTGCGAATTTTAAGTATATCATAATTTGCTTTTGATCTACCATTATAGACAGTAATATACAGATATAGAATGAAGACTTGGAATTGTATAGTATTTTATTACTTCGTTATAATTTTTTAATGTTTGTTGGATCCATTTATTTTATATTTGTTGTAATCAAAAATATTTCTCGTTAAATCAAGAAAATTTGGATTGAAAATTGTATTGTACAAAAATAAGCAATAAGACAAGAAGTTGTCTTCAAATAATGAAGCGTATTTCGCGAAGCATAATAACGAAATATAACACCAATCAGTCTCCGACATCAAGATGGCAGATTACATTTTATTGCGTTATGTCGAACGATAAAAATGCCATTACCCTAAATTTAAATTCAAAGCACTTCTCCGTTTCTTATCAGGCGAATGACGAAGTTTCCCTTCAGTAACTCATAACAATTGCATTACGCGCCTTGTTTCCGCCTCAAACAAAACAAACATGCCTAACAATAAGCGCGACTTCGGTTTAAAATGTTCTCAATATTTTACCGCCTATTCTTCGCTATTTGTTTTCCATTTAGTGGGATAAATACTTCTTTAACAACAAGTGTTGTACCTGATAGAACTCCTATTTTTGCAAATATTCTACAGTCTATTGACGCTGCTAAAAGTGATGAGCATTTATATAACGTGACTCTACAATTTTTAAAAGATTTGTGCCAGTGTTTAAACGAGAATTTTAAAGGAGGAAATTCATTTGATAGAACATCGAACGTTTTAATCTGGAATGATGAGAATCCATTATATAAAAAGGTAAATAACACCACTTGTATACAACTACAAAAGCAGATTTCTCAGAAAATAGATTGGATTGATCTATACGAAGCGCGCTATAGGCAAGAAAATGACAGAAGACAGACATATTTCACAGACCAGTCAAACAATTCGTTCAGTTATGATGTAGAAAAAATACTTTATCAAACACTTATAGATAGTAAGGATATTCACAACTATTCAATCCATAAATATAGTTTACTGCGTAGGAAGACATTTTTAGAAAACCCTACACATAATGTAATCGTGATTTTTACGTTTCAAACGAAAAATAACGACCAGAAAAATATTCACCTAGATGAAAGTGATATTAAAAAGTTAATATACATCAACAGTTCCATAGCGATTGACGTAATTGATACGAAATATGAAAAATCATTTGAAGAAAATGCAAACACCAAATCCGATTCAATAAGCCTGTGCAATCTGTATTCAATTTACAATTTTTTGGCATTACATCATAAAAATAACAAAACACATGTATTTAAAGTATTTCGGAAATATCAATCAGTTAAAATATATTTGGATGTCATAACAGACCATGTTCATGGTGATTTAACTACGATGTGTTGTGCCAATGGTTCCCTTGCAACAAGCTGCAAGGAACGAATATCGATTCAAAATACTAACATCGAGAAATATGCTTTAAAGGTCAGTGCTTTTAGAAACACTTTACATAAAATTAAATCATTGGTAAAGTTTTATACTGAAAATAGTGAGTTGAATGCTTCTGAAATGGATATAAATGAGTGTGATAAAATGAAAAACGATGACAATGTTTTACAAAACGATGATTTGGTTCAAGAGTTTTTTCCAAAACTAGAAACTAACCATACTCACATCAAAAAAACGAAAACTGGACAGATATGGAAAAGTTACAACAGCGCTTATAGCTCTATACAAAATAGACAGAAAAGAAAGAAACTATCAAAACGACATTCTACAGAAGTAGTAAGTCTAGCTCCAATTCCTAACGTTTCATACATAAATAAAATAGATAACAATATAACTAGTTTAATTAGAAGTACCGTATCCGTAATAACAACGGAAGTACAATTAAGTCAGTCTAAAGAATTGACTAAACCAATTGTTTTAGAATCGAATCCGATGGTAAAAAGTGAAAAAATAATAGATATAACAAGTAACCAACAAGCCAAAATTACTTTTCCTGACACTGCTTTGCCAAAAAGTAACTTTAATGGAATGGCTTCAAATGACACTAGTTCATTTACGCTACCTTTGGCAAACAATACTCTTAATCAGCGAGATTTAACTACCCCAATCCTAAGAGATTATGAAGAAAACAATCAGACAAATTTTGCAGATAGCAATAGTAATTTTACTATTCCACTTTCATTGACCCAAAATAATTTTAGTATTGGTCCAAGTTTAAGTTTCGAAAAACATGTTGCTACATTGAAAACAATTTATGAAAACGATGTAAGTAAAGATTTTAGTAATTTCGAAAATCCAAAGATACCAATTACAACTCAAAATATACTTAGTAACACACAACGTTCCTCGACATCTGGCTATGACTCCCAAGAAAAATATCAAACTAATTTAATAGACCAAAGTACCAGTAATAATGACAGTTTTATATCCACGACAACCATTGGCAGTTTCGAAAAAAATCAGACGCATACTTTACCTTTGAACCCTCAAACTGAAACTTATGTATTCAAGTCTACTCCTGACTATTTGAGTAACCGACAAAGCGTCACGATGACGACATTTAGAGATTTTAGTTTAAGAAAATTGGGTACAAATTTGAAAGAAGAATACTTTTCTAATGGTCAAAATCTATCAGTAAGTGAGATGTCAACCCCTACACAAGTTTATTTAATTAATGAACATAAATTTATATTGCCGACATCAAGCAATGATTTACAACACAATAATCAGACATATGTACCTGCGAGTCTTCAATTTAGAGGAAGTAACGATTTGAGTAGTCGCAATGTACCGCCTTCTACTCAAAATAACTTAGGTGCTAGATTCAATGAAACGACATTAAAAATGTATATGCAAGGAAAATATCAAACGAATTTCAAAGATTTGAGTAGGCAACCAGCATACGATGTTACTAAAAACGATTTAACTAGTAGAAAAAGTTTAAGAGGAAATTATGATACATATAGAACACCTAATAGCCAGACAAATAAAAACAACTATATAAAAAGTCCAAATATATCGACGTCGACTCAAAGCATCTTTAAAAATAGCCTAGGCCCAGTTAATATAGACAATTTTCAATATAATGAAGATATAATATCTTTGAAGAATGTTAATAATGACTTCACTCTGTCAACTATTTCTCAATACAATATTAGTAATGGTCAAAGATTAGTTACTACGACGAGTGATGAAAATATTCAAGAAAATAATTCTGAACTGAATTATATTTCAAACCAAAGTTTTAGTAGCACTAAAAGCAGTAGTAACCAAAATACAACGACCTTCCAACAGTTGCCTTCTACTCAAAATAATTTACGTGCTTTAAATGAAACAACATTAAAAATTTATATTCAAGAAAAATATCAAACGAATCTTAAGGACATAAGTAAGGATTTCAGTAGCCAACCTGCTTACGGTGTTACTAAAAAGTATTTAACTGGTAGACAAAGTTTAAAATTAGCGTCTTTTAATGACAGTTTCAGAGGAAATTATGGTACATATAAAACAGCCAATAGTCAGCCAAATAAATACTACCATAAAAAAGGTCTAAATACTTCGACTCAAAGCATGTTTCAAAATAGCCAAAGGGCAGCTATTAGAGACAATTTTAAATATAATGAAGATATATCTTTGAAGACTGTTAAAAATTACTTATCTCCGTCAACTATTACTCATTACAATATTAGTAATGGTCAAAGTTTAGATACTACGGCGAGTGAAAAAAATGTTCAAGATAAAAGTACTGTACAAGATAATTTGCGTATTCAAGAAATTTTAATTACAACGACACCAATTCAATCTAGTCAGCAAAGACTAATAACAACTATTAAAGGTAGTAAAAAGAAAAGTACGCAAGATAATTGCACTGCGATCAATAATTTTATTGGTCAACAAATTCTGACTTTAGCTACACCTTATAACAAATTTAAAGAAAAGGTAACGGTGCCAGAAACTCATTATCATCCAAGTTTAACAACACCTGTAATCCAAGATAATTTTCAAGAAAACAATCAGAAAACATTTAAAGGCGAAAAAACTCATGCTCATGCAACCCACCACCAACCCACTCAAAGTTATTTTAGTAAAGGACATAATTTTAGTTCTACGACCTTTAGATATAACAACATACTCCTGCAGATGAATGGTGAAAATAATAATGATTTTACAACATCAACACCATCAACCTACAAAGGAAACAAAAGTTTTCCGTTACGAAAAACGCAGCAGTTAACAGGGTTAACAATAAAAAACAATGATAATAACAAATCTGATCTGTTATGGAAAAATAAAATTCCAAATTTACCACCAGATTCAACTTACGACATGACCACATCAAGCAATGATTTACAATACAGTCATCAGACATATGTACCTGTGAATCTTCAATTTAGAGGAAGTAACGATTTGAGTAGTCGAAATGTATCGCCTTCTACTCAAAATAATTTACGTGCTAGATTAAATGAAACAAAATTAAAAAATTATAAGCAAGAACAATATCAAACGAATCTTAAGGACAAAAGTAAGGGTTTCAGAAGGCAACCTGCATACAGTGATACTAAAACCAAGTTAAAACAAAGTTTAAAATTAGCGTCTTTTAATGACAGTTTCAGAGGAAATTATGATACATATAGGCAGCCAAATAAAAACAACCATAAAAACAGTCTAAACATACCGAATTCGTCTCAAAGCATGTTTGAAAATAGCCAAAGCCCAGATATTAGAGAAAATTATGAATATAATGAAGATAACGCTTTGAAGAATGTTAAAAATGACAAAACTCCGTCAACTATTACTCATAACAACATTAGTAATGGTCAAAGTCTAGATACTACGACTGATAAAAATCTGAGTGATAAAAATATTCAAGAAAACAATACTGAACTGAATTATATCTTAAACCGAAGATTTATTAGCACTGAAAGTAGAAATCACCAAAATACAACTACAACTGTATCCAAAGATGAATTTCAAATACTTAATACAGCACTACTATACCTTAAAGATCAACCAATTTCAATTTCAGAGACCTTAAAAAATATTCAAGATAAAAGTACTGTACAAGATAATCTTCGGATTAAAAAAAAATTAGTTACAACGACACCAACTCAATCTAGTCAACAAAGCCTAATAACAACTATTAAAGGTAGTAAAAAGAAAAGTACGCATGAAAGTAGAACTGAGATCAATAATTTTACTGGTCAACAAATTCTGAGTTTAGCTTCACCTTATAATACATTTAAAGAAAAGGTAACGGTTCAAAAAACTCATTATCATCCAAGTTTAACTACACCTGTAATCCGAGATAATTGGCAAGAAAGCAATCAGAGATTTAAAGGTGAAAAAACTCATGCTCATACAACCCACCACCAACTCACTCATAGTTATTTTAGTAAAGGACATAATTTTAGTTCTACGACATTTAGATATGATAACATACTAGTGCAGATGAATGTTGAAAATAATAATGAATTTGCAACATCAGCACCATCATCGTACAAAGGGAACAAAAAACTTTTACGAAAAACGCAGAAGTCAACAGGATTAACAATCAATAACAATGCTAAAAACAACTCTGATCCGTTATGGAAAAATAAAATACCTAATTTACCACCAGATTCAACTTACAACATTTACATAAAAAATCCAACAGAATTAAGAAAAGTGAAACATACACTAACAACACCAGAAAGCGACATTATAATTAACACTAAAAAGCCACAGTTATTGGTGACCCAGTTTAATATTTCACAACAAAATGTTGGTAAGTTTAAAAATGTAGGTAGCAACTATTTTGATAATACAACATCGACATCTAACATCTCCCTAAAATCGTCTGATATACAATTTCAAGAAAAGGCCTTGATCTCTACAATTGTTCCAAGCTTATTCAAAACTGTACTGAATAAGGACATCGCAAATAGAAGTGTTCGTAAATCGAATATTGCAGCACCTAACAATTCATCGGCATATAATGTAAACTTAAAACATAGCAGCAAAAATAATCAAACTCTAATACTGCAAGACAACTTACAATATATGATAAGTAATAATATTACAAACAAAACTTTGACAATCTTTCCCACCGACATGGAAACAAATATTGAAATGAACGTATCAAAATCAAAAAAATTGCCATTAGGTATTTTTAATACGTATATTACTTCGGCAGTCGACTACACACATATTGAAGACAAAATAATACAAAAAAATCTTAAATTTGCTAATAATCTAATCTTGGCTAAAACAATAACGCCAAATATTCTCAATGAGTATCTAAAACCAACTAAAATATTGAGTAACAATTATTTTAAATCAATAAAAGAAAAAGGAAGGATTGATGAAATTAAAGACGCCTTCACGGATTTAGCATCCAATACTATTTCTCCATTATGGACAGTGACAAAGAGTTTAAATAGACTTCCGAAATTGAAAAAGGCAACTAAACATTCTAGTACATATGTTACAATAAAAAAATATTATCTCGATAATATATATCGCTCGTATATATCTCGGTTATATAGCGATGCCAGAGAAATTGCAAATTACACTATGGGATATAATGGCAGTAACCATTTAAGTTCTACTAAGCAAACAAAATCTATGATTAAGAATAATATTGAAGGAATAACAAAAACTTCCCCAAGACCATTTGAATATAATCAAACAGATAAAATAGCTACTCATAATCTAAAATCTGCGGTTACAGACTACAACGTTAATAAATCTAAGTCTGTAGCTACCTTGAGACGTCAGAAAGATTATTCGACGACCTTAGGTAATATAAGAAAACTGGAAAATTCTAGCGTGAAGGCTGTAACTAGCGCTATCTCTACACCATATAGGAACAATTTAAATAGAACAAGGATGTTAAACCTTTCATATACCACCACAAAAATCCCTGGAAAATTAACTTATAATATGAACCGAAACTCTTATACTGCTATTACAACACCTATGGCTTATCATTACGAAAATAATAAAGGTCCACCAACGGCAAAGATCAACTTAGGAAACGCTACTCGAAAAATTTATAAAGAAATTCAAGTCAAAGACACGAAAAATATTAAAAATGAAATAAAGATGCTGATAGCTACACGCCCACTCACAAATAATGTTACCATTGATGATTCAACACTATCGGATTCTAATATGAACTTTGAATTACATTCAGGGAAGCAATTAAACAGCTCCAATAAATTTGTATTTTTAAAGATTGACAAAAGTACCACAGTATCAGATTTTACGAGTAAAAATTTTACCATACAAAGCCCTACTTCTAGAGATTGGAATAATTCTAGTAGCCCAAGTGTACAAGAAATTGATACGACCACATTAGAAAGTTTAAAATCCGAACCGCATCAAGGCCAATTAAATATCACTCAAAGCGTTATATTACACAACAGATTTAGACACGGGAAATCGAAAAACAATCGGGCGATTACTGCTTCGTCATCTAATTCATTGAAGCAATGGACAACACTTTTACCGCTAACCGAACAAAAAATTAAGCTTTGGTCTGTAAAAACATTATCTCCAAAACTATTAACTGATGTACAGAATGGATTACTATTATTAAATCACAGTTATTCTCATAATACAACACAACCAGCGCAAAATTATGTTGAAAAAGCAACCACGAGTGCCATAAAATCTCAAAATTCTGAATTTACAAATGTTATAAAACCTTCTATAGCTCTCTTTACAACACAAGTTAGTGAAGAAATACAAACAGGACAAAATGTATTAAGAGGTGTAATTGAAAATGATAAGTATGTAATTTTTAATAATACAGTTCCAACAACTAATGTAATAGACCACAGCAAATTCACAGTACATCAAAATTACATGAAGACAAGTACAGAGATGTCAATATTTAGCAAATATCGCAAAGAAAATGATGTCCGATTTGCAAAAAGAGATAATTATTTTACGACGGATCTAAGAAGCAAAACTGCTAAGTACTCTGATGCTATAGGTAAAACTAAAAAGTCAATGAATCTAACATCTGAAAATATCATGAACACATCAAAGAAGATTTTATACAACAAAAACCCATTAGACATAACAACACCGTTATTACCAGAAAGAATAATCAATGTCCAAAATACCACGACAATGTTATCATTCATAACTAAAGTCGATAACGGAGGCACAAATGAATACAATAACTCAAACACAATGAATTATAATACTGATAATGTTTCTTTATTATCAAAACAATTTAATAAAAAATTCCTAAAGTTCAATGTTAATCCTATAAGAATTTACAATGACCTGATAAAGAAATCAATTAGAACAACGTCGCCTGTAAATATCATAGAGTTGAAAGTTAGCATGCCGACGGAGGTTGTAGCAACAAGTCAAAGGAAAAGTGAAAGGTCGGAAATAAAAGAAATAGAATTGGATATAGACCAAAATGTAACTAAAACGAAGGATTTACCAGTGCAGACACCTACAGAGACTTTCTTAAAAACAACAAATTTCATTAATCCAATCAAACAAAATAACACAACTTTCACTAGACAGTATCTGTTTAACAATAGATATACAATAGGACTGGATTCAGAAAATATGAATTTGCTAGGAACTACGACCCTTAAAGCAGAAAACACAAAAACGTTTGATGATCATCTAAGTATTTTGAAACATCATTTTGGATTTGATAATATTACTTCAATGCAAAATAAAACCCTCAACACTCTGCTGTTAGGCCGTTATAAAATAATAAGAACTAGTACTACAAGTTATGAAAACAAAGCTACACAAACATTCCATTTACAAAACCGATCAAGGTCTCCATTACAAAATATACGCAAGGAGCAAAATGTAACAAATAACAATAAACCCCAAACAAAATACTGTTCAGATGTTTATAAAGCAGTGTACTTACAGAACATTTACCTAAATATTCCTATATTAGTAGCTAATCATAATGACATAAATGTATGTAACTTCTCTTATAATATTGTTGATAACACTCATAGTAATTTCACAACTAAACAGTTGAATTTCAGCCACATCATCCCTAAAAACAAACTTTCCGATTACTTGAAAAATATATCGACACTCATATCAAGTAAAACCATAGACCAGACATATTCCTCTGAAAAGGATACACAGAATGTGTTTAAAGAAGCATTTAAATTTAAGCAAATTAATCCAAAGACAGAGATAATATTAACACAAACATCGTGGCCTATGACCACTGAAAATAAAAATGTCGCATACTTAAAAACGAATCCAAATATTAACTTATTACCAACTGAAAGAAAAATTCCCAACATTGCAACTAAAAAAAATGAAAGCGCGATTAAGCCTGCTAAAGTTTCACTCGACACAGATTTTACTACCGCCCTATACTCTTCCACGACTAAAACATTAACTACGTCTTCTTTCGTAAATGTTGTAAAAGCAATCACACCGCCTTTAAAAGTTAAGAAAATTAGATATAACACTTACAAACCCAAGACTGAAGAAGATTTTGACTCAACAATATTAAAACTTAACAAAAAAAAGTTTTCGACTATAAATACTGTACAGAAAGCGGTAACCAAGTCTGATTATCGATTACTAAGCAGTACTACATATAAAGAAAAGATAACAAGTAACAAGAAAAATAAACATTTAAATCATCTGAAATATAGCGGAGCACCCAAAGGGCCAGTCAAAGACATGAGAAAAATAATTGTTCATACAAAAAGTGTTATGGATCCTTTAGCTAAAACGAATCTCTACCCCGTTCAACGAATCCCATCAACAAGCCAGAGGAAAGTAATGAAAAGAATTCGTCTGCATAAGAATAAGGAACTACTGGCAATGGACACTAATGATTTCTTCTCTCGAAGACATAACGAGGTTCCTGAATCAAGAGGAAAGTCACATGGTATTTTAAGAAAAGGTTTCTTTACCCCCAAACCAAAGGAATACATTATACGCCCGACATTTAAGATGATAGATAAGCCTCAAAGTTTCAGACCCAAACCAATAATAATTGAAAGTGATAGTTTTTATAAGAATCACTTTCCGCGTAACCGGGGTAAAAGTTTATCGCTAATAGAACAGGTTGACTATTTCCGAGATACGATTAAAGAACCTCAAACAGTTTTAGAGCGACCCGCGTATTTACCTCCACATACAAAACCGAAGTTCTTGAGGGACCGGATTGATTCCATTAGGAATTATGTTCACAATTCTGAGTATCTAAGGGCTTCTGATTCTGCCGGAGAGATCGATAGATATGCAGTTTTTAGGGAACCCGAGTTCAATTTCAGAAGGCATGAGACGACGACGACTATACGCACTACCGTGAAATACACAAGAAGAAAACCAAGAACAATTTTCTTTTTAAGTCCAACAGTTCCTTACAATCGCTATTTTTAGTAAATAAATGATGTAAAACATATATAACTATTTCTCTTTTTTTTCATACCTATAAAGTAGTTATATAGTTCATTGTAGGTGAGTTGAATACATAATTTTTTGAATTTTTGAATTTTGAAGTAATGTCCGAACATTAGTCAGACATTCCACTTTTTCCTGTTTCCTTCAATTTGTTAATAAAAAAATGTGTGGGTATACTGTGTAGTAAAATATAATTTTGCTAGTAATATCTGTTCTGATTGTGTACAATGCAAGTAATGCTTCTGTTTTAAATATATATAAAGAATATAAACGTGAATGAAAAAAATATATCAAGACACACAAATCTAAGTCAGTCTTTCAATCCTTTTACTGGTTTTTATTATAGACGCAAATATATTATATTATTTAATAAAATTCTTTTAACAGGTGACAGATTGGTGGTTAGATGACATGTATTTGAAAGTGCGTCTTCCGCTGCCTATTAATTCCAGTCCAGGGATGGTTTTCCCACGAAAACACTTCGCTAAGATCGATGAAGTCGCTGATCTCGCCGCTCTATACATCGACGATTTGCTCGACTATAAAGAGATGCTAGATAGGTAATTACATGATTATATATTTGGTCTCCTAGGACATCTAAGACATTTAAAAAATACATATTTTGAAATGCTCCAGTTTGATTTTGCCATAGTCTAATCTCTATGGCACCTGGCCATCAAAGTGAAAGTTTCACCCGTATCACTTCGACACCCGTTGCTCCAAAACTGAGAGTTTTTAAAGGCAGTTTTTGTTGCGCACCACCAGTATGTGGAACCAGCTGTCCACTGAAGTATTTCTGAGCCAATTCGACTTAGGGTCGCACTCGCGAACCCTCTGGCATTGAGTGTCCATAGGTGGCGGTATGACTTGAATCAGGTGAGCCTCCTGCCCGTTTGCCCTCTGTTCTATAAAAAATAAAGATACAGTGTGATCACTCTGTACTCTTTAAATCTAATAGTTGTATGGGGCGTATGTTGCTGGAGTATCACAGCGACAGAGTTATACATATATTATCCTATAAAAATAAATGGTGCCTTTTCTGGGTCGTAGACAATACACAATACATTCATATTATATTTGTCCTCTTAAATCAATTTTTAACACATGTTACAGAGACGAACTACCACAGGAGCGAGCCACAAGTCGTGAAAAGGGTCAGCCTCTCTGTATGGAACAATTCTATCGATTGCTGGGTGTCTGCAGAGTACCAGGTGAAGGAAAAGATAGACTGTCGCTGCCAATACCACCACCAGATCCTGACAACTGTGAAGAGCTGGTCATCGTTGCTTGTAGGAACTATGTAGGTTTAAATAAGTTAATTCTTATAAAAATCATACATGTCACTTACATGAGAACAAATAATATAATATAACTATAAACATAAAGATATTAAAAACATAAAAAGAAAAAGAATATCACGAGTCCAGCTACCAGAAAACTTCCATTGCTACTAATTCCTATATCTCAGGACGCAAGCTCTTGTAAAGACTAGCTTCGGTTCAGATTTTAGGTAGATGTTTATGATTAGTGTTATGCCGGCTACGTGTGGGATAGAAGTTAAATTTAATGATTTATATTATTTGGTTATGTAATTTAATTCTTGTTAACTAAAATGCATGTTGTGTCTTATAAATAAAATAAAAATAAATAATATTGTCGCAGGGCAACAGTCAGCCTTGTTCTTTGTTAGCGATCTTTTATTAATAAAGTGTGTAAAGCAAAAGAAACATCACTTATTGGCTAGTTAATATTAAATTAAGACCAAATTCAAAAAGCTACTTTAAACAAATATAGTATTACAAACGTATAAATTAAAAAACACTACACACACACTAGTCACACTGACTATAAAGGAAAAATAACGATATGCGAATGAAACTGGGGCTATTTTATTGAGTAAAATATTGGCCTATTAAAAAATAACTCAAATCAAATTGAAATCTGCGTTCTACGTATATAACTTTCCACCGCAATTTGTAAAGTTTAGCGAACTATACCGCTATCAAGTTATCTAATCAGACCTTCGTAATTTAATAAGTTGAGTTTTCGTTTGCCTCAACGAGACCCGAGTCAAGTTATCGTAAGTTGTTTTAAAGCATTAAGGTTCAAAGCCGCCGATATTTGGGAAACTGACGTGACGATGAATAGCTTAAATTCTTAGCTGATTGACATCTACAAAGGCGGTTTTGTAAAGTAATTAATGATAGAAAATCGACGATTGACATGAAAGACTCATTGCTTCTACAAGATTGGGTCTAAAAGTAAAAGTTTGTGTAGTAATGTTTGTATTTATAACTGGGTTATATAATTTTAATTATAAACACATTGCTAGCTTATCCGTAATCATGTTAGCTGTAAATAATGCGGGACACAGTGTGTTCCATGGCGGTCATTGTAGGGATCTTCAAATATATGTTAAATTAAACTCTTTGTTTGAAGCTGGGTGTCAACTGGATTTAATCGGTTGAGCTAATAACTTACATAAAATTAGTTAATTAGTAGTTAGTGCTGTTGCGACGCTGGATTAACAAACGTGACTTATTGAAGGGTTCAAATCTAAGTGACACTTATGTTACCTATAAAAAATATAAGTGTATTCGACCTATTGGACATTATTGGAAACGATAATGTTATATTACAATTTATGTGGGAAAAACTAAAGAGCTCATTTTGGCTTCAAGTGTGCTAACATTTTGTTTGCCCTTCTAAGAAATTCAAATAATAGTACGGGAGGTAGCAACGTTTGAAAAGAAAGAATTTTAGGTCAGCTGATTGTGATATGTTTCTTTTATTCGTTAGAGTTGCAATCTCTGGCGTAGTTGCGTTCATTAGTGCGCATCCTATTTCAGTAATAATTGGATTTTAAAAGATTTTAAGCGTAATTTTAGATTTTTCCTTTTTAAATAAGTCTACCTAATATTTTTTATTCCAGAATTTTCCATTCTAACTATTCCAGACCGATTGTAAGTTTTTTTAATAAAAATTTCAAAGTATTTTAGAATGTCTGTAATTTTAATATTATGTTATTTAAATATAAGAAATACTAAAAATGAATTTGCCAGACATTAATTCGATTGTTAAGTCTTGAATTAAAATGAAAAAGTATTGCAGTATGATGAAGCATTGCATTTTAAGAAGCGTAATTTTTTATTTTTCCTTTTTAAATAAGTCTACCTGACATACTTTTTTTTATTGCCAGACATTTTCACATTGCTATGTGCCAGACGCGATTTTAAGTTTTTTTTTTTATAAAAATTTCAAAGTATTTGGCAAAGTGGCAAATTCATTTTTAGTTTTTCTTATATTTAAATAACATAATATTAAAATTACAGACATTCTAAAATACTTTGAAATTTTATAAAAAACCACAAAATAAGCTGACCTGAAATTCTTTCTCGAAAACGTTGCTACCTCCCGTACTATAAAGTGTTAACTTTGAAAAATGAATTGCTGTGTCATTGTAAATTTAACACAATAGTATCGCCGTATATAGGTTTAATTTCACATATAATTATTAAGTATGATTATTAAAACACGCCCTGGTGTCAAGTGAAGGATTAGATGGATAAATTAAAATATGTTATATTTAAACTAGTATTAACTCATATTTTAGTTACATCAAGCAAATATCTGTAGTTTTTTTACACCTTTGCACTTGGCGTTAAGCGGAGGATTTCAGTTCGATTCCCAGCGAAACATATATTGGCATCGTTACGGGACTTTAAATATAATATTACAAGTGTATATGTGAAATCCTTTCTATAGTTTTATGCGGTACCAGTGAAGGCGCCAGACCGTGGAAGACTCTCAGCGGGTGAAATTCAGGCGCAACTTCTACACGCCTTAGTTGACGCATCAGCTGCGCCGCCCGCCCCTCGCGTAGGTCTGCTCACTGCAATGAACCGAGATGACTGGGCGAAGGCAAGGGAACAACTTTTGAAAGGTACTTTTCATTATTGTTGTTTAACCAATTGACTTTTAAAGAACCATTGAATAAATATTATAAATATATTTTTTATGATGAATTAAATTTTTTTTAGCAGATATAAACCAAAATTTATTATATAACTAGATCAACACTTTAAACATCGAAAAAAATATTCGTTGATGAAGATTTACTTTAATAGTATCCACACTAGGTATTGTGAAAATGCTGAGTCGTATTATGTTTCACTCAATTGTATTTTTCTTCAAAAACAATAATTTATTTATTAATTTTCAATTAATTGTTGATATTGTTGGTACTGTTGGTACTAAAGTTACGCACCACGGACCTAGTGAGAGTCTAAGTGCGGAAACTGAGTCCAGCGTTAAGATTTTTAAAAGATCTGTGTTAACTAACTTACTTTCTTATCTTGACATATGTTATAAGATTTTCAGCAACTGGGTTTAGTCATTCACAACATCAGCATTTTCTAGATGAAAACAACCGCAACAACTTGGAACTCCTTAACCGGGCGTTGTGCCTGGTGTGTCTTGATGAAAGTGGGGGAGATCGCCGTGACTGTGACACAGATACAAACGCACTCCTGAGAGCCATGCACGGTGCAGGGACACAGCATCATTCAGCTAACCGCTGGTTTGACAAGACAGTTCAGGTGCGTACTATGTGGTGGATAAGAAGATATTAGAGGAATGAAGTAAACTCATTGGTGCACAATCAAATCAATATTTAAATGAAAAATAAATAAAATAAAAATCTAATTAATTATTATTATTACATGAAGATTTTTTTTTATTTAAAAGGGTTTCCAAATCTTGCACTTATTTCTTTATTTACATTCTTAAAATGAATTGTTGTCAAATTTATAAATCGGCTCGGCTTAGAACTTTGGGAGTAACGAGAGTTGAATTAATGACATTAGAAATTAGTTTCTTAAGTTGTAGCTATAGTTAGTAGATATTTTTGACATTTGAATCTGGTTTATATGAGACAAGGGACAGTGGGATATTGAATAGAACTTTTAAAATAGTCAATATTTTTTTTTAATAAAATGACCAGAAATGAAAAGATATTAGACATGCCAATCGATAAAGACTTACATCTTACCTACATATATCAATCGATACTTATATATTTCCAACACACAAATACAGTATTCAGTATACAGTTTTTTCAATAATTACAATAATTGTCTTAACCTACATAGTAATAATAAAAATAAAAAATAGTTAAAAATTAAAATTAATACAAATTTAAAAAGTTTGGTCCCTTTGGTAGTATACCTATAACGCTGGCAGCATTTCCTCGCTGTATTGCGATACTTAGTCGTCGAGCGAGACAAGCACCAGCTCTGAGGTACTATCTAGCAGGCGCCAACTAATTAGTAGTCCCGTCAATCTATACATTGCAAGCTTTGCGAGCTTTGGCCTTGAGTCAATTTTTTTCCATGGGTCGTAACGATGGGGAATTTTGAAAAGTTGTTTTTACTGTGTTTTGAACAAATTTACTCAGTTTCAGCTTGATGGTAATTCTGGTAGCTTCGCTCTTGTTTTTTGACCTAATTTGACCGGACTATATCGCCTGAGCACTTTAACCCCACGCCCCAAAAGTGACTACTCTAAAGGGAATAAAATTGAGGTTGGAGGAAATACTTTTACATTTGAGCCGTTTATTATTTTCCCCAGCTTTTTTGCTTGTCCGAGGGATGTGAGACGGGATAACGTGTCCACCTAAGTAGCATGCGATATGATCTATATTAGTTTTATTTCTTTATCTACAGCTTATAATATCATCAGACGGTACTGTGGGGATGTGTTACGAGCACAGCCCGGCAGAGGGCGTGGCTGTAGTGAGGCTGGCTGAACGCGCGTTGGAACGTGCGGAAGTAGCAGACCGGCCAAAACCACCTCCGACCCTCTTTCCTGCTCCTGAGAGGCTCCAGTGGAAGCTAACTCCAGAACTTAATAATACTATTGAAAAGGCGGCACGGGATTTTGACCGGTGACATACCTTTTTGATAGATCAAATAATATCAATCTAGAACCATAAAAATATATACTCAGTAGAGTTAAGTCTCGTACTGATTGAGGCCGACTTGTTAAGTAAGTCGGCCTCAATCATGCCAAAAGGCCAGAAGCATCGTTAAAAAAGTCAAAAAAATAATTGGTTGTTTATGTATAGATACCAAAAATTTATTATAATGTACTTTTATTATATTAGTATATAGCTTTTAATGTTTTGTCATTATGTTTTAAGATTTTACGTTTCGTAAAAGAATTGTAATACAAATAAATATTTAAAAACGCTTTCATTCAGGGCTATCAAGGACCTCGACCTCCGTGTATATACATACCGCGGCTACGGCCGTGAATACATGAAGTCGTGCCGTACCAGCCCTGACGTCTACATTCAGCTTGCTTTGCAGTATGCCTACTATAAGTAAGACATACACACCTGAATATTATAATTAATGGGGCTTGAACTTTCACCTCAACTGTGTCATAGTCGATTCGGTAATCAAAAATAAAAATCAATGGCGCTACAACCTTCTTAGGTCTCAGATTTCTGTATCTGTTTCATGATCATTTGTTAATCTAATAGGCAAGTATAGCAGTCAGGAGTTAGCACACACGCCGTCGTTTTTCGGGTCTAAGGCAAGTCGGTTTCCTCACGATAGTTTCCTTTTAATTTTATCTCTTCCTTATATTTTAGAAATGTCCTTATTCGTGCACAGAAACATACATATTTTTAAGTCAACGGGAATGAATGAGTCGAAGTAGACATGGGGTGAAATTGGCTGAGCCAAAAATCAATCTGGAATTGTGTAGGAAAATCACCTTTTGTTTGGGAATTAAAATTTACAATTATTTACCAAAAGAATTAAAAGATCTTCCGACAAGTCTTTAAAAATCGACTTGGTGTATTACTTTTGGAAAAAATTTATTATTTAATAAGTGATTATTTGCGTGAGACACTGTAGTTGATATAACTTTAATAAAATAAAATAAAATATTTAAAAAAAAAATCGCGCGATTGTGTATGGCAGAATGTGCGAACTTAAGATTGTACCACCTTACACATTTTTATATAATAAATTTCTTGCAATAAATTATTATTATTATACCGTTCGAGCGAATGTTACAACACTGCTCACTGTTGATACTAAGCAGTGTTGTACACATTAGTATGTATTGTTTATGTGGCTGGACTACTAGAAGCTAAAATTGTCCAATATTCCAGGATGTACGGACATTTGGTAGCCACTTACGAGTCGTGTTCTTTGCGTCGATTCCGGAACGGACGCGTAGACAACATTAGGTCATCCCACAGTGCAGCGCTTGCTTGGGCAACAGTTATGTGTGCACCTGAGTCTCCGGCTACTTCCCAGACTGATGATGGGCAAAAGAAGGTCTCCTTTGATTTGCAGGAGGTAAGTGAATGTTGGGTGAAAATAAATCTCTTTGGTTAATGGAATTAAAGTTTAAATAATGGCAACCCTAGTAAGGAATCAAACTAAAAAAAGAAATACTAATAACTAAGGGTAAAGTGCAAGAAGTGCATAACGAAATCAACAAAAACTAAATTACAAGTTATACTGAAAAATTATACAATGACCAAACTTTATCTATAATAAAATAAACTAATAGCTAATCTCACGGTTCATGAATTAGAACGAATAAGAAAATACTAGAATTACTAAAGTCACGATTGAGCAGGATAGGATTTAATTAAGAAGTGTTTATGTAGAAGACTTCAAAAGAGGTAATCGTAAGTCTGATAGCGTATTCCACAATTTCACGGCAAAGATCCTAAACGAATTACCAAAAAGGGATGTGCTGTGTGATGGAATTTTCAAAAGCATCTATTAGGCGTAGTTTTTATTATGTGGTATGATTTTATGTTTCGTAAATGATTAGTAATATAATCAAATAAACGCTTTCTATGCAGGGCCAAAAGAAAATAGACTTATTCTATGAGGCGGCACGTAAGCAGACCACTATAATGGAAGCCAACATCCAAGGACAGGGAACTGATAACCACATGCTGGGCTTACGCGAGGCGGCACGAGAAACCTTCGGCTCATTACCTCCTTTATTCACGGACCCAGCGTACCAGAAGATGATAGAGTTTAAACTCAGTACAAGTCAGGTACTACAACTATAATTTTAATTAAGCAGTTTACAGGGAATCTAAAATATAATTGGACGGAAGGCTCGGTAAGCTAAAGTTAACTTAATTTTGTTTGAATTGCCTTATCAAGAAATCAATCTCTTTACTTCAGTTCCAAGAGCTACAGCTGGAGAGACATTTAATCAAAACTGTGTTCCTGTAACAAATTTTGTCCATACGATTCTTAATACGTACTTTGAAGAAACAAAACAATTCAAACTTAGAAGAAAGAATACAATGTTTGATAATAAGCCAAACCTGACTGTTAATAAATTGTATTTTATATAACAGGTGGCAACCACAACAGATGGTACATTCATGGGTTACGGTGCGGTAGTACCCGACGGCTACGGCTGCAGCTATAATCCAAAAAAAGACCACGTCATCTTCTGTATATCGTCTTTTGTAGCATCGAACGTCACTAGCACAGAAGCATTCAGACAGTCGCTGGAAGAGGCTTTAGACTCCATGAAAGTCTTGTTTGATAGCCGAAAGAATGAAAAGTAATATGGAAAAGTAGAACTCTTCATTTAATTACTTCTAAAACATATCAAATTATAAATGTTATATTTTATGTATTGGGTGAATGTTAAAATGGAACTAAATACTCTATATATTTAAGAATCAAAGCGTAGTATAAAAAGTGTTTGATTACAACGCACATTACGATTCATATCAATGATGACTTATGAAAAATATATTTATACTTACATATTTATGAATAATTATATATATCGAGCTGTTTTATGGCTATTATAAAATTTGGAATTCTATATCCAGTATAGGTCTTAATTAAAAAAATCAGGTCAATTTTTAATCGATTTATGTGGTTGTTGCGAATAAATAATTCAAAAATTTAAACAAATACTTATGTATGCAATATTTGATATCTACAATGTTACGTGCAACAAATAATACTTATAACACATTTACGATTATTATATATTATGTATCTTCGCAATTTTGAAAATTTGATATTATATAAATTACATTGTTATTTTATACTTAAATAGAAAAATATACAAAAATGTTATTTTAAGCATAGCTTGAATCTGAGTTGACAGAGTTTATTATTATATATTTAATTAATGTTATATAATTCTTGAATAATATTGCTTCAATATGACAAAAAATAAATATAATATACTGTATATTTTTGCCGAGAACAATTCGTCAAAAAATGAGTTTATAAACGGCATAATATTTAAAATGGCAAATAGCTATCTGTGTAATATGCAATAAATCAATAGTACCAAGTGTTAAGTTGTACATAATAATATATCTCATTTATTACAAAAATGCTTTTGATCTCATACAGTTTCGTAATAGTTTTGAATTTGAATCGTTGGCTGACTTAAATGAAAATTTTATTAGCTACTTAAATTTACATTGAATTTATACATTGATTGATATTTGAGTTGAGTATAGTTATAAATAGGATATACTTAGTTGTAAGGAAATCAAACATATCAATTGGACTTCATGTATATCATGGCCAAGAATATCTCAAACGTATCAAAGTTTAGAATTAAGGTTAGCAATATTATAATGTCTATTATAAATTCATCATTATATGTAATAGCTTATTATGTTATAATTTGTACAGTTTTATATTTGTTATAGTTTACATTCGAACTTGGATATAGTATTGTAATTATTACTGAAATTTTATTGTTCGAGAGCATTTCTAATCTCGTTTAAAGGTAAATGAAATGAACTAGATCAAGAATGTTTTTATCCTAAGCTGTCTATCCAGCTTTATAAATAGCGTTTTGTTTTAAGCTTATTTTTAAAAGGGATCAAAACCAAATGAGGCAAAGACGTCAGAATCAGATGTTGCATAATATACAGCAGTCGGAAATATAGAGCAAGCAAATAACGTTATCAAAATGATTGTAGCCGGAGAAATCTAATAAAAACGAGATTGTAGGAAACCCTAAGGCTAATGTAATTTACGCGAGAAATGATAATAAAACTCGGACAAGGCAGATAATCTCCGAAGGAATCTCATTTATTTTTATCCCAGTTTGAATGTTTGTTATATATTTATATGCCAACCGTAAATTGCTGTATTATTTGAACTTAAACTTCAGTTAAATCTTGTATATACACTTGTTATGCTAACCAGCATTTATTTGAAAGATAAACGGTACTTTTTATGGGAGATTTTAACTTGATGTTTAATGTGTGTTCATTCTTAGGATGTGCGTAGTTATACACAGCTTTAGAAGTTCGTAGTATTTACAAATTGCAGTCACCATAGTGACGGTCTTAGTAGATAATATATATTATATAGTTATTCATAGACAAAGCTATTGCTGTTCTTGTTTTCTTTACCTTATGGAAATTGGCAAATGTGTTTGGTAGTAAGTTTTGATGGAATTATAAAACTATGGAATGGATTTTTTTAATATTAAAGGTACTAATAGCAAAATATAATTAAATTAAATTGTATTGTGGAGGAACGATTCTGAGGACGGAATAACTTCTTTAGTGCGTTTTATGGTGTGACGTCTTCGCAATTATTGTAGCCGTAGATTGTGTCACTACACATTTTATTTAAAATTCTATTAAAATAAAATGGCGCGCAAGCTAAGTTAAAAAATAGTAGATGTGATTAGCTCATAAGTATATTTCCTTGAAATGTGAGCATAAAATTAGAATTTGAAAAATTTGTGTAAGTTTAAAATTAAATGTCAAATTTTAGAAAAATATATTAGTATAAGATCCCGATATACAACGACCTTCACCGAGATGCTTATTTAATGAAACGTATTTTATATTTAATTTAATATGTCAATAAATATAAACCATATGGGTTGCCTAGCAATATTCAATCCAGAGTATGTTTAATTAATATTAAAAAAAAATCTGGTATGTAGTAAATTTTTTAAATTTTTTTTCAATCAATATTTTTAATCAGGGTAGTATTATATACGCATCACTATAACTTTCTTTTTTACTAAAGATGTATATATACTTTAATGTCACATAAAAAATATACACATAAATAATTAATTGATTAAAAACAACCTAACGTTTGCATATTCTATGGGCTTCATACTTTCGATTGGTATAGAATTTATCTAATAATCATACCGGTGAAATGTTTAAAAAATTTTTTTTAATATTAATTAAAATACTCTGGACTGAAATTTGCTAGGCAACCCATATGGATTATATTTATTGACATATTAAATTAAATATAAAATACGTTTCATTAAATAAGCATCTCGGTAAAGGTCGTTGTATATCGGGATCTTAGACCATATGTTTTTAAATGTTAGATGTAGTAAAGGCCTCGGCGATATATTAGCTGTTGAAAAGGTGAGTTTTCGCGATTGTATATTTATAGCACAACAGATGTAGCGCGTATATGTCACAAATTATTATGTTGTTCTAAAAATGTCTATCTATTCCGTGGTAATTTATATTTATGAACTATTTCAAGTTTGTTATATATATATATATATATATATATATATATATATATATATATATATATATATGTGAAATCAAATTTAATCCTTTATACATTTATATATATATGAGTGTGAATGTTGTATGTCTAGCTCCTAAACCCCATCCTCGTTCTAGAAAAGAAGTACGGGCGTCATGTCATGTAAAGCGCGCGAACTAAACATAAGTGTACCTGTATTAAGGTCTTTGGTTGGTTTTATTCTTGATTGTTAAACGGTTTTTAAACCTGTTGATTCCTATTTGTGTCAAATCTATCAGAGTTGATATCAGAGCTGTTATTGAAATAACTTGTCATATTAGTTGTTGTTTTCAGTTATATATTTTTCGGAAAAAGTTTTACGTTGCTAACTGATTTCCCTCCTCCATTTTAATATATATAGTATATACACAATTATTTTTACATTATTTGGATATTTAATATAAGAGATCTAAAGTTGTTTTTCGATTGTAATAATTATGGTTACAATATGTAACTTTATGCGTCCATTCTATGTAGAATTCACTAATATCAAATATCAAAAAGTTGTATATTTTATTCATTGGAACTTATCTTTATAACATTTTAAAACCAAATTATTACTTCGCTTTTGTTTTCTAGTGCAATGTACGGGTATTGAAATGTAAACATATCATTAGACATAAGATATTTAATGTTGTCGTAATAAAGTGTTGGTGTAATAAGAGTTTTATTTATTTGGCTTTTGCCCGCAACACGTATTAATAACCAATACAGAGAACCACCAAATCTTCGTCCTTTGGGTTCGTCGGATCATTGCGTGGTCTCTACTCATTGCGTGGTCAGTACTCTGTACCGTGCCTACTACGACAAAAACAATTTTTTTTTACCTAAGTCATAATTTTTTTTTGGGGTGGACACCACTCATCACATAGGGGTTTGAAAGATAGATAGTAGCCGATTCTCAGACTTACTGAATATGCATAAACAGTTTCATAAGAATCGGTCGAGCCGTTTCGGAGGAGTATGAGAACGAACATTGTGACACGAGAATTTTATATATTAGATTTTACCAAAACCATAACTGTATATAACTAGCGACTGGCATTTAACATCTGACCCATTCTTGTTTTCCTCAATGGTTGTGAAGATTGTGGGCGTAATCATTTCATTTAACGATCAGCGTTTGACGTTAAACAGTCACTTGCATGGCCACTTCACGATATGGCTAATAATTAGTGATTAAATTGTATAATAGTTAGTTATATTATTTAAAGTAAAAAATCATTTAATCATATCAGGTAACATAATGTACACTTATGACTTGTCAGTAAAGAAATACATATTAATGCTTCTAATTTTACATTTACTGCCAGCTCTCAAATCAAGGGCGTAGAACGGAAGAGAAGAACTGGCGATAAACTCTCCGCCACTCTTTTTAATCGCCATTTTTTTTACACAACGTTTGTAAGGAGATGCAACCATGACACCATGTTCCACATGACATATCAAGTAATAAATAATAATAACATAAATTAAAAAAAAAAACACCGTAAGCGCAGACCTTTATACGGTTGTTTGTACATCCCAAACCGTTATTTTTCTTTAGAATTCAGTATTCATGTTGATTTAAGTATGCGAAGGTTCAAAAAGAAAAGTCATATTCAAAATAACATTATATATATTTCATAATAATTTATTAAAATTACATAAACATTTGATCCATTTCACTCATAGTCCACATTTGGAAAACCCTCCCCCAATAGTTCGATCAAATAATTTGTACCAGACATTGATAGCTACCTTAAAACAGCTTATATGACGCCGATTTTAAACAATTATTACTCATATTTATATATACAAAACCCAATTCTTATAGAATTATGCCATAATTTCATTTACTCCATATATTATACTAGGGTCCCAAAGTTCTGTCACTAGCACATTATTTCTACATCGAGAGGATTTTATAAAAAAATTTTCTTTTCTATTTTGGAATGTTTGATTATTGTTTTAAAACAAAAACAATAACTTTCCTAATTTTTCACGATGGAGTGGACATTGAAAGTAAACCGAATAGGTTATTGCGTTGCACCGCTGTGGACCTCGCCGCTACCATTTTCAATTGCTCAAAAATTTAATATAGCTTAGGTTTGTTGGTACTATTGATAGACATGTCTCCATTAGACAAGAAAGAACTGGCCCCCTCCCAAAAACCACATATCAATTCAGCATAGTAGAAATCCTCCGAAAACAGAAGTGATGGATTTAGATGGTGTCAGTAGGAAAACAGTAAAGGTTTTAAATGAAGATCTTGTTAACTACAAAAAGAGGCACTTACTTAATGCTCTCTAAGCAATAAGGCTTAAGAGATCGCGTGTTGTTTAAGGGTACGCGAAAAACCGACACCGTGATATCCTCTTTACGGACGAAAAATTTTTCGATATTGAAGAGGCACAATAAACAGAATTATACAGTTACGCTAGAAGTTCTGAAGAAGCTAAAATAAAGTTCAGGTGCAACATGGACATCATATATAGTAATGGTTTGTTGGGATTCTATTACAACTAGTTAATTTTTTCGAAAAGGGGGTCAAAACATATGTACCAAGAGACGGTTTTGTATCGCCTTGTCAAAGACATTCACACCCTATTTGCGGGACATCACTTCGTTTCAGCAGGACTCTGCGTCTCATACAAAGCCAAGACCACTAAAGCCTGTTTGAGCGTCAAAACATCGTCTTAATTAGACATGAGGATTGGCCTTCCTAGTCCGACCTTAATCCTGACCAGAAATTATGACAGGGCAGAGAGGAAGGTTGGATAAACCTCATGAAAATTTGGAGAATTGAAGTCATCTTTAAAAACCAGGACAAATGACCTGGGCGTGCTGCGATAGACGACTGGCCGCGACGCTTAAGGGCCTGTATTAAAAATGAGGGAGGTATTTCGAATATTTTTATGCTTTTTTTATTCCTTAATTAATGTACTAAGAATTGATATATCACTCATTACAAACTGATCAGTACTTTTGTTTTTATCATTATTTCCATTTATGACAGAACTTTGGGACCGACTACGTATATAAATCTCGTGTCACAATGTTTGTCCTCAATGGACTCCTAAACTACCGAACCGATATCAATCAAATTTGCACACCATGTGCAGTTCGATCCAACTTGAGAGATAGGATAGTTTAAATCTCAAATTATAGTCGCAATTTTAATTTATTGCAAAATATTTGTTTATTATTTGATACAATTCTAACAGATGGCGCTGTGTTAAAATTATCAACGTTTCACATAAGCTGTCATCTACCTTTCACATAAGTTCTCCTACCGTTTCCCTTGAATAGTTTACTACTATGTAATATAACAAAAATCTGAGCCAGAGCAACGCTTGGCCGAGTCTACTAGATATATTATAAAAATATGGTCTAATTGCAATAAAAGTACTCATGTCTCTTTTCAACACTGTCTAAGACACAATATGACAGAAAGAGACAAAGTATAGTTACAGAGCCGTACTGCTTTTAGTCCGTATAAGGAGAAAACGCTAGATCATCTTCACCTTTCTAATTACGTAGAGTTAATTTAAATATTATTTTTAGATATTTTATACATATACTATTAGGTTCAGCTCACATTGGCGCAGAGTCGAAGCGAAACGAGTCGTCATGTTTTTAAACTTTTACGCGCGAAATAATTCCTTTACATCTCTATATTAGTCGCATTAAGAACGGAGGCTTCGGGTCATAAATCATATTTATCTGTCTGTCTCGCTCGCACTTACAGGTCTTATGGAGAGGTGTAGTGATGTGGGTAGATGTTCAGATCGATAACGGGATAAGTACGATCGATATGCTAAATTATAATTTTTCGAATAATTTTTCGCTATCTGAAAATTACTTATACGCACACACGTTTTTGAAGTGAAACTTCTATACGAGGTTGGAAAAAATTTAGTGTAACATTTTTTCGTTACGCGTCACATTTTCGGTTACGCGCCATGTTGCTTTTTGAAGTCAAACTTCTTTATCGGCGTTGGAATGAAACTTCTTTATCGACGTATGGGAGAAATTTTGGAGCAAATCGTCACGTTTTTCAATGATAGTAATAATTCTTTTACAATTAAAAAAATTTTTAAATATTCTCCTTTTTAAAAAGGTAAAAAAAAATTTTTTTTTTTTCTCTTTTTTAATAAAAAACCCTTTTTTTTTTTTTTTTTTTTTTTTTTTTTTTTTTTTTTTTTGTTTTTTTTTTTTTTTTTTTCTAAAAAAAAAAAAAAAAAAAATTTTTTTTCCCCCCCCGCCCCCCCCCCCCCCCCTTTTTTTTTTTTTTTTTTTTTTTTTTTTTTTTTTTATTAAATAAAAAAAAATTTTTTTTTTTTTCCCCCCCCCCCCCCCTTTTTTTTAACGTAAGTAATGTGTAATGAGTGTCATTACCAAGTCTTATATTTAAGCAACAACCCTAACTAGTAACGACCAATCAGGAGTCGGAGCGCGTGCGCAGGTAGCTAAGTATCGATAATGGGTCGACTCAGTTTAAAATGCGTCGACTTTAGTCCGTTATGGCCGGCGTTTGCGAGCGCCCGAGTAGTGCGCGCTCGCCCGGCCAAGCGACGCGCGCATACGTGCGCTTATAAATTTCCATAACACATTTGCTTAGACTCTGCGCCTATGAGAGTTAAGTTTTGAAGACATTCTTCGTTCTCTTTTTGGACGATTAAACAAAAACTAACTTATAACTATTCTTCAATCACAGACAACAGTCAACTTAAGTAAAGGAATACATGTGTTTTTTTTAAATAATTAAATAATTATTTTCATCTCATGAGTCGTGCTGATTCGCAGGTACAGTCATCGTCTGATTTTACCTAAAAAAACAACGAAATAAAATGTTAAAGTAATTTAACAAAATTACTGTACCGATTTTGATTAAATTCATATTATTTGGATTCGATTTTAATTATCTTATGACCTTTAGTTTCCAAAATTATGGACATTTTTCAGTTTAATGATTTATTCTTCAAAGCATAAATAAATCATTAAACTGAAAAATGCCAATTCCAACAAAGGTAATATATTTATAAAGTCGGTTAAAATATAGTAATGGAATATACCTAGGCTAAATCTATCAGGATTTATAAATAGAAATCCATGTCCCCTTGGCCAATCGGGAGACGAGGAACACAAATTAACGTACCATCAGGAAATGATGCAAATTAAGTTCTTCAGCGCGCGGTCTGTTCTCGGGGTCGTGAGTGAGACAGGTCATACAAAACTCCTGCCCTTCTTTAGAAAGAGAGTCAGGGATGTGAGGCCTTCCACCCATTCCCACTACGAACATAATCTGGTAGTTGCTGTCGTATTCGGAGAACGGACGCTAGAAACGTTAAAAAAAAAAATTTGAATTTGGAATGTGATCTTAGAAAATTCAAAAATCAAAAAAGTATCATATATTATATTCATATAGGTAACAAAATGTACACTTATGTACGTCAAAAAATAAATATATATTAATTGTTTCTAATTTTATATTTACTGCCAGTTCTCAAATCAAACAATGTAACATAAAGGAGATTTGAAATGTTCTAGAGAAAAATATATCTCAAGACAGCCTGGCCGGAAGCCAATCAAAATAAATTAAGTTTCTTTGATTAGTAATTGTTTTTTTTTGTAATGTTTGTTTTGTTTAATAATAGGTTATGATCTCTATATGTTTGTCATGTTTGCCTTTAAGTGCTTGTCACATTAAAAAATGTATTTTGTGTATATTTTTACCAATGTCGAGCGTTGGCAAGCTTTTTCTCAATAAAAAAAAAAAAATGATTAAATTACCAAAGAGATGGATATCACGAATATAGTTTGAATATGTTACTGGTTGTTAAAAAAGCTGCGCGAAAAAAGAATAAAAAATTAAAAAAAAACGCGCCAAAAGCGTTCTTTTGTTTTGTCTGTTATAAATTAAAGCTTAATAAGCAAGTAAGTGACCATCAAGTGTCGCTACTTGCTGGTCTTCGATTTTTGGGTCTTAGGGCCGGTTGGTCACGGATACTTCATCTTACGTGTACGCGTCCGTAGAAACGCACGACCGAGCGAGGGGCGAACGCTTGACCCATACTTTATACCATAGAGCTGTCATATTATTTAAAGAATATTACCTTCCCAGAAGCCATTTCAGTGACTACGCATCCCAGAGACCACATGTCAGCAGCCCGTCCGTGGCCCGACGATTTCATGAATACTTCTGGAGCCATATATGCTGCGGAAATTATGAAATATTAAAACATATTTTAAAAGATAGTTTACAAATTAATAGCGTAATTATTATTAATTTAAAAAATCAAAATGATGTAACTTACATCTTCTGAGAGGCGTGACCACGTGTGGTGACAAATACACCAAATATTGGTACAGTTCTTTAAAATTTTTTACCTTTTTTAAACGCGTTTTAATCCAGAAAATTATATTATTGTTAACGATTAGAAAAGTTAAGAGTCGTTTAATGTGAAATAAATACCTTGAGTGCCGACGAATCCTTGTAGTTCCCCCGGCGCAGTGGTGTTAGCTCGGATCTTTACCGCACATCCAAAATCACCCAGCTTCAAGCAATGACCTTCATTTGTAAGAAATATATTGCCACCTGTGATCAAATATTTTCTATTAGACTTTCGTTGAATAAACAGAGGATAAAGGAATATAAAAGAGAGTCATATTATCGCCAGCGCTGCATAGGAGAGCTTATGGTTCCATGGCAACTAAATTTGTGTTTTTTTTTATACCACGAGTATAAAATTAAGTATGTTTAACGGACAGTAAAAAGGTAGTTTTTTATTTTTTATAAAAAAAAACGTCAAATCAAAGCTGTATAACACCTGCATACTTCCAGTATTAACATACGGCAGCCAAACTTGGGCACTCACTAAAATGCAAACCAGGCAACTGAAGACATGCCAGACGGCGATGGAAAGAAGCATGTTAATTATCAGGAAGTCCGATATAATCAATTATAAAATCATACGAAACCACACGAAGATTGAAGACGTCACAATGAGGATACGAAGATTGAAGTGGAAATGGGCTGGTCACATAATAAGAGGTATAGAAAAGTGGAAAAAAAAGATCATAATATATTGGTACCCAAGAAATAAGAAAAGTGGGAAGACGAAATAAAATCCGTAACTGGGAAAATTTGGACCAGGAAAGCTCAGAACAGAGCAGAGTGGAGAGAAATGGAGGAGGCCTTTGCCAAAGTTGGGCAAACAGATGGGTTGTCGGTGTCGCCGACTCACTAGTGATAATAGTTTCAAGTTTAAAATTATGTAAAATTTTCTGTCTGAATAAAGGCTTTTATTATTATTATTATTAAAAAGGTAGTTTTGCTAAATTCATTATAATATAAAAATACAAGGTTAGTTGAGATCCGGCTCGAAGAAAAATATATGCTTTATTGCGAAACAGACATACATATAAACAACATGATCTTAAGTTTCTCAATCTTATTCGATCAAAGTCCACCAAAACAACATATTTATTTATTTATAAAAGCCTACCAACATCGGCACACTGATACATTGGTACAATAATAATAAAAAACGACGGGTTGCACTCCGGGAGTGCCGGCAGAAGTGAAAACTTGAATACTCTAATTTTTAATTCCGTAGAATTCTGACAGCTATCATTTTTTAATATGTCAGAGATTACAAACATCTGAGTCTATACATACATACATAAACGTCACTCGCCGTTAAACCACTTTTAATGTGGAGCACCGCACTTAATAAGATGGATACAATAACTAACAATAAAATGTATGTATATAAATGGTCAATCTCATGAATAAGATCAAGAATTTCATCTGAAAGGAGGGACAAATGGGATGATGGGACGCCTGGGGTATAGTTTGCCTTACTTTTAATATCTCGATGCGCTATAGACCGCGCGTGCAGTTCGTTCACAGCGCATAGCAGTTGCTTTGTGTATCGTCTCGTTGTGTGTTCGGCTAACGCGCCGCTCGTCGCTATCAACGCCTCCAGAGACCCCTCCACGCAGAGTTCCATGAATAACAGCATTTCTTCCTGAAACGGGACACGTGTTTTACGCATATATACGAGAAAAGTATGTTATATAAATATGTCTTTAATTTAAACCTACACGTCAGACCTAATCTCGTTACGTTAGCTATTTCGACTATATATTTGCATGTTGCTCCACTAGAATGTAAGGTCGTGCTCCTATTTCACCATACCTCCTACTGATAGAGGACAAATCTTTGTTTGTTAATTTATTTTATTATTATTTATTACTTAAGATGTCATGAATAATGGTTGCAGCTTCTTACGTAAAACAAAAAACTTGGCAATTAAAAAGAGTGGCGGAGAGTTTATTGCTTGTTCTTCTCTTCCGTTCTACGCCCATGATTTGAAAACGGGCAATAAATGTAAAATTAGAAGCATATGTATTTATTTTTTGACGTTAATTTTGTTACCTATTTGAATAAATTATTTTTGAATTTGAATTTATACTTAACAAAGAGCCTTGTTATCGCTTGATATTGGGCCGGCAGCGCCATCTCTTGACAGAATAATAAATCATTATCGCAATTAAATAAATATACATACCCGATGTAATTCACAGCCATAATATCTGACAAGGTGCGGATGTACAACGCCCTCAAGTACGCGCAGTTCGTTCGCTGCTCGTTGCAACGCGCGTCTGTCTCCTGCGCCTATACTTAGCTCCTTCATCGCTAACACCTGACCGCTCTCTGTGTTTACTACTGTGTATACCTGAAAAATTCATTAATTTCAAAAACCCTGAGATCATGTGATGATTTATGTTTTGCAATTATTGCTCGTATGTAAACATCGTAACATCGTCTTAAAGTCAAAGTCAAATCATTACGATTTAACATTTAAAAAAAAATGTTTTTTATTTATGCAGTATTTTTTCTTCTTTGATATTAATTTAAGTTTTTTCTTTGATATTAATTCAATCTACCACTCTACCAGACTCAGACTAACACGCCTATATAGTCTGTCTCACTCTAACGCGTACCGGCTGCACCGGCCGCGCTTACGCTACGTCACCGATCACGCCAGACAGATGTGAGACGTATGCGTTCTGTCCCTACGTCATCGTGTGTTAAGTTTTATTTTCGTTACGGAATTTCTTGATTGGGTCGCCACGCTCAAAGCCCGCGATTAAATCTATGCAATAGCTTAAAAATACTGGAGGAGTCAGGGTGTGATCTTTAAAGTAAAAAGTATTTTATAAACGCCCGGTTCAATTACCTTTCCAAAAGTGCCAGCACCGATTTTCAAACCCCTCTGCCATTTGAATTTGAGCTGTCGTAATTTGGGCTCGTAGCACTGGACAGCCGCTCCTAAAACGCGTCCGACGCGTTTATCTTCCCGGAGCTTCTCATCCCGAGCCTCGTCCAAATGTTGAACTGCGTTTCGGACTCTTTTGCTGAAAGCTGGATATTTATACAAAGTTTAAAAAATTAATAGAAGTAATTTAAAAAAATATCGGACTATAAATACACGTAAAAGATTTATAGTTTCCTTTTTGGATGCCTAAATATAACCAATTCGAAAAATATCACATACAGGTCCAACAGTCTATGATCTTGGTTGTGATTGGAGGTTATTTGACGTACACCGCCATCCCTTACTTGATATTTTTATTTATTAAATTAATTATTGTGACTTTATTATCAATAGTAAGACCAAAACTGGTACCGCAGTCGCACAGACTCTTGGACTATTGTTGGTGACAATTCAAGCAAATAAAATAGAAAGGATCTAAAGAAAGACTCTTTATAATAGAAAAGAGAAACTCTAATACATGTTTAGCAATACGAATTAACTCCATTTCAAATGTACAATAGCTAGATAAAATAACGTGCTAGTACATTAAAATATATTTAAATCCAAGGATTTTTTGTTCTGCCTTAATCTATAAGTGAGTCAAAAGTACAAAAGAAAACGTAATTTAACAAATTAATTCCATAAAAATTACCTGGCGTTTCGGGAGTAGTGAAGACAGGTGGTGACGTGTCCTGTTCGCTGGGTGGGGATTGGGCCTCTTTGTTATTGTGACTAGAATTTGGTATGGGACTCTGTAAAAATATTTTATTATTTCCCAAATGTACAAAAGCCCCTATTTCTGCCTATTTTGAACAGAAAACTAAATAAGTCTAATTGCACCGTTGTTGTACAAAGCGCAGAGGCGGTGATAACTTGGAGATTGACGGCTCATTGGTCTAGTGGTTAGTACCCCTGACTGCGAATCCATGGGTCCCGGGTTCGATCCCCGGCTGAGACAAACATCGATGTGATGAGCATTTGGTGTTGTGCTTAGGTCTTGGGTGTTTAAATATGTATTTATATGTCTATCTATCTATAATATGTATGTATATCCGTTGCCTAGTACCCATAACACAAGCTTCACCAGCTTACCATGGGACTAGGTCAATTGGTGTGAATTGTCCAAAAAAAAAAAAAAAAAGAGATATTGATAGTGTTTGGTAACACAGAAGGCAAAAGATCACGTGGCCATTCATCAACCAGATGGATCGATCAAGTAAAACATGAACCGTCCTCAAAACTGTACACTGTTATACGCTGAACAGAAACCGGTGGAAACAAATAGTCCGCTCCAGATGTTTCCTTACTGACAACGACGCTTAGACATGAGCTACCGACTGAAGAGTATCGTTGTAACTAAATTATTCTTTTTTGAAGATTCATAAATATGCAAGTGCAATGTAGGATTAGACCTAGCGAGGTTTTATAGAGGGAAAAAACCTAATGTTTGCGTATTATCATAACTCATTCAATACATGTTTTTTTTAAAGACTATTCACACCAATTGACCTAGCCCCATGCTAAGCTGGTGAAGCTTGTGTTATGGGTACTAGGCAACGGATATACATACATTTTATAGATAGATAGACGTATAAATACATATTTAAACACCCAAGACCTAAGCACAACACCAAATGCTCATCACATCGATGTTCGTCTCAGCCGGGGATAGAACCCGGGACCCATGGATTCGCAGTCAGGGGTACTAACCACTACACCAATGAGTCGTCTACATCAGCGTATGGTGTAATGGTTGACTTACAATTTCATTGTAAACCAAAAACTTAGCAATAAAAAGAGTTGCGGAGAGTTTCTTGTCACTTCTCGCCCGCTCTACGCCTTTTGGGAACTTTTTTCAATATTGACGTTCATAAGTTATAAATTGGATTGGCCCTTAAACTTATTAAAATCAATTTTTTTTTTAATGTACTTTAACTTACTAATATAATATTTTTGACAATATTGTAACTAACACAATAATGACCATATGTACTTATAATTGTTTGAATAAATACATTATTATTAAAGCTCTTACTACATGTAATCTCAGTCTATGCCTGTGAGGTGGCGTCGGCGATAACGAAGGAAATGTCGTTGGTCGGGAACCGATCACGTGGGATATGCACCCATCCATCAGTTGCTTCAGATCCTGTATAAAAGTTATTTTTGACAAAACAGTAATTAAAAAAAATACGTATTCATTTAATACTGATACGCCAAAGAACTAAGTACTTCTTTAAGTTAAAATAAAACTGTATTACAAAAGCAACCAAATATATTTAAGGTTTTAAAAAGGCTGTTATGGTGTAATGGTTGCAGCTCCTTACAAACGTTGTGTAAAACAAAACACTTGGCGATTAAAAATAGTGGCGGAGAGTTTATTGCCAGTTCTTCCCTTCCGTTCTACGCCCTTAATTTGAGAACTGGCAGTAAATGTAAAATTAGAAGCATTTCGTATATATATATATCATTTTTGAATTTTGAAGTTATCATAAACTTTAAATCTATTCTAAAGGGGTAGGAAAGGGAGTTACAGCTTGCATGTTAAAAATAATATACGAGGAATTATTAAGGATTCTAATGTAATCCTGGTGTTCTGCAAGAACTTAGTTTATTTGTACCAAACAGCTTTTTGAGACGGCGGAAACGAAGATTATTTTCAGTCCCTAGGGCAGAACGAATTTGGCACCAGACCCCACCAGAGGGTCTCCGCAATAACGACGTTAAATTATGTTACGATAATTAAGTAACTAACTAACGGGGAGTTGTATAGTTATAAGTTAGTAAAAAAAAAATTGATGGATTGATATTAAAATTATATTCTGAATACATAATAATTTGCAAACCTCAAACTCTTCTTCAGTCAAATGCTTCGTGTTATAAGGATCACAAGCAAGCATTAGGAACTCTAAACCTTGACTCGCCCATCTGTGAACAAGAACTATATTACAAAGCCAAACCACAATGTCCCTCCTAGCACGCGGAATAAATGGTTCCGGAGGTTGCACTCCGGGAGTGCCGGCAGAAGTGAAAACTTGAATATTAACGTTGTGCATTTTTGATATTTTGGAATGGTTAGGGAATAATTTTGCACGAAATGCTTTAATTATCATTATAAAAGTACTATCATTTATGTGGTAGAATACAATATTTATTTATTGCGCTATCGTACACAAACATGACAATTTATATTACATTAAATACGCCGCGCCAGCTGAGTACTCTCCATCCGTCTTACGAATTTTCGATCAGGTCACGTGTCCTGACGCGAGTTTAACATTTTTTACCCATTCCAATAAAAGTGTACAACGCCGCTAAAGAAGTTTTCACTACAAAAAAAAACATTAAACAAATTGTTATGGCATTAAGTTTGTTATGGACGAGTTGATATTTTTCACTTTAAAAGGTTCCCACATTCCAAATTCCATTAATTAGGTATTATAAAGCTAGTCCCTTTACAGCGAGTACTTTGAAAATGGATAAAAAAATAAGTACCTAGGCCTCAACCCTCTTCCGCGATCGCATCTCTCAACGACGAACAACATCCAGCACCTGGCGAATTCGATGACAGCGCGCGCTATCTGCTTCGCCCAGTCCGCTTCCTCCGCTGTGGGCTCTTCACATCGCTCCATTCGATCCGTTGTTCTGGGAGTTTCAGAACCCGAGAGGAGCGTTTCTATATTGCCTTGGACCTGTAAATATATATTTTCTTAGAATTTTTTTAATTCGTCCGAATATTCTAATTTCTAACAATTTAAATCAACGTTTACATGGCGACAAGAAAAATATAAAGTAATCGACGAGTAATTCTTAAAGGCCCGTATTCAATCAAACTTAAATAAAAGAAATTTCAAGAGCTGTCAAACCATGTATGAAGTTTGACAGGGGTGGCTAGCAAACCCCATATTTTATTAAACTCGGCCAAAATTGTTTGCTATACCAAGGGCCCGAACCAGTCTGTTGCACAGATTAACAAAAACGTTGCTACTGAATGTCGTCTCCGACACCATCGACATCTATATTTTAATAATTAATATTTATTTATTTATAATTTTTTTTGAATTTTTATTTATATTTATTATTAAATATTAAAAGTTTAAAATATATTTAATAAAAGTTCTTAAAAATAAAATAATTTTTAATACCACTAAAATTTAAATCATAAATATTTTAGTTCCATTTAATAATTTTTGTTATTGATGGGATTTTATATATAAATTGTTTTCAATTAATAAATACATAATATAAACTAGTAATCAAATTAAAAATATATTACATATTACATAAGCATTTAAACTTAAAGTTACTATTATTTTTAATTGTTCATAATTTAATTAGGTGTGTCAAGAAAACTATAACAAAATTACAAACGAAGGTATAACAGCAGTGTACTAAAAAATTGTAACCCAACAATTATGCAATAAAACTCTAATAAAAAATTGTATTCTTTTCTTTACCCTATTTTCTCATCTTTTCCCTTAATAGGTAGAACACCCTAATATAAGTAAATAAAAATATACTTTTACATAACATAAATATTGTTTCTCAAGTATCAAAAATAATATTATTTGATAAATTACATCTCTAAATGTAAATAAAATAGGTAATTTTTTACTCATAAATGGCAACATTACGTTATGCGATTGCAGCCCCGTCTGGGGACTTCTTTCATGAAAAGGACTATACGTTCGCCGAGTTCAAGGAAGAGATATGTATATCTTATTTATTAAATATTATATATTTTATTATATTATGTTTCTTTTCGACATTATCGAATTGGCTTAGTACTGTAAGGATAGTGTATGTATTTTTGTGGAGAAATAAATAAAAATTTAACAGCTGTCATGAACAGATTGTATCCCGAGATACGATTTAGAATATTAAATGGAATTCCTATAAGTACTGCTTGCATGTTAACCAAGAGGCTCTAGATTTTGGACGAAACAATTATGAAAACTGCCTCAAAAACTTTTGTAATCGATAGCAACGTTTGCTATAATATTCTTATTATTTTTTATTTGAAGAATTAATTATCAATACTAACAATTACAATAACAAGAAGTGCACGTTAGTCTAAAGTGTAAGTGGTAAGTGAAATAACAGAGTGTATTTACCTTATTAGACTATAAGTAGTGTTATTGGACACTTTTTTATATTAAATATCCATTTTAGTAAACAAGGGTAGTTTTAAATTAGTTATTAGTATTAAGTGAGGCAAGATCGTAATGTTCTGTGACGCCTCAGTGAAGACAATGTATTAAAAAAATACTCACAATTGTTGAAGTATTTGATAAAATCTGGATACTAGAAAAAGTTATATGATTCATATATTAAGCCTCAAATAGTAATTAAAATCCACTCATACGTATCGTGTACAAAATAAACATTAATAAACAAAAAATCTCTTACGATATTATCCTTCAAGCATATATCTTCCAAAACGCTTCCTTCCCCCTCTTCACCGATACTTTCAGACCTCATGAGCCGGACTCGACGCGTAGGACCAGCCGGACGTCCGATCGGACGACAAGACGGCGCGTCGCTCACAAACCTATGCAACTCTTTGTGCAGCTGTGGAAATATACATCTAGTTTAATAAACTTTGTCAAATACATTCCCAATTTTCCCTTTCAAATTCATTGAACAATTTCTCAAGACCCATATTTTAAATTGATAGCCAATACCATTCCAACACACGACAAAAGCATTACACGCATAAAAACCAAAACACCAAAAAGCCCAACGGACAATCCCACAAAGCGCACTCCGAAAGACCTGTGATTCTACCATAGGATTGAAAGATTCGTGAATGAGAACTGTCTCGGGACGTTTGCGTCTCAGTACTGGATCTATCACTCTTGAAGGCTGCAAGGAAGACGGTCGAAGTCGCCGCGCGCGCATTTCGCGCTGAAGTTTGAATGGCGCTTGAGCGAACTTGTGCATTTCCATGTGCAACTGCGAACATAGAACTGCTTATGTGCGGGCATGCGTACGTGCACGTGCAAATTGACTGTTTACGAATAAAAATTGTTTTTGTTTTTAAATAATTTAGTAGTATACTTTTAGTGTGTAGTATTTGAAATTACTATTCTCAATCTGTACTTTAAAACACGCGAAACATCAATATATCGGGATCATTTAAAAATTGTTATATTTAGATAATATTCTTTTAATTATTTATAAGTCAAGTAATTTAAAAAAATTATAAGTCAATATATGAAACATACAAAATGTATTAAACACAAATATAAAAACTAGATAGGCGGACACTTAAACAAAGTGCATATTACACTAACAAAGTGTTAATAAGCTTTTCGTGCTATATTCTGGTAGTAACATAAAAAGCAACTATGTAGTTATTTTAGTTATGTTAGTTATTTTAACTATCATATTAGAATATATTACCACTACTCCTACGATTGACACAGTACAGTTAAATTACAGCATTAGAATTGTGGTACCATGACAGCTAACACAAAACTTTTGCACACAGATCTAATTGCACTGCGCTTTTACTAAAGGACTTATCCATCTCTTTTCATCACAGCATAAACACAATATGACAGAAAGAGATGGAATAATAATTTTATTAAAAGAGGACAAATAGACTGATTTATATTTATAATGTGGGGGAAATATATTGTAAAATACACTTAATACAATGTAATAATATATAATAAAACAATCCCACTTATAGCAGTCATGGTATGAACATATCTTCCTCATCTAGACTGATTAAGCTAATATAATAAAAACATTAACAATTTTCGATAGATTTTGAGGTTATTTTGAAACATTTGTGCATTGTAATTATATATTAAAGCGAACTGAAACATTCAATCATAAATTTCCTTATTTTATTTTGAATTATCAAGGCAATGATGATATTTGGTTTGAATAAAAAAATAATAAGATTGAAAACGTCAATTTTGAAAATATTCAGCGAATCAAGTTTGCAGCGATAGATGGCGTTACAGTGCACACATTTCTATGAAGATCTAACTAGATTATTTTAGTGATTATTTCAAAAACACAAACTAACTTTCTTGGTATCTACATAATTATAGAAAGTTTTATCACCTCGAATCCCAATTTGTAGATTTGAAGCAGCAATTCTCGTACTCTTGCATTGAGAGACTCCCATGATTCGGTCGAAAGGTTGGGATCACTCGCGGGAAGTCGACTACGCTCTAGTATATGTTTAGTTTGTTCCACTAGACAATTGCGTAGGGCCATTAGGCTGTTCTGAAAATTAAATTTCTCAGAATAATTACTTTCCTCCAAGATTACGCAATTAAAAAATACAGTGACAGGTCTTCTCCGTTCGACTCTGAATTTGAGAACTGGCAGTAAAAGTAAATTTAGAAGAAATTAATATTTTTACATTTAAACGTGGCCGATTAACTCGTAGCAATAAATTTATCCATACTGGTTAGGAATTGAAATAGAATATGAGTAACTTATAAAGCTTAAAAAGATATGTACCCAGAATTCGGTTACTACTCTAATTTATTTCTAGCTCTGGATGATTTTTTTTGTGGGGACAAAAGGGTAGGAGGCCTGCCTGATGTTTAGTGAAGGCTCGCAAGTGCGTTGCCGGTGTTTTAAGAATTGGTACGCTGTTTTCTTGAAGGACCCTCACCCTTGTTACGTAGCTTTTTAGATAAGTAAGAAGTTTTTATGTTCAAATTTGTTACGTTAAAATAATTAATTTTAGTCAGTGAAAGAAATTATCAATTGTTAACTCATATCAAATGAACATAATTCAAATGATTTATGTAACAAATTTTCTTGTCTACTTACAAATATTTGCGCCTTATATCGTGCGTGATGCGGAGGCAGTCTGTTTGCGAGTGCGCGCGCCCATTGCGCGGCCTGAAGTGCGCTTTCTCGAGATCCCGTATAGATCGTTTGGGCCTCGCGACACATCAGGTATACGACGTACCTGTCAATAACATTTTATATTGTTTTATGAAATGGTTATTTTAACATATAAATATGCCAAGCGAAAATATGTATACGATTGTGGTTGGACCAAGGGGCGTATTACCAATTACAATCAACGAACGCAAAATCGTAATTTACATTACCAACCCCTTATTAATAAATAAACAGTGCTTAACAATTTATACAGCTAATCATTAAATAAATCATAATAAATAATAAATTGTTTATTTGCAAAGAAAGTGGTACATTCAGATTGATTAGTTATAAAAAAGCCATATAAAAATAGGCATGCAAATGTCATATTAATTATCATGATGCCATAAAAATAACAGTTAAGTTATAATTTTTTGAGATGACATAAAAAAACCAGTGGAGCATGATGTACGGACCCGAGCGGTAACGCAAGTTCGGCTCTGTACATCGAGAGCAAACAACGTGTACGGCGTGATAACGTTGAGGTATTTGCTACCGCGGCTAATAAATGGTCTACCAAATCACATATTAGATTGCCTAACGCCAACCAATATAAACAGCAAATTAAAAAATTACTTTTATATGAATTTGTCGCGCTCCTAAACAAGACTGTTATGGTTACATGAATATAAACCACGGCGGTTAGCTAATGTAACTTATTATGATTGTATTATATTTTTGTGTAAAATAAAGAAATAAAAAAAAAAATGTGGTCAAAACTTTTGATCTAAATACTCTCCCACGCTATAAAGGCACCTTGCTTTTAAATTCAATCACCTTCTTCTTGAAAGCATTACACGGCAGTGATCTATAAATGGGAGGGTGATGAAATAGTTTCATAGCCATGGCGTAACAATTTATATTAATAATTAATAATAAATAAATAATTTTTTTAAATACATCGTAGTGCAACATGCAGTCACCTACAGCCGTGTTCGATCCCTCGGTAGATAATTTGGTACTGTCAAAATACCGAGTTCTGGTGTACAGCTTACAAGAGGTCCAACACAAAAAGCCCTTTTTTACATGATATGGAAAAAAATTTAAATCGCGAAATAATCACGGCCCTTAAGGCATAAACATAAAAAAACGAATTTCCTTTTCACGTTACTCAGAAACAAAATATTTTCAAAACTCATCCTATGTACATCTTGGGAAAAAAGATTGAGTGAGTGTATAAACTCTTTTTTTTATTTTAAAACAATGTTTTCTTCTAAATATTAAAATTATTCACTGCTCTAAGACAAGAAAACTAATTTGAATAAGTCTTTGGTACAAATTAATTTCCTATATATTTCTTCTAACCACAGTTACCTGGCGTTCATTTAAGATGATTTTCCTTTATATAACCTATATTAAATAATATTACCAACCTCTGAGCGTCACCTTCGGCACTTTCATTGAGCTCAAGTTCCTTTAATTTATCGAATTTCTCCTGGTACTGTTTTAAAATCCTATCCAACTGGTTACACGCGATATCCCTGGAAGAAATATGTTTTAATTATTATAATAATAGTCATCCCGCCTCTTCAAATATTTCCTCAATGTATTGACCCCCCTCTTCTGCTTGCCAGCAAAAGTAAGCAAAACACTCAAAAATAAATAGTACACAATATTTTGTAGGAATTTGGAATCCTCGAAAGTGCATTTCGTTTTCAAGCATTGTCTAATGTCTATGTGTGGGTAATATGTGTAAAATAAGTAAATAATTACTGTTGACGGTATCACCAAATAACAAAATCAAAGACCCCCCCCATACTGCTTACGTAATACTTGGAGGGCCGGAGGGAAGAAGCAGCTATGTAAGTGCTTGCTTTATAAGTTAATTACTTTGAATTTCATAGTATGTTAAACTAAATAGTTAGGCAAGATAAAAGGCAAATTAAATAGTTAAACTAGTGCACACTCGGTGAACACAAGTTACAAATTTTTTATACAAAATTATCATTATCAGTGTAACATCTGGATTTGAATTTATAGTCTGGGCTAATAGTTCACCGAATGCCTGTTAGATCTCAAACAAACTTAAGATTTCACCTTTTGTTCAGAGTAAGTAGAGTACTGCTTAGCTTTTTTAGTCTCACTACTTCAAAATCATTCTTTTTATATAGATGTAAAGGCCAAAAACACTAAAGTCTTAGTCTCCCTTATTCCAAAACGTAAAAATCCAAAAATATTTTTAAGATCAAATTGCTTATCAAGAAATTCTGTCGTCTAATTAGCTTGGAGTATGAAAATATACTAACGCGAAAGCAGGTGGCGCTAGTTTCCTCGCAGGCGGCGCACGCGCAGCCAATCGGATGGCGAAGGCCCATTCGGCGGAAAGCGCAGCGCGACTCAGTGACTCTTGAAGCGACATTGTACGGAGATATGATAGGTATAACTAAAAAAGAAATTTAAATAATCAATATTATTTTTTATTGCCGACATTCTTGGGTGTTTATGTAAAAATAAATGTAATATTTTTTTTATGGCAACAGTTAAATGTAAAATCCTTGTTTTTGAATTCACTTATTTGCCTAATTCAGATTAAGTACCCGATGGATGCTTAGCAACGCTTTTTTTTAAATTTGTTACCCCACTACCGAATATATTTCGCCGAGGTTACTGAACTCCGGAATTTAAGACTTCAAATTCGGTCTGTAAAAACCAACCTTCAAATGTCTTTTTGAACCTTGGGAACGAATAAGGAACGACAATGTTAATATTCTGTAAGAGTATTAGATAGCTTTAAAATGTTGCCATTTTCAAAAAAATTGGTTTCGCTGGATTTATACAAAAACTTCTGATTGTGCCTGGCTTATAAAAAATAAAATCAGTGGCGCTACAACCTTTTTAGGTCTGTGCCTGCGATTTCTGTTCGTGATCATTTGTCAAACGCCGTCAACTTTATGTATCTAGGACAAGCCGGTTTTCTCACGATGTGCCCATTTAGCATTCCCTCGAACGATCCAATAGAAAGAAAGTCCATTGGTGCACAACTGGGGATCGAAGCTACGAGCTCAGGGATGAGAGTCACACGTTGGAGCCATTATGCCAACATTGCTCTATCTGGCTTATTAACGCTATATTATTAACCGAAGTTTAACGTAAATTATTGGGACAAAATACAACACTAAGTCTAAAAAGTGTGTGTAATATAATATTAGTAGTAATTATTATTAGCAAAGTATTACCTGCGTGCAAGTATCCACGGTGGCGTCGTACGTCTTAAGCACCATGAGGAGATCCTGCCTCGTGGTGGGCGCTATGGACCAACCCCGTAACGCGGCTTCCACGTTCCGTGCGAAGGAGGCGCGCGTTTCGGCCGCTATATCTAAACCTTCTTTTAACTCGTGGATTAACTGGAAATAGATTACAAATTTTTTAACTGTATTATGGGCTAACTATGTAAAATAAATCAAATGAGAAATTTAATAAATAACACTATACTCTGATTTTTTATTCCGTAGAATTCTGGCAGCTATCATTTTTTTTACAAGTCAGAGATGACAAACCTTTTTGGCCGGGCGCATTTTTCAGTTTCAATACGAGTCTCTGAGTCTATACATAGATATTATTTGTTAGTGAATGTATCCATTTTATTAAGTGCGGTGCTCCACATTAAAAGTGGTTTAACGGCGAGTGGTAATTACGTCCTTTTCATCACAAACAGTAAAAAACGCACAAGTAAAGATATTTTTTTTTTAAACCAGGAATTAATAAGCAGTAATGTCAGCTAAATAATAAAATAGAGTAATTAAAGTTAATTCGATATATTGTTCCTGATATTGAAATATTTGCTATTGTTGGATTTGGTCACTTGAGTAAGTAAATATTTTGATTTACCTTTTTGTAGGTAAAACATAAAAAATACGTAGCATTTTGAAATTATACTTCTTTAGGCGCGTTATGAAAAATTTATGAGAGTGAAATTTTACGATGCGCGCGCACCGTGACACAAAATTATCAGTATGGGCGCCGAGCGTGCGCGAGCGAGATGGGAATAAGACAATCTACAAGTAAAAAGAAATAGAATATGCGTGACGTTAGCCAAGAATTTTGAATGACCATAATGACATTTGTAGTACCTTTTAAACAAATAAAGGAGTTTTAATTATTTTTTCAAAGAAATTTAGCAATGCTTTTTCACAAAGACCTATTGTTACTTAGTTAAAAGGTTATGAAACTTACCTAGTTATTAAATTGAATATATAATAAAATAATAAATAATTATTATTATTAATATTAATTAATAATTGAATAATATACTAAATATTAAATATTGTTAAATTATTAACGCTAAATATTTATTCTTAATTATTTTAAAAAAATAAAGAAAGCCAAGGAAGCATAACTTCCTACGCGCGCACCATTTTCTATTGCATAAGTCAAATTTGTCCCTTTTTCGGTGGGCAACTTTTTTAGTAGCAACACTTATGAAATGTGAGAATTCGACAGCATGAAAAATCAGAGTATACTAAATCTTAAAATTAAATAAATAATGGCGGCAGGAGGATATTTTGGACTATCCTTTCCACCCTTTAAGTGGTAAAATTATAACCACATAAATTATCTGTTTTTCTATGACCATATAGAGAGTATACTTTATTTAAGAACGTTTTCCAAAGCCCTTACAATGTTAGAAAAAAATCCAATATTTATAATCAAAAGCGTCAAATACACGGCCTCGTGCCCGTTTGCCTCCGTTAACATAAAAAAAACAATAAAATCGCAATTTTTGATATTAAATAAAATAGTTTTACCTGTTTGATAGTAAGACATGACGGTTGATCGGGACGCGAGTCAACCCGCAGGGCGAGGTAGTCGTGCAGGGCCTCCATACAGATGCAGTTCAGCAGCAGAAAGTGGTTTCGGAAGGAAGGTAGCTGCATTGAAATGCTCTCGGGGCTCCAGCAACCATACCTATAAAAAAAATTACAATTAATTTTTATTTATACGTGATTTAGAGCAAAGATATATCGATTGATATTTTGTATTTTTACTACGTGATTTGTAAAATTTGAAGAAAAAGATACAGGGCCTGATCCAGAACCGATACTATTTTGAAACTATATTCTAATACTTTTAGACGCTTGAATTTTAGGAAAAGAGCACACTCAAAACTTAAGTATCTATTTTCAGACAGATTTGACATCAGTCCAGTTCGCAGACCTAGAACGATTCTCGCTGACAACTAACATTAAAAATCACTGTGTAGATGTTTAAAGGCCAGCAACGCACTCGCAAGCCCTCGGTCATTGAGTGTCCATGGGCGGCGGTATAACCTAACATCAGGCCCCTTAGCCCCCTGTTCTGTAAAAAAAGAAATATCCCGTTTAACCCCCCCCGTTAAATAAATTGTATAAATGAATGGCAGAGAATTAAATTTTTTAAACATAATACCTTTTTAATACATATATATTTTTTGCATTTGTCTCTTTGTCATCTTTGGTCGAGTCGATATCTGCTTCATCTTCCATGGACGCGTCTATTTGCTGAAAATTATTTATGAACATATTGTATAGCTGAGATGCTTCCATAGATTAAAAATTGTATAGAGTATTGTTGGTTTAGTGATTCGAGCTTGCGTCTTTTATCTCTGCGGCCTTCAAAGAAAAATAGATGATCCCGAAACAGATACAAAAATCTGAAGACCAAGGGAAAATTACAGAAATAATATATTTTGTCTTTGATTAACATAACTTTTATTCATTTAATAAAACACTATTTTGACCGGATTGAAGTTATGTATTATTATAAATTTACAACTATTTAACATAATTTTAAATTTATCCGACGTTTCGCGTGCTTTACAGCGTGCGTGACCACGCACTTATATATAATACATAACTTCAATCCGGTCAAAATAGTGTTTTATTAAATAATATATTTACCTGTGGTTCCTGCAACACGTGGTAGACCTTGTGCAGTATACTACTCCAGATCTTGTTCATAAACATCATACAACGTCGGACTCCCGCCGTTTTAAGCATGTCGTAATGATAGTCGCTGGAATAAAAAAATAATAAATAATAAAAGCAGTGTTGTGTTGGCTTCAGCTTGCGACTCTCATCCCTGAGGTCGTAGGCTCGATCCCCGGCTGTGCACCAATGGACTTTCTGTCTATGTGCGCATTTAACATTCGCTCGAACGGTGAAGGAAACATCGTGAGGAAACCGGCTTGCTTTAGACCCAAAAAGTCTAGCGCGTGCGTCAAGCACAGAAGGCTGATCACCTACTTGCCTATTGGATTAATAAATGATCATGAAACAGATACAGAAATCTGAGGCCCAGAACTAAAAAGGTAGCGCCATTGATTTATTTTGATTTTAATTAATTAAAGTACAGTTTCAGGTTATTCATAAGTGACTATGGAAGTCATATAATTTGTGCTTTTTATTGACTCGAATTAAACATTTATAATTACAAGAATCCGTCAAATCTGTTCCGACGAATCAAACTCTAAGATAGTATTAGGATTATACAAGCGAAGATGACAAAAATAAAATAAAATATGTTTATTATGCAATTTAAGATACAGGTATCACTTGTAACACGTCATTAAATTACATTGAATTTGATGTCATTATCGATTCTACTAATCTGTGAGTATTTTGTGCCACGTGACTTTTAAATTAATGATGTGATTATTTACAAGTTATTTTAATCTATAAAGCATGTTATTAATAGATTACTCTAGTTATGTCACCAAGCGTTAGTTAACTTATATATTACTTAATAAAAAAAGCGCAAATGTTAATCTTACACTTGTAGCCAATAAATTGTAAAACGTCAGATTTGCTAGTAATAAATGAGCCGTTTAGTTCTACATATATTCATAAATTATAATATAACATTCTCCTTTCCGACAATGGCGAATAGGTCGACAGAACTTATATTCGTTATAGGTAACAAATGTGTCGGGGAAAGTTCAAATATTACGTAACGAATTTTGGGTGGGGAGGATTGTAAATCCTCTTGTAAAACGTTACGATGCGGGGGCGGGAATTAAATTACGCGTTATTGTTAATATTTTTTTCGGCTTTCCAGTACTTTACACCACATAATGGTAACTTTTAGGTATTAAGAGTCACAGGGTGGTCACGAAACGTTTTACTATTGGATACGGAGAAACGATACGGCGCGTTACATGGGGGGTCAATAATTTCCAAAAATTGCGTGACGTAATACTTGAACGCTCCCTCATTTGGTTTTAAGAACCCATCAATAAGTCAAGTTAGTTTTTTGTTAGTCCAGGGTCGCAGCCCCACTACCCCTAATTATATAGTTATAAGCTTGTTTTCAACGATTAAACACAATTGACACCCAGCTTCAAACAAAGTGTCTCATTCAGCGAGAGTTTATTGCCAGTTCTTCTCTTCCGTTCTACGCCAATTTGAGAACTGGCAGTAAAATTGAAGCATTCATATTTCTTTTTTGACGTTCATAAGTGTACATTTTGTTACCTATATGAATAAATGATTTTTGACTTTTGAACATGCCTCCAACAACCGCAACTCTCTTTCAAGCACATTTATTGTTCACTTTATAGATAAAACATCTTACCGATAAACAGAGACCTGCTGTCGGTCCAGCAGCCTCATTTGTGTTAAATCATCCAACGGCCCAATGTAGAAGGCATCTCCGCGTAAACACTCTTGTTCGACGGAAGCGTAATCTTCAGAATCGTTCGTGCTGTACGTATCCAATACAATCTCGGGAGTTGCGTCACCTGTTCGATCTGGAAAAGGTTTTGAAATTAATTTAATTTAATAGAACGTAAAAAAGTTCAGATGAATATCAACCGCTCGGTCAACCGCTGGCACGCTGACGCGATTTTCCAAAACTTTTAGAGATGAAGGAGCTCACTTAAATAATCTTTTACTAAAGTCGACGCATTTTTAACTGATTCGTCCCATTATTGATACTTAACTACCTGCGCACGCGCTCTGACTCCTGATTGGTCGTTACGAGTAAGGGTTGTTGTTTTTCTATAAATATAAGATTGTTTTATGACATTCATTAGATTACTTACGCTTCATTACGCAATACGCACAATGCAGAATTTATTTTCTAACGTGGTTTTGAAGAAATGAAATGGTGACATTCATCTTAGAAATTTTATTTTTTTATTTTTGGCGAAAATTATTTCTATTAATATATATTCCGTTATAAATATGCTCCTCTACAATTCTTACGCACAACACTCCACCTCTCCATAAGACCTGTAAGTGCGAGCGAGACAGACAGATACATATGATTTATGACCCGAAGCCTCAGTTCATAATGCGTCGACGTAGTATGAATATATGTACAACAAATTAGTTTTGATTGCTCTGTCTTATTTCTCGCATCCTACCAAATTAAATACACCTTTATAAATAAGCCTAGTTAGCCACCGTGGCGATGCTAGATAGCTTTGAGAAAATTCCACCACCTCTGATCCTACCTAAGTCTCTTGATGCAGACATCCTGTAAACATCCCATATTCTTTCTTCGGCAATTCTCTCATATATAATATATATGAAGTTGGTTTATTTCCTTTTTGTACTTGGCTATTAGATATATGTCGGAGATTCAACGCGATTAATAATTACAAAGTTGGTATCACTACCGTCGTCCGACTTTATTACTTAATATTTAAACACAGTCAGTGCGCACGTCCGGAACAGGCGCCGATCGGAAAGCAACTCTCGCACTTCACGACCGATTCTACGCACTACTGACATCTTGACTTTGACAATTGACACATTGACACTTTACAACCTGTAAGATATCCATGATATTGCGTGGTGTTGCCATTGTAATCAAACAAATTACACCGTGTTTTATTACAACCTAATCTCTGACATATATATATTTGGGTAGCTGATAAAACAATTGATAAGTAATTTTTTCAGCTTGAACTACATCTCGATTCTCACGTCGGTGAAGTCGTGAACGATCCAATAAGAGTATACTCTCAAAGGCCAACAACTCACCCACTAAAAATGAGTGTCCTTGGGCTGCGATGACTGGCCCTTTTGGGGATCTCGAAGGCTCGTTTGCCCCCCTATACTATAGAACTGGCTCTTATGTTGAGATTGTATATTTACTGTGTCGTGTCATATGTACATAATTTAGTTTTTGACTCACCAGATCTACTATATCCGCTGTCTACTGTACCATCTTCCTGCTTAAGAGATTCGTTATCCAAAGGTTTTTGCACTTTCTCTTGGTCCTCCGAGCCGGACTTTTTATCATCATGCGACTGTCCGCTCGATGCGCTGCTATTAGAACCACTCGGAGTGGTTATATTGAATCGCACTTGGCTCGAGTGGGCATTTGAAGATCTATAAAAAATATTTAATATGTTGAAGTCCGGGCAACATTCTTTATATTGCATTAATTCATGTGACACTATTCTGAGCAATGTTAGTGATTTTTTAAGTATTTCTCAAATCTGAATGAATGTTGTCTAAGTGCAATTAACATTTGATTGCATGGTAAAGGAAGAAACACAAACATCGCAAAATTAACAACATAATATCTTAAGTTAAATATAAAGTCCCTTTTTAGGAAAGGGAAGCTTTGACACTACCCTACTGCCTAGATTTTCGGCCTCAAACCTGCCTGATCACGTGCCTGATAGGCTACTATGTACCCCATTAAAAAGCTATATTTAAACTTAAACGGACGTGTACCAGGCACTGAGATCTGATCACAATCAAAAAGAAATTAGACCGTAGTTATAATAACTCTTTATTTGTTTAAATGCAATTAGCTGTTAAAGTAACAAACAAAAACGATTATTATTTCGCCGAGAATCAAACCCAACTAATCCACAACAGTTTTATAATATGTTAAAGTCATGAAATAACCTGCTACTAGTAGAATCAACTGACGGTTTGTGTTGCATTTCTCTTCGACGATTCCGTGCGCGTACAATACGTAACAAACGACGTACCGATAACAACTTTAGCCGCATGTGAAGGGCCGTGTTGTACCAAAGACACATTGCCTAAAATAATAAAAATTATTAAATCTTTATATTTTATATTACACCTGGTAATGAGCTGGGTCTTGATATCCATAGTTGCTCCCCTTTCAATCGCTTTAAAATAGATTTTCAATTAGTTTTTATAACTTAATCATTTTGTTAAATTTTTTTTTATCATCTCTTGTCTGTTATGTTTGCCTATAAGTGCTTGTTAGTGCGTGCTGTGTTAAGTACTCGGAAATTTCCGACTTTCGGCACAGTTGTTTGTACTAGGATCTATCAAAAATCGTATTACATCCGTAAAGACCTTTGTCGTATTGATTTATTTATGTGAATTTATAACAAAAACACCAAAGCACCAATAGGACATGTATTTAAATTCTAATATAAAACCGTAAGAATTCAGTCTGTGCGAAAACAGAACCGTCGTGGGACTCGGGTGGAGCAGTGCTTAAAGAAACCATTTCGAGGTTGATCGAATTTAGCTCGATATTATCATCTTGATACATAATGTGAAATAAAATTTAGAAAACATTACAAATATAGTATATATACTGTATGTATGAAGATAACAACTCAAATGAACAGTAATGTACTAATTACCAGCAACACAGGAAACCCAGAAATTACACTTTAAAAAAATTCGTTCTTTGTCCTAAAGTTTGTTTTATGATTTTTCGCTTAATTATGCCGAAACGAAAAAAATATTGGTATAGTTTACGTTTTTAATACATATAGTGATAATACTCATTTCTGAATCCACAGATTTTGCTAAATATCCTTCAATTAGGTCGATAAATACAAAAGCAAACTTTTTCGTGTCATATATACTTTTCAATAATATCGAAATGTTACGTCAAATTTTCTACCCGTGTTAGGGTAATAGCAAACTAGCGGCCAGGCCACAGCGTCCAAAGATAGATACATTATTATGAAATCGCCATAGAGCACGCGCACGCGCCTCACGTGGCCAGCAGCTCCATGGAGACGCGGAGGCCAACGAGATCTGCGGTCCGTGGTTGGTCGCAAATTTAAAATATTTTAAATTATCTCCTGAATGTCCATTTTGAAGCGCGCTGTATTTGCACTGACGAATGCAGCTGCGGTTTTGCCCACGGTACTTGGTCTCGACTCGACCAGGCCGCTATTGCCCTTATTAGCAGTAAGATAATTTTAGTGACTGAAATGATGCGTATGCGCTACGTAGACTCCTAGACAACTTACCCTAATTCTATCATTAAGTTCAGATGACGCAAGAGCCGGGTGATCGTGCTTGGCAGCTGTAGACGAGGGATATAACGCAACAGCATTGTCAAATGCGTCCAAAATACCACCAACTTCACGCATCGCTTCTCCTATCACGTCCGAGCATAACGTGCAGTCTATACTGAGGCAGCCCAGTTGGATTTGTATATCTGTAAATTATCATCTACATGTTTATTGTATGCATAAAAATGATATTAGCACATGGAGTCGTGAGAGTTTTCATTAAATGGCAGCCACAAGATGGAAATGGTAGACAGGTCAGCGATTGATAATCTGGAAACCATGAGGGGACTTTCCCGGTTTTGCAAACAGGGCACAAACGGGCAGGAAACTCAGCTTATGTTAATACCACCGACCATGGACACTCACATTGCCAGAAGGCTCGCAAGTGTTGCCAGCCTATAAGAAAAGAAATAAGTGGAAATTGCCAGGAGTTCCCTACGAGTCCCAACACAGATTGTAGACCAGTTTTTTTGGGTTGTATTTCATTAATAATCGTTGTATGGTCAGATATATAAGGCTTTGATAAATTGATATCAGATAATGTGGTGATAATAATAGAACAGAAATACAACGAATGTGACATAGACAACAAGGGCGCAATTAGACCCATACTAATTTTAATACATACCCAAAGTTTTTACAGATTGGAACGATTTATATCGTATCTGTATCTACTAACATATTTTTATCAATATTATGCACGATAAAATGTTGTTTTTGCTTTAATCAATCGTGTGTTGCAACTGCAAGGGGCGGGACAAGATCCATTAGGGGCAGAGATTAAACGCGCCGCATCCGGGTTAGTATCAAAGCCCGATTAATCTATTGCGCAATTTCGACATCAGCGCTAGAACATCGCAGAACTACATCGAAATTGCTTACAAAAGCTTTGGAATCGGTATCGCTATGGAAGTTACATAGTACACTACACTACACACGCATAAATACAACAACTTAATATTTTTCATGGAGGTTTCTTTACCTGTAGAGGCGTCCATAATAATTTATGATTTTTAAAAATGAATTTTCATTTTGATTCTTTTTAATTTATTTATCATTTAAAATTTATATACATTGAAATTATTATGATTGGAATTTAAATTTAAATATTATAAATAGTAATATTGTATTTTTATACTATGTAATAATTAATCATATGATATACTTGTTTAATATATTATTCATTATAGAAATAAAGAGGCTTAAATAATAATAATAATTATATTTTTTGTTTTAACAACTACACATCTTATTTTACACATATTAATCTAGATTAATAGATCAATTGTTTTTATTTCTATCAGTTATATAAAGCGATAAAGATCTCGTGTTTCGTGATGAGTCAGTGTCGGAGCATTTCATTATCTCGTCTTCTTTATAAAAATAAATTATTACTCACGTAAATTCTATTTTAAAATACTTTAGACAGTTTAATATATTAACAAAATTCTAAACGCGTACAGCTTATATTAAAAAAGTATATATTTTTATACCCAAAATCCGCCGCTGAATTTTTTCACTTGTATCAAGGCGCATTGTCAACAACCATATCAATTTACATTAAAAACACCTTACCATCATGATTGGTTCCATCGTTGCAACAATCTAAAGACAGATCTTCATTGGAGCACTCTTGGGTCGGCTGCAATCTCGTGCCGGATCTACAAACTGGTTTTGAACTAACAAATCTGAAAAATTAATACATCATATTAAAAAAACGTGTGTGTACTTATGTACACGCGTTAGAAGTTATACTTCTTTGGCGTAACAAGATAAAAATCTTTTTAAATTTTTAGTCTTTCGCCTTATTCTACGTAGAAAAATCTAAACTAACAATAGAAAAAAGGTATTGAATTTTATTATTACGCATTATCTAGTTAAATAAAGTTTATTTAAATATCACAAAAAAAAATTTTCTACATAATTAAAGAAATGGTCATTTTTATTTTAAAATGTTGACTATGCTAACTTCAGGGTGTCGGTTTTTTGTGACGGTGTGCGCGCGCATCGTAAAAATTTACTCTCATCATTTTTCCCTAACGCGCCAAAAGAAGTATAACTTCAATAACTTACTTATAGTCCAAAATCCGTTGTACAATATTAGGTATAACGTTTCTCTGAGTGCAAAGGAAATCATCCTGCTGCTCAAGGGTCCGTCCAGAGAGCTTGGCCTGCAACTCCAGCCATATGAGGTCCTTTAACTCATTCTGCCATACTTGCTCTTCACGACTTATCTGAAAGGTTAAATTCGTTTTACGAACTCGACTCAGGCAACTTTGCCAAATCGAAAGCGCATTTATTAACATCACATTGTTAAAAAACAGGTATAAAAAGTAGAAAATTGATTAAAAGGGTGGGCAGCTTAGAAATATTCTTATATCTATATTAATATCTATTATAATAATATTATCTAATATATTTAATATCTTATTATTATTATCTATATAATGTTTATTATTATAAATAAAAATTATAATATAACTGGGGGCAAACGGGCAGGAGGCTCATCTGATGTTAAGCGATACCGCCGCCCATGGACACTCAATGCCGGAAAGATCGCAAGGCGAATACCGTTTAAGAATTGGTACGCTCTTTTCTTGAAGGATCCTAAGATCCGTACAAATTAGTACGGGAACACTTCAGAGGGCTGATTCCATAGTGGTGGTACGTACAAAAAAAATGTGGTGGTACGGCAAAACGTACCTTAAAAAAACCGTCGTGGAACGAAGGACGTCGAGGTGATACGGGTGGTAAATATTGCATTGTCTAAATCATTAAATACATAACCATTTAAAGAAAACATTCACATTTTTATTAACATTCGCTCGAACGGTGAAGGAAAACATCGTGAGGAAACCGGCTTGCCGAGTCGAGGGCGTGCGTCAGGCACAGAAAGCTGATCACTTGCCAATTAGATTAACAAATGATGAAACAGATACAGAAATCTGAGGCCCAGACCTAAAAAGATTGTAGCTCCATTGAATTTTAATTTTTATTTATAATAAGAATGTAAATTAAAGTGCTGACTGGCATTTAAGTAATCACTGCTAATAACTAACGAAACCTAATCAAGCAAAAATGGTCAGTTATACAGAATGTACATTATTCAGAATTCAATATAAATATATACTATATATATGTTGAATTCTGTATGTATGATATATATCATACTCACAGTTCTCCGGCATCCTTTCTCCATATTCCCCATATTAATGAGCATACTGAAAGTGTCGTGGAAATTGATGCGACTCGCGGGCACTTCATCATCACAACACCTTATTTCCTCTTCCGGTTGCCGACACTTCGGCCGAGATACGAGGGACATGAAACGACTGCACGATTCCACCTTCTAAATACCCAAAATTACAAAAATCTCTTTCATAGTATTTTAATTATTATATTATTTATATTTTGCTTTCGAATCGTGGTCGTCAAACTTTTTAATAAAATAATATTTGTCGGAGCAATGGCGCTAGTATCAGCTGCCATTGGTCATTATAATTTAATAACATCAAAGTCAAATTAGTTCAAATCCGTTATATAGTTTGTTTTATTTGCCAATATTAATAGATCTACAAATTAACGACTATTTGATAGTATTTAGTAATTCCATTGTCATTATTAATGTTGAAGCAATGATGTTAGTGTCAGCTGCTATTGTTCCGACATACACTATACAGTATACAGGTTGGCCAAAAAGTTTTGGATCAAACGCAACTAAGGGATAGATGAGGTTTTTTTTTTTATAGAACGGGGGGCAAACTGTCAGGAGGCTCACCCGATGCTAAGTGACACCGCCGCCCATGGACACTCTCAATGCCAGAGGGCTCGCGAGTGCGTTGCCGGCCTTTTAAGAATTGGTACGCTCTTTTCTTGAAGGACCATAAGTCGAATTGGTTCGGGAATACTTCAAAGGGCAGCTGGTTCCACATAGTGGTGGTCATCAAAATAAATTATAACTTTGCAGGAGTTGAGCTTAGGGACCTCCCGTAGAGCAATTTTTTGCAGCTGATAACCTCATCTATTTACTAGTTGCGTTTGATCCACGACTTTTTGGCCGCCATGTATAATAAGTTCTATTGTTAAAAATTAAAAAAAAGTCGTAAACCATTTAAGATTTATTTTTTACAATGACCTATCAAACAAAAATTTCACAAACTTACGTTTTAAAAACATCTTTTAATCTTCTGATTAAACAGGATTTGGGTTGTGAATCTAAACTCTGTTGTCGCGACTCAAATTAATTATTCTACAAATAACAACTTAAGTCTTAGGTAATAACGAACTTAAATTCAAAAATCACAGCGTCAGAAATTCAAAAATATCCCGCAAAAAATATATCTCATATTCATTAAAAAAAAATATTATTTTTAGACAAGCTAAATAACTCACCAAAGTAGGAACGGCAGCCATAACAGAGGGAGAAGGCAGGGAATCTGCCTTCGTCTCCATCTGCCCAAAGTCTTGCTTCCAGTCCCTCTCTTTGGCGCGTATGAATTTCATACTGGCCCGTTTCTTTAAACGCTCTACAACACAAATATAAATTGGGTTGGTAAAGGCTAAAATGTGTATAGTATATATGTGATATCAAACAGTAGTATAGAGACTCTTGGGCCGGACACTTGGGTTCAAGTGCACAGACATTAAATGTGTCTCTGTGTTTAAGTTTAAGGTTTGACAAAACATACATAATATTTTATGTAAATCACTGTTGTTGGTTGATTGTATTTTTTTTTGGTTGCCGTATTATAAGTGATAATAGAAAACACATAAAGACAACAAACAATACATAATTTTTTTTTGAAGAGGCTATTCTGATGTTAAGTGTGTGTTTGTGTGTGTTACCGCCCATGGACACTCTCATTGCCAGAGGGTACGCGGCATTTCAAGTATTGGTACGCTATTTTCTTGAAGGACCCTAAGTCGAATTGGTTCGTAAATACTTCAGTGGGCAGCTGGTTCCACATAGTGGTGGTGCGCGGCAAAAACTGCCTTAATAACGCTCAGTTGTGTGGTCGCTATTCCATTCTTACTTTTACATTCGCATCTTAGTATAATACAACTTATCTACTTACTGTTTCTATAAAATTCGTAATGTATAATGTATAGATAACTGAGTTAGTTGATTGTATTTTATTCGGTTCTCGTTTTATTTTGTGCATTGTAAATATGTAAAGCGTTTATGTGTTTTCTATTAGATTTCAAAATTACAACAGTAGAATGCTACATTATGCCTGAGGCTATATGCTATATTTATTTTCAAAATATTATTAAAATTATAATTTGTAGGTTATTAATTACAAAACACTAATACACACATTAACAAGTTAATTCATTTAAATATTTGCGCATTTATTCAACACAATAGCGTATTAAGTAAATCAGTTAGTAAAAATTATTTCCAACGTATAAAAAATGTATCATCGCTCTCCCTCTCTGTCTTTCTTCATCGCAGAGATCTCAAGATAAATACAGACATTTGAAATAACAAAATTACCTGGTGGTGTCGGCTGAGTTGCAGGGAAACTGTCAACCGACTTCCCGTCTGGCATGTTGTGGTAGCACAGACTCGAATCTATCATGTTTCTGAAAAATATAAGGACATAAATTAGGTTTTTAATGGGCTTTAAGAAATTACGTTATGAGTTAGACTTCTGATGTGTTTATAACAAGTCTACGGGATAGCCATAACGGCAGCCTATTAATAAAACACAAGAATACGTCTTCCTCTTAATGGAGACTGTAAGTAGTGTTATTGGACTCAAACTCGTAATAACTTTATTCATTCATAACCAAGTACACTTATGAACATCAACAGAAAAGATGTTAAATTGATTCTAAATTTACATTTACTACCAATTCGCTTTTAAATAATCGACATATTTATAAAAAGCTTTTAATGATTAATTAACGTTTAACGAGAAACATGTTAAATATCCGTATTAGTAAATTAGGTTACACTTCAATTACTTATTGAAGTTATTCTTTTGGCGCGTTACGGAAAAATGATGAGAGTATATTTTTACGCGACGCTATGAAGTTAGCTATAGTCAACATTTTAGTTTTTTCTATTATTAGTGTCGTTTTTTCTACTAACGCAGAATAAGGCGAAAGATAATTTTTTTGAAAAGATTTTTATCTTGTTACGCCATTTTTTATCTTGTTAAGAAGTATAAGTTCTAACGCGTGTACATAAGTACACACTATAGCAGTAATTTGTTTTATTAAAAATTACTCTTAAACAGGTAAAAACTATTTGTCGTTTGGAATTTTAAAACCAGTCCTCTGGTTGAGGAAAAGACTTATCGTTAAAGTATACTAATTATTATCGCCATGGATAATTTGAATACTTAATATACATTTTTTATTAATATTTATTTCTTAGTTATACGTATACAATACAATAACAAATAATACTTCGTACTGATTAAAAAAAACTGTATTTATTTATTTATAGCCACGCCAACAAGGCCACAAACAAGAACAGAAAAGAAGAAAGAAACAAGTTATAAAATGTATATCCAATGTGTGGCCTCGATAAAAGGCGTGTTACGAAAGGCGGGTGTACCCAAAAAAAAACAGTAAAATTATTATTGCAAAGCGAATACAACATAAATAAGAAGTACAGACAAAAAGTGCGTGAGTAAAAAGTACACATGTCAGAAGTGAATCCTCTTTGGCAAACCAATTTTTAAGTCTTGTTCATATTTATACAAATCTAAAACTATAGATTTCCGAGACTTGGACCCCTCCAAGGAACCCTTAAAGGAAGATATGTTAGGAATTTAATGAATATCATTAAAATATTAAAAGTGTCGAAAATTAATAAAAATAATAAATTTAATTTTTTAAATAATTATTTCTTCGATAATAAAAACACGTCATTTGGGATTTCAATACATTATTTTGCATAAAATATAAAATACTAATATTTGATAAATTCTCCTTAAGAAATTTAAATTTTAAAAATAGAATTTCTATATGGTAATTCACCCTTTTCACTCTCTCTCAATCGGTCTCTCCCTTTTCTTCGACAAAAACGCTGCACATCTTCGTGAGTTTCCGTAAAAATTTTACCCTCACTAAAGAGGTTTTACTTCTAAAATAGAAACTAAGTTATAAATCCATCTTACTGTCATCTTAGCCGAAAAGAATTTTATAGCTTGCTTCTAAACTTAGAGTTAATATAACAGTTTTCCTCAATCGGTGATACAAGAGTGGTGTCAAGTACTTTTAAGCTAAGCGCGTTCTTGATTTGATCAGCCCACCACAAAGGTTTTCTTCAAAGTCAAAGGGTGGTAAAGGGTTAAGGTTTAATTACAACTGATCTTAGCTCAGATCATTGTGGACAGTTAGTGGCGCTAAAATGTAAAGTGGTGAAACAAGTAAATAAGAGCAGTGTGTTTGTTCCAGTGAATAAAAAGCGAAAATCAATTGGTAACCCTACCCCGTTCACAATACAACAATCATGATTTTTAATAAGAGTCAACCATCACCCCAAAAAAGTCTCTATTCCATAAGAGGATGGGGAATATTATAAAAGAACAACGGGAACCTACCTGAAAACAAATCATGAAAATTATTCTTTATGTTCGAAATTATTCGAAATTTTTAAGAAAGTGTCCCAATCCAAAAAGATAAAAATATACCAATAAAACAAAAATTGAAGAAATGATATGAAACGGAGAGCACAACAACGACAGTGCGATAACACATAATCAAACAACGAAGAGAAGCGATTGTTTTTGATAAGTACTTTTCTGACATTCCAATTTCGACTACTAAGTCTCTTCAATCATCTCCCGCCCTCCCGAATGCTGCTCAAAGATAATGTAAACGAGTGCAAGGTCAGTTTTTCATTCCGACCCATTGGTGCCGACGATATAGTGAGGATATTTAGAACCATAGATATTAAGAACACTACCGATCTTTGGGGTATTTCTGTAAAAATAATTAGTAGCATAATTGATGTAATTGCTCCCCATCTAGCTATAATTTTCAACAATTGTATTAAAAGTGGCGAGTTTCCCGATCTAATGAAACATAGTAAAGTTATTCCTTTATTTAAAGCAGGTAGTATGTCCGACCCCAGTAACTTTAGACCAATTTCCGTACTACCTACTTGTAGTAAAATATTTGAAAAAATTATATTAAATCAACTGGTAAGTCATTTTAACGTAAACAAATTATTACATAATAATCAGTTCGGTTTTACCAAGGGTCGCTCGACAGCCGATGCCGGTGTTGAGTTATATAGATATATAGTTAAGGCTTGGGAGGAGTCGCATGACGCTTTAGGTGTTTTCTGCGACTTATCCAAAGCATTTGATTGTGTCCAACACGAGACCTTAATCGGGAAACTCCGCCACTATGGCATCAAGAATACCGCACTGAATCTTCTGACTTCCTATTTACACGGAAGAACTCAGAAGGTTGAAGTGAATGGTAAGAGGTCCTCTGGGTCGGCAGTAGATATGGGGTACCACAGGGCTCAATTCTTGGCCCTTTCCTCTTTCTTGTTTATATAAATGATCTACCTTTCATGGTAGAGAGAAAACATCAGATAGTTTTGTTTGCTGATGACACGTCCTTGATTTTTAAAATCAAACGACAAATAACAAATTTTGACGATGTGAACAATGCTCTGTCTTCGATTGTCCATTGGTTTAGTATGAATAACCTTCTACTTAATGCAAAAAAGACAAAATGCATTAAATTTTGTGCAAAAAATGCAAGGGTTATGGATACTAGACCAATTATAAACGGTGAGGAATTGAATCTGGATGATACAACTGTATTTCTCGGAATCACCATGGATTCAAAACTTCAGTGGTCCCCTCATATTAACGGATAGGCGAAGAGACTTAGTTCTGCAGCCTACGCGGTTAAAAAAATTCGCTCACTAACTGATGTCGATACAGCTAGACTTGTTTATTTTAGTTACTTTCATAGCTTAATGACTTATGGCTTATTATTATGGGGTCATGCTGCTGATGTCGAAACTATTTTCATCCTGCAGAAGAGGGCTATTCGTGCAATCTATAATTTAAAATGTAGGGAATCTCTTAGAGATAAATTCAAGGAAATTAATATACTTACCTTTCCCTCGCAATATATTTATGAAAATATTATGTATGTATACAAAAATAGTGATAAGTTTACTAGAATAGAACATACGCACAATGTTAATACACGGAACAAACGCAGGCTGCAATTTCCCCGTACTAGACTATCTAAAGTTAGTAATTCTTTTTTGGGGAAAGGGATACTCTTCTTTAATAAAATCCCAGAGGCTCTTTTATCACTGCCTTTCAATAAATTTAAGAAATGTATTAAAGAAAAGCTGTGTAAAAAGGCTTACTATAAAGTCAACGATTATCTAGTTGATAAAAGGGCCTGGGACTAGTGCTAGACAGGCTACTTCTAATCAATTTGCGATATTTGTTTTAAATAAGTGTTGTTTGATGATTTGCTGTTTTAAAAGAGTACCGAGAGTTTTTTACGCCGGCTTTTTCTCTCGGCCTACACCCTCTGTCTTCTTTGCCGATGAGTAGGGATGCCTTCAAATTTAATGACGTGGAATAAGTGATACATGTATCTTATGTTCCATAATAAACATATTTTATTTTTTTTTCTTCGAGCTTTTCTCCGTTCCACCCTCCCTTGCACTACCAGTCTATCTATGGTTTATGGATATGAAGATAGACGCTGCTTTCAAGCTACAAGTGATGGATTGGTTGAACCTAGTTTTGGATTCACCATATTCCGAGCATTTGGTTTCATTGGTGCTCAAGGAATGTTGCGGATACAATTCCACGGGTTTTCCCAGTTTAAGTACCCGCTGCAAACTTAGCGCGTAGTAAGCCGGACACATATGTATTACTAATGTATGTTTGAAGCAATTATTATTCAAAACATTAATGTACACGAATTTCACCTTGACAACCTTTTTAACGAAAAATATTTTTTTTTGTATAAAACAACTCGCGAATGGGCAGGAGGCTCATCTGATGTTAAGCGACACCACCGCAAATGGATACTCTCAATGCCAGAGGGCTCGCGAGGGCAAAGCCGGCCTTTTAAGAATGTGAACGCTCTTTTCTTGAAGGATCCTAATTAGAATTGGTTCGGAAATACTTCAGTGGGCAGCTGGTGGTGCTGAAAACTGCCTTAAATAACGCTCAGTTGTGGAGCGACGGGTGTCGAGGTGATACGGTGTGTAATTTTGTATTCTGCCTCGTTGTCCGATGATAAAACTCAGCTGCAGGTATTAACCCAAACAATTTCCATGGTAAATGCGGTAAAAGCACATCTCTACGCAACGCCAAGGGATCAAGCCGCTCGGAAAGGGATTGGTCGTCGACGATTTGAAGTGCTCTCTCTTCGTTAGCAGTATTTTGAGCCCATTTATGGACAAAGGCCGTCTTTGCCAATGAGCTCTCGTATTCTGTCTATTAAGCCGGTTGCAGACCGAAAACTAAGCTATGCCAAACAAGCTAGGCTAAGCTAAGCTAGAAATAAATAGCGTGCACACCAACAGCTAACCCAAAGCTCAGTCAGTGTTGCATACTATGTGCAAAGGGTGTGCGGGGTAGCGGGAGGGGCTTAGCTTAGCTCGTGTAGCTGCGCATCGGCATACACAACTAACTTAGCTTCGCATATTTTAGTTAGCTCACATAGCTTAGTTCGCATAGTTTGCGGTCTGCGCAGACGTATGGAAAATTGGGTCAGCTATGCGAGCTAAGCTAAACTAACGTAGCTTAGCTCTTGGTCTGCAACGCGTATTACGCGTCTACCGCCAAGATGCTATTGTTTCAATATGGCATCCTGCTACCATTTCATAAGCCTCTTGTTCTGCTGGAAATCAAGATTTTGCATCAAGAATTTTTCGGTTCAACGACCATTTCTTTACGCTACATACCTATATACATATATTTATAATGCAATATTTGATTTTTCAGTCAAATTATAATTGCTACTTATATTTGCCAATTATATTTGCCAGAAGCGGCCTTGAAATGATTACAATAGCAAATCGAGCATATATGTATTAAAAAAAATATGTTAATTTTTGTTATTTTTTTTTTTTTCAATTTAAATAATGCTACAAATGTAATTATTTTTTTTTGTATCTCACACACTGTTTTGTTGTGTTTTTTTAATATTTTTATTACTCTTTAATGTTAATATTCTAAGGTTTCGATATTTGTAAATATGTGAGGAACATGTATACTAACTTTTTTAGTATAGTAGTTTATTCTAAGAGTACATTGTCTTCACATATAATTATTTAACAAATGTAACAAAATATTGTAAACCTATTTTAAAAGAGTAAGTGTGGAGTTTCTTGCCCATTCTTCTCCACACGAAACTACCTTTTGGAAGGGGCAACTAGAATCATCTTTATATTTTTTTTTTTTGACGTTCAAAGGTGCCATTTTAGATGGTCTAATTGAAATAAACGATTTGACTTTGACTTTGACTTTGACATTATATATATTTATTGGTTTTATACACAGCAAAATTATATGTATCAGCGACAACTGGCACTACAGCGTGATGAACTACTGACATTAATTTTGTCGACGCAAAAAATATAACACTTATCAAACTAACATACTTTTGAAGCCTATGTATAATATAAAACATGTTCTCCTCAATCATATTAAAAACGCTTTAAAATTTTTTAAAGTTTAAGGAAATATCTATTACCTATGTAATAATTTCTTTAAAAAAATGAAATGTTTGAGGCGCAAACTAACTGTTGTGGCCTCTGGCAGAATGACCAGTGTGGAACACGTCTGGTCCACAGCATAATGCTGAGCCAGGGCCAGTTACAACGACAACACACACACACATAACACACTTAAACAGTACCTTATTCCAAAAAAAAAATTTTCTTTTTCTTTTTTGATTAATATAATTGAAGTTATACTTCTTTAGGCGCATTATGAAAAAGTGATGACAGTGAAATTTTACGAAGCGCGCGCACTGTGACACAAAATTAACAGAATGAATTTGCCCACGGAAGATGCTACGGCATTGGACATAATTTAAAAACAACATTCGAATAATAATTGAATTTATGTTACACTTAATGTAAGAGAATAATAATAAATATTTATTTAATTTTTCAAATGTAAACTGAACTTTATTGACTATAATTACTCCTTTTCCAGTCTTTGATTATTTAATTGTAATTAATTATATGCATGCAAACAAAAACAATTTTTAATAATGCCAAAGAAGTATAACTTCTTACGCGCGTACATAAGTACACGCACCCTTTTTTTGTGCCTGTCTATGTCTAATACTAAGCTAAGTAACTAAGCTTTTGTAACATGGGCTTTCATAGAAATAAAACCTATTTTTTATACATCACAATCGGTTATCACAGACAAACAACATATTTTGTTGCCGCAACTATGAGTCAGGGGACTGTACCGACTGGGTCGCGTTCTTGCGCTGACTCACAATTGATTACGTGATAAGGATTTATAGTAGGAATGATAAACATGTATGAAAAATTAACCATATAAATAACAGCTCTGGATTGCCTATATAACATACATATGTGAATATATTTTATATCAACCGCAAATCTGTCATCCGTCAATAGATCGCTATTGAAATTTTTCAATCACACACAAATATATTTATTATATTAGGTCGTTACATATGAAATTGGCGTTTTGTACGGGAAGAATAAAAATATTTTTTTTAATAGAATATTTAATGAATCAAAGTATGTTCCATTGCTATCTGTGATATTTTGCCATCTTATATGTAGTTCATTGATCCCTTTACTAAAAAAACCATTTAGACGGGAATCAATAACATCTTTGAAGGCGGTTTCGGCTGCCCCATCAGAGTTGAATTTTTTAATTTATTATCCACATTTCTAAAAAAATGGTAATCTGTTGGAGGTCCGGGAAGTACGGTGGATGTCTTAGACATATTGGAGGTAATATGGTAGCAGTCTGTTGTGCAGTGTGTGGTCTAGCGTTGTCGTGAAACAGCGGTCGCCTGGAGCGATTGACCAGTCTTGGTTGTTTAGCAGCAAGCTTTTCCATCATGGTTTGCAGTTGCTGACAGTAGCCATCTGCCGTAATCGTCAGGCCATATTTAAGAAAGTTATAATAAACGACCCATTCAAATTTCATATGTAAGGACTTAATATTATATACTTAAATTATTTTTTCTACGATGACAAATTGTAACAATTTGATGGAAATCTTAAATGGGTTAAACTCACCTCCTCTTCTCCTTATCTCGAATCCTGGACCGCGGAGGCGTGCTCCCTAAGAGATCAGCTTCGGACCCATCCCCACATTCCTCCAGGAGGAAGTGCGAGGATCGGGGATGGCGCATCACTACATCCTTGGAGTTCCTGTAAAATCATAAATTAAGTAATTATTATTATGAACGCAAGAAGCGCGATAGTAACAATACAATTTATAATACATTTTAGTAGGTTTTATAAAAAAAAATAAACAAAGGATTAATTAATATATAAAGTTGATTCATATTGATTTACACACAGTCGAAGTTTCATCAAAATCGATTCAGTATTTTTTGAGAATACGTATCTGTACATCTCGTATCATACGTGCATATCTTCGGAATAATATCGTTTATATTTTTTACATTACTTTTTATAATACATTCAAACATAATCAATAGTTAAATTTCTTCTCGTAATCAAATATCAAACAGGAAATATAAATATAGTTATCATTTATTCCAGTTTTAGTTAAGTTTTTGAAGTTATACTTCTTTAGGCGCCTTATGAAAAATTGATGAGGGTGAAATTTTACGATGCGCGCGCACCTGAGACACAAAGTTGTCAGTGTGATTATAGCGTGCGCGAACGAGATGGGAATAAGACAATCTACAAGAAAAAAGAAATAGAATATGCGTGAAGTTAGCAGCTATGCCAAGAATTTTGAATGACCATAATGACATTTTTTGTAGTACCTTTTAAACAAATAAAGGAGTTTTAATTATTTTTTCAAAGAAATTTAGCAATGCTTTGTCACAAAGACCTATTGTTACTTAGTTAAAAGGTTATGAAACATACCTAGTTATTAAATTGAATGAATAATATACATATATGACCCCTAATACCCTAAAAACCACGCGGCAGATCTGTGCCCAAGAAGCTAAACAGCATGGGAGTGTCTTTTCTACTCTGTTCTAAAAAAGGATTATATTTACTTAAAGGTCTGGCGCATCAAGTTAAATACCTACTACGTAAACAGAACTCATTTGAGCGTACGACCGTCCAGGCTCCAGAAGAGAAGGAAATTGTATTCGTTTTTACATCAAACTCCCAAGCGATATTAGAGAATTATTATCACTAAATAAATTCAAAGCCCTAGTTAAACATAAATTAATCAATAAAGTTTTTTTATAAATTTGACGATTATTTAAATGATCCTAATCCTTGGGATTGATTTGCTCCAGTTCAAACAATTTGTATGACTCAAAACTTAGCGATTAAAAAGAGTGGCGGAAAGTTTCTTGCCCGCTCTACGCCCTTGACTTGCGAACTGGTAGTAAATGTAAAATTTAATTTCTTTTCTGACGTACATAAGTGTACTTGTTTACCTATATGAATAAAGTTATTTTGAGTTTGAATCATTCTAACAAAGATAATGCATCAAAGTTAAACTAGTATTGTTGCCGAGTTTTTTTATTAATAGGACCCCTAGATAGTAGCCTATCAGATAGGCCATCAGGCAGATCTGTGACCGAGAAGCTAAACAGCAGGGGAGTGTATATTCTCCCCTGTCCTAAAAAGGGACTTGATTTACTGAAGGCCCTATCCCAGTGTCTCGGGGTGGACTGCGGTGCGCAGTGGAGAGCGCGAATAACAATTAGTTAGTATGTAAAGCATTAAATTAATGTAATTTTATCAATTTTTTTTTCTGAAATGGATTACTTGACATGCGATAAAATATATCGTGTAATTTTCAAAATCATGTTCTATATATACATTTTCGTCATATAATGAATTCAAAGTGTCAAAAATTGGCTACGGTTGGATTTTTTTTCTATTTAGCGAAGTTATTTAAATCGTGTATCGATCTTTCGAAATTGACAGATAAACTACTCAACTCCACCGTATATTTTTTCCATTCGCCCTTCTTCTAGAAACGATGACGAAATATGGACAGAAACAATGTACTTTTTTGGAGTTTGGCGATAGGATAGGTCCTTAAAAGGCTATCGTCGTATTTATTGTCGATGTTCCTAGTTTTAAGTAATTTGCAAATTTCATAAAATCTTCGCTATGTTGATAATTCCATCATTGTCACAGAGGTTCGTTCACCGCGTCTTACAAAACAGGTTGTGTGGAATTGAAAACAAATTTCTGCAAATTAGTTTTCAATATTTGCGATTAATTATTTTTATATTATTATGTATTAACAATTAAAATAATAGTACAATTACTCACAATATTTTTTATTTCGAAAAAAATTTTCCGTAAAAAATTTTTTGAGTATGCAACTTCAATCTTTCACTTGCCCAATTTTAAAAAAGGTCAGTACAAGATAAACACTCAAATTATAGCCTATAGGGAAGCCTGGACTTCAAATTATCGCATGTAGGCGAGCAAGATAGTACCCCTTCAACTTTAAATTATAGAGGAGACCAATTACATTGATTTTATTCAATTTATCGAGTATTTTTAAGATTCAAACTAACGATTATCAAATTATCTCATCGAGAGTCTACTGTAGCCACCAAACAAACCTCTAACCAATCAGAACCTTGAAATCTTCATGAAAAACCATCAGGTAAGACACTTACTCTGGTGTACACCGCTTGAATGTCATTCGTCAATAGCCAAAATAATAAATTAAAAATTTAATTCCCAACTAGTAAACGCATTATCTTAATAGAATTAAATACGTCACTAAATTACGTAGTTATAACCTTGAACTGGATTAAAAATATTTGTTTCTTTAATATTCGAACGGAAAAATGAAAATATGACCCTATGAATTTACCTATATGTTGCAGAATAATTCATTTCCTGTAGACAATTTATATTCACAATTCTTATCAACATGTAACAATCCAAAACTTAGCTTATCAGAAGAATTAATGGACCCATTATCAAATGATACCACAAGAACACTATTTAATATAATTGATTTCATAATATACTTTGATATTTAAATTTTAAAGGATCTTGCCAGGAATGTTTACAACAATGTTTCTAATCAATTAAAAACTCAACAAAATAAAAAAAATGTAGAAGAGATAAAAACATTATTTCAAAGATAAATAAATTTCATGTTACATATTCAAAGCAGGATGTAGGGTTCAAGTGTACAGGTGCTAATTAAAAATTTAAGTTGGTGCCTGGTTTATATTCCCGGTGATCCCAGCAGCAGGTGCTTTCCTCACTCAACGAATAAGTATCGCAATATAGCAAGGAAATGCTGCCAGCGTTAAAAGTACACTGCCACAGAGACCAAACTTTTAAAATTTGTTTAAATTTTCTATATATATTAATTTTTCATTATATATGTTGATTATTATCAGGTAGGTTAAGAATATTGTAAATACTGTATATTTGTGTGTTGAAAATAATCTGCATATAATCAGAAAAAAACAATGTGTTTTATTATCATGTAAATCTTAGATTAGCTTCCTAGTATAGTAATGATACTATAACTTTGCCAATAAACTTATAACACAATATTAATCTAGTAAGCTCAAAAAATACAATTCAATATTCATGCACTCTTCTCTTAATTGTATTTTTTTAACAGTAATTAATATGTTCAAATTCAAAACAGCAGAAACTATGAATCCTGCATGGCAAAACCCATGTTTGACAAATTCAAGTTATACTTAGCACTATGATCTTAACCATGAAGTTATCTCTTTATTACATAAAGGTAACAAAATTACAATCTTCAATACAATTACATATAAAAATGTCAAGGTGTATTATGCACATGTTTGAAACATAATAAAAAAGTTCAGCTCTAATTAACTTTTTATTATACAACATATATGAATATTATAGAGTTAAACTAAAGAGGCGATTGTGTTTACACAGTACTATCAGCACTCAGCCGTAACGCTGATATCGAGATAATGAATCTGACGTTTATAGCACCTAATAGCACAACCACTTCATTTTACATGGTTATAATCCTTTTAATATGTATATTATGTATTGTAAATTGAACAAACAAATATCCTTGAATTTAAATTGTACTTAACTTTTATACACTTATCTATATTTTATCTAAAAATCCATGATGAATTTTGGTGTGAGCTATATTTCATCTAAACAGGCGTACTCTTCAATCATATTAAATGGTATGCAGTTATCATATAGAATTGTGGTTGAACTTCTATTTATACCAGTTTATTTAAAAAATATATGCTCAAGGCTACTAAATTAATAGATTAGTACTAAAAAGCATAAATTTTTTACTATTTTAATAATTGTGGTTTAAAATGTGGATATAGTTTAAAATAACATTACATACATTCCTATCTTTTTCTTATTTTCCTATTCCTATTTTATTATTTTTTACTATTCTGTACATGAAAAACACTCGTTGAGGACTTCAAATTATCCCATTTTGGCGAGCAAGATACTATTCTTTCAACTTCAAATAACCAAGAAGACTAATTATCATTGATTTTATTAAATTATTGAGTACTTTTCAAGGGCAATGAAAAATCATTCAAATTAAGGATTGTCAAATAATCGAGAGTCCACTGTACCATTAAATGTAGGCCGTAAAAGCCAAACTTTTTACTAGTCTACAGAATAATAATTATAATTGGCAAAAGGCAATCAACTCTTTATATTGTAGATCAGTTAAGATTTCATAATTTTCTTTTTTTTAAAGGTAGACTGCACAGTAACAGTGGTTAAGTAAATAAACCTTTAAAGTAGTGATAAAAAAATAATTGTTAATACTTACTCATCATCTGAACTTTGGCCAGAATCATAATTGATGGGGAACTCCAATTTAGACTTCCATTCCTTGTCGCCACTCGAAACCATTTTACAAACACGTTTAATGAGTATTGAATACAAGTTTTATAAACGACATAACACTGTTTTCGTTTCAGTAATATTTAATGTAAATCAAACACATTGCATCTTTCACACATCACATGTCAGCGATAGTTTACCACTTTCACTAAAATATCCTCAACTAAACATTAACAAATACATGCCGGCATTAAATACTCTATGAGGAACTTTTAACATAATATTTTTAATTTTTAATACCTAACCTATCAAAGAAGTACACGGCCGCAACCAACGACCATACTAATCACTAAGGTACTCTGTGAGTCTGCCATCCGCTCAGTGATGCCAGCTTCTACAAAATGTTTCCCAACCAACTTCAAATACCTCTAAATATCAACTAAAACCTCTAAATTTTTTACTAAGAAATACATTAAAGTAGTAATAAGTATTAAATAGCGTTTGTAGTTATGCGGTTACATTTTACAAATTTATATATATTAATTATTGACCTAATAATATGTATTAATGATTATTTTATATGTATTGCTTGCCTATTCTTCCTTTAAATTAAGTTTTTCTTGGCATATATTTATTTTGCGGTTATCTAATTTTTAGGAGCATTTTGTACTTTTCTAACCGTTGATCTAATATTCCGATCGTGGGGTGAGTTATTTATTTGGTTTAGTTTTTGGATTAAAATAAAACGTACAAAAAAAGTGCGTTTTTATAAAATAAATTGTGCGTGTACTAGGTGTACACACGTAAGAAGTGAAACTTCTTTATGATCTTATTTTTCGAAAAATGATCTACTATATGCAACTTTACAGAAATTCGTTAAATTAGATAAAGTTTAACAAAAGGCTTTTATTATCATAGACATGAATACAAATATTTCATTTTACCTTATTACTACGAAGATTATTATAGAATTTCATTAATTGTAATAGGATTATTACTATCATTGAAAAACGTGACGATTTGCTACAAAATTTCTCCCATACGTCGATAAAGAAGTTTCATTCCAACGCCGATAAAGAAGTTTGACTTCAAAAAGCAACATGGCGCGTAACCGAAAAATGTGACGCGTAACGAAAACATGTTACACTAAATTTTTTTCCAACCTCGATAAAGAAGTTTCACTTCAAAAAAATACCTCCTGAACATCTGAAAAACCTCCAAGTTGGCATCACTGCATCCGCTGTCCGCATTTTGCTATGCAGAACTTTAAATGTTGCCAGTTTCTGGAAAGAAACTCCGGGTTTCAGACAAAATTCCGAAACGAATTTGTATGGAAATAGTCGCGTGACAATGGGTGAGCTAATGTCGTTTCTATACAAATTCGTTAGTTAGTTAGTTAAGTCTCAGTATTGCCAAATTAACTATTCGTAGCTGGTGCCAATATGCATATTAACTTAAAAGTACAAGGAAAATGTAAATAATTAAGAAACCCATTTTTCCATACAAACAAATTGAGATAAAATGAGTCAATAAATTTAATTTAAATTTTATACGTGCCAGTTCGGTAGGATTAAAAGAATACCTACAAACTTGTTAGTAACTTAAAAGAAATAACACCCACGAAGCCAATTTATCATTACCTACTTTAACCAGTATTTCACAATGTAAATATAACAAAGAAAAAAATAATACGTACTAGGAACCTTATGATACCATAAGTCACAAACTGCTCTTGCATAAACTATAAGCTATAGGCGGTACTTAATTGGCTGTGAAAATGTTTAAATGTTATTTAACAAATACTATGAACTAAGTAGTCCCTTATTTATTTAATGTGGCCCAGGGCTCGATTTTATAACCATTATTATTTTTTATCTACATCAACGGTATAAATGGAATTATGGATGACAGTCATCACTCAATAAGACCATTGAACAAGCACAGGCTGACTAAATGTCATCAACGAGTGGTTGATGACATTTAGGCCAGCCTAATACTTTTAAAACATATAATGTTATATTTACCGCTCTAAACAAGCAAATACCTATTTATACGTTTAACCTAATGGTTAAAGTTATATACAGGTATTTTTCTCGATTGACACTAAGCTCACAATTAAAACACAAACTAATTGACACACATCGTACTAAGGATGACACATCCTTAATTAAAGAAAAACACCACTGAAAAACTTTAAAAAATCCACGAAAAAACTAGAGAAAATATTGACAGTTAACTAACTTGGTCTTTGGTGAAGTACTACGTAATATATGCCGATGCAATCCAAGAAATCGAATGAAAACAGTTTACAAAACACTAGTAAAGCCCGATTTATACTACCTTATTGAAATAATGGGTAGTGCACCAAAAACTAGGCTTGCTAACCTAGACTGCAAAATCAAATTATAATAATATATCAAAACTAAAATATAAAAGCATTATTCCACTTTTGTCATAGAACACAAGCAGCAATAATATTTTGTGATACTGGTCCTTCACATCTAAAATTTGTTCAAATATCAGTTCTCTTGTATATATTCCTACACAACCATGTCCATTCGAATCTAATTATACCAAAAAGAAAAGAAAAAACATTAGTAGTCTGGAGTCTGACGGGCAAGCTATATCGCCTTGCCAAAAAATCGCACAAATCTACGGTAACAATCTGTTGATGATTGAGGGAGCGTCACTTTTTACATGACACATCACTATCTATAAAAAAAGGTCACGACAGCATGTCTCTATCTTTTATAGTTACGTCACAATAAGCGTCTAGTCGTTATTAATTTTTTTTTTATTAAAATACCACCGCTAGAAAAGGCTCTTTATTCGTACCTAGGTACAAGCCGTCGGAAATATCTGCGAACCTCGCTGGAATGCGCTTCCCCTGGCGCTTCCCCGCACCCCGCCCCGTTTTCGCCTATCCAGTACCGTTGCCAACGCAATCGCCGACGCACGTGTATTATTCTTGCTTTCGTAATCGCATTTTAGTGTTTATTGTTTCTCTGTTTGGTGAAATATTACATAAACTACCTATTTAGTGCTGTATGTAAGATGGGTAGGACTATACATAGTGCAGAGCGGAATTTAGTGCTCAAAGTAATCCAATTCTTTGAAAATGAAAAAAAAACACGGCTCTTTCACTGTGCCGGTTGAACAAGCAACAAAAAGGGCTTGTGCTGCAACTGGTTTATCTAAAACGACAATAATGACAATAAAACGTGAAGCAAAAAAAATACAAACAGAAACAGCGCGAGCAGCGAATATTCAGGAAGACATGACGTCCTTCGAAGATGGTGAGCATCCACAACCTAGTACTTCAGCTTCAGTTGCCACGGACACTATCAAGCTCTCGACACCAGGGAAAAAGCGTAAAAAATACAAAAAGAAAATAGATCTAGATAATTTTGATTTATGCGCGATACGCTCTTTGGTTGAAAGTTTTTATACCACAAGAAAAGAACTTTAACAAACTACTTTAAAAAAGATTCTTACAATAGCAAAACGGGAGCTCAACTTTCCCGGCCAAAAAGACGCCCTAAGAAACATACTAATAAATGATTTGGGGTACAGCTTTAAAAAATGTAAACGAAAACGCGATTTTTTGGTGCAAAGACCTGAAATAGCAGCCTGGAGAGCAAAATATTTAAGGCGACTGAAAGAAAATGACGAACGTGGTGCCGAAAAAAACCAGTTACATTTATCGACGAAACCTGGATACATTCACACTATACTGTCTCAAAATGTTGGCAAAATAGTAGTGATTCCAGTGTCCGAATAAATCACTCCCCCTGGTCAGCGCTGGATTGTGGTACACGCAGGTAATGAGAACGGTTTCATACAAGGAGCCGAGCTCCTATATAAGTGTAAATCAACAACCGGTGATTACCATGACGAAATGGATGCGTCCAATTTTACCAAATGGATTAAAGAGAAATTGATACCGAACCTTCCACCCAACGGAATAATTGTCATGGACAACGCGCCCTATCACAGTAAGCAGGCAAATAAGCCGCCAAATTTCAGTGCACGTAAAAACGAAATGCAAACATGGCTGCAAGAACACAACATCGAATTTGATGACAAAATGACTAAAAGAGAACTGTATATGTTGATTCAAAGAAATAAACCTGAGAAGGTATATTTCATCGATGAAATATTTAGAGCTCATGGACATGAGGTATTACGTCTGCCACCCTACCACTGTGATCTCAACCCTATTGAGTATGTTTGGAATTTGATGAAACAAAGGGTGGCAGACAAAAATATTGACCAATCAGAAAAAAGATATAGAAAGGTTAACAAAGGCAGCGATCCAAAGTATAACCCCGGAAGATTGGAAAAAAAGAATGCAACCATGTTGATCGCTTAAGAGATAAGTTTTGGCATAATGACAGATTATATGAACATGAAGAACGCGAATTAATAATTTCATTAGGAGGAGAAGACAGTGACAGCGAAACCGAAGACAACATTTTGAGTGATAATATAGAAGATGACGAAAACGACAGCGCTACCATGTCTGGTGTCGAGGCTTTTCTAGAATAGTTTCGCCACTTTCTCTTCCTCTCTACTTTTTCTTTGTATTATTTGTAAATTTGTAAATAATTTGAATTTTAAATAATGTAAATAATAAGTATTTGTAAATTTCAAGTAGGTACGAGTATCAATAAAAATAAGTACACAAATAAAATATTTTTTATTTTTACATCTTCAATTTTTTTGCTATCTCTCCAGTTTGTATGACGTCATTAAGCCAGGTTCGCAGATATTTCCGACGACTTGTATTGATCCTTATCAAAATAAATACCAACGTTTCACATAAGCTACAATTTAATGGCATAACCACCAAAAAAGCATGGTGGATTGGTGTTCTCCTGCCGTTTCTCTTAAATAGTTTACTACTATGTAATATAACAAAAATCTTAGCCACACAGCAACGCTTGGCCGAGTCTACTAGTTTATACTAAAGATATAAATGAAAAATAAACAGTAAGTCAATATCATTTAAACCGTTTTCCCCAGAATTGCCTACATCAAATTTTTATTTCTCCATTTGCCATGAGATTCAGGTAGAACTATAATTATTAGTCTGTCATTTATTTTTTTGGTGACCTATTAATAAATAAAAGGCGGGAAACTAATAAAAACAGTACAATTAAGTGATAATTAAAAAAATATTTACACAATACAACTAATTTGACATATTAACTACCTACTAAAATGTTTCATATCTAATATTCATTAGCTAATCAGCTATTTATTATTACTAATTTATTAATATATTAGGGTATAATTACATTGCCGCTTAGTTCTCTGTCTTGGCTGTGCGCAAGGTTTATTTTAATGCTCACCCATTTTCCTCATGTCCAGAGTTTAGTGTGTCGAGTCCCGCTTACGTAAATTTATTTCCACGTCATTAAACAAACGTACTCAGTAAGCAACTAATCAATTAATTATGTATCATCTAGCCAGAAAAGTAATATGGCCATACATAATTGGGGTAGTCGTATCTATATCCTGGCATCCAAGGCCAATAAAATTTTGGTTTGGGGTTGCCATATTGACTCTGTGTATTGCCACAGACTAGTAGAACATAAAAAATTAACACGGTTATATATTTTGGTCGCTTCATTATATATAATTCGTTGACCACGAAGTTTAAGGATTTAAATTAGGTTATGAAAGCAAAACACTAACAGCGTCGGCCTTTCAGCAAATCGCAAACAACAATGATTTCAAGTGCTTATATATGTAACGTGGTGCCGTACTGAAACAATACAGAAATTTAACTCGTTTTTATTACGATTTATTTCGATCGATCGATCTATTCGATCTTAATAAATCGTAATAAACTTCGACTATAAAAAATCTAACTTAAAAATAATGCGGATATTTTGAGGATTCAATATTTTTCATTATGCCATGATTAAAAATAAGTTGCATATTTAATGTTATAAAATTATTAATTATGTAAAAATTTACAAAAAGATTAATGTCTATGTTTACGCTTCTTCGACTTCAAATCAAATTTATTTTTTAGATCACGAATAGTCATCTCTTGGCTTTCGTTATTTTCGATCTCTTCTTTACTCTCGTCTTCGAATCTAGACTTACTTTTTCCAAGATCGAGCCAATCACCTGCTTTGTCCTTTTTCACCTTCTTTTGATAAACGACATCTCCATTTCGAGTCACGTAAGATATAACCGGTGTCAAAACTTGTCTGTTTTTCCTTTTTTGCTTTTTTTTACTTCTCAGTGCATATTCTCTGCTCGATGAAGTGCTTTCACTGCTGCTGGAACTCGACGAGGAATCTCTAAATTTCTTCTTCATCCTTCTTCGTTTTCTATGTTTTCTGTCAGAGGCTTTAGAGCGATAAGGCATGACTACCATAGGTAATCTCTGTTGAGGAATTTGAAAGGGAGAGTTGAGGTTCATAGGATGAGGTCCAATAGGCATTGCTCCGGAATGCATTGGCATCTGTATAGGTCCTGGCATTTGCATGTGTCCTGGCATTGGTCCCATTGGCCCTGACATTGGAGCTGACATCTGAGGGAAAGCATATTGGCCTGGACCTGGAAACTGTGCTGCGGTATCTATCACTAATTTTAGGATTACTGTTGCATGTAATTTATACATCTTCATCTGAAAACAGAGGCAGTATAATTAATACTACAATTCTAATAATTCACTAAATACTTAGACGTACTTTTGTACTCGTATAACGTAGATTAAATACCCTTTTTTGTCTATGTTTTTATAACTTCAGTATTGGTATGCAGATAAGCTTTGAGCGCGATAGGGAATGTTGGCAAATGCAAGAACTAAATCTCTTTTAAACGGTTTCAACGATTTTTACCAGAAATGAGCGTTTTTAAGGCAGTTTTTGTGGCTCACTACCACTATGTGGGACCAATTCCCCACTGAAGTATTTCCGAACCAATCGATCAAATCGATCGACTTAGGGTCCTTCAAGAAAGGAGCATACCAATTCTTAAAAGGCCGACAACGTACTCGCGAGCCCTCTGGCATTGAAAGTGTCCATGGGCGGCGATGTCACTTCATCACTTGAGCCTCCTGCCCGTTTGCTTGTTCTATAAAAATAAAATAATATAAAAGCGACGACAATTGCAAACGTGCCAAAGTTATTACAAAATAAGATATCCTTAAAACATCGCATCTAATAAAATTTGTACCTTCTAAAAATAATTTCTAAAGAACTCTACCATACTGCAAAATATGGTGCAAAAGACTGCAGCGGATTTGCCGTGCGTGTGCCTTTTATACCAGTTTAACCACTAGTTTCAACTTTCAATCACATTGTTAGGGGTTATGTAATATTAAATCTCATATTTGTGTAATTTAAATAAGTAGTTATATATTAAATTAAAGTATGTATGAGTTGATCTTACAACATAAATATATGACGCGGTAATGTTAGAAATGTACCTATCAACTTTGCTATAAAATTATTGCAGGCGCTTTTTAATTACGTAGCTATTGTTCCTGCCTGCTAATTTTTATTCTTATTGCTAATGTGATAAAAATCCTATTATTTTTTGTAAGAACATAATCCGATTATATTTTTATGCATGTAAGGGGAAATTCTGAGAAATAAATTTATTTAAGAAATATAAATTGGATTACACAATCAAAGTGCCTCAAAATGTTGAATCAAAAAGTTATGCAATTAGACGAAATCAACAATAGTATTGTCTGTTACATAATGCATTGTACGGTCCTTTGTTTTGCCACACAGGTGTGCATAAAATAGGAGTACAGCCACTCAGTAAGTTGTATTTAAAAGTGGCCTGGAAAGTCTAGTAGTGACAGAATGTGATATTAATAATTCACTCTTAATTGTTTTTATCCAAGAGTCATAATTTAATTGAGTTACAATGCGGAGTCGATTTTATTGTACTTCTCTTCTTTTATATCTATCATATACTGCGGCAAAGGAACCTGAGCTTCCACTATGCCCGACAAATATACAATATTTCCCTCAGAATCTTCCAATGCATTGCCGGATGCCAACTGCTGCAGATGTACAGAATAATCAAATCCCCTCTATGCCACCTTTTCCACCTCCGTTTTATCAAACCCCGCCACCGGGAGTGGATGCAGAACCAATACCCATACCAGTACCACCTGGAATGCCAGGAATGCCGCCTGGAATGATTGCGCCGATGCCCATACCAGGAGGCATGCCGATGCCTGGAAATATGCCGATACCTATGCCAATGCCAGGACAACCGGGGCCAGCTCACAAACTACCAGTAATAGTTATGCCTTTCTATTCACCAGACAACTCTTTCAAAAAGCCACAACCAAACCCTAGAAGACCGCATCCAAGAAAAAAGTTTCGCTTTCGTAAACGACCAAAGACACGATATTTTTCTGATACGGATTCGAGTTCGGAAACTGACACATCCTCCAATGACATCACTGACACGTCCGAAAGTGACGGTTGGTGGAACGGAAGACGAAACCGGAAACCTCGATCCAATAAACGTCATAGAGAAAAGAGAAGGAGGCATCAAAGACAAGAGTTACTGACTCCTGTATTGCAGTATGTCACTAAAGATGGTTACGTAATATTTGAGAAGAAGATAAGCAAAGGCGAGGCAAAGGATTGGTTAAAGGTTAAAAATGATGAAATTGAAGCAACAAAACCTCCAAAACAAGAAATAGACGAGTTTGAAGATGAACCCGTTGAAGTAAAGCCTGATAAAGAAATAGAAAAGGTGGAAGTGAAAACGGAAAGAAACTCTCAAAAACACCATAAAAAGAAGAAATTTAGACTTTCAAAAAAAGGTGAAAAGTAAAGATTAGTAATAAAAGTTTTAAGATGTATAAATGTTAAGATTTATAGTTTTGTAATATTTTATAAATGATTTTATTATGAAAATTTTATTTTTTATTTATTGAGATACAATATTATGTTTATCATCTCAAATCTACTTCCTTTGAGGCGATAAATAAATTTTAGTGTTTGATTTTCGTAGACAGTTAATATCACTTGATGCTTTTCGTCTTTATTAGATTTTGAAAGCTTATTGCGAGTCTTGTTGGCACATAAAACTGTAAAATAGGTCAATTAACCATATATTTATACAATAAAAAACGTCTTCTGTAAAATGTTGCCAATGGTAGATAGATTAAACAAGCACTCAGGCTACGACTACCGGAGATTCAACACTGATAATATCGTCCAGTTCATGGGCATTACCATAATTAAGGGTACAATAACGAACACAAAACAATAATATCGAATTTAGTAAACAGTATAGGAAGTAAGTACATTTTGAAGTTTCATATTTATTTTTAGAGATTTATGGTAGTTTATTTATAATATATAATAAAAATATCTACTTTGGTTAATATCAATCAGCCCAGAATCCTTGATGAAATAAACAACATTTACGTTTTTTTATTCTAAATTATATGTCTCTGTCTAATTTACTTTTTTAGGCAAGTTTGTAGTCAGTTCTTTGTGCTTGCCAACCTGCAGTGGCGGTTTTGCAAATTTTCAAGGTATAGGTTGTGAAGTTTTTGTCGCCCTTGCCTCTACAATTGTAATGTCCAAGATTGTTTTTACAATCAAACAATTTCGTTGAAATTGCACGTAAAATAATGTTACTGGGTTTGATTTTTTATTATACACAAACCATCCAGTTCGCAGCCTCCTCTAGAATATGTAAACTTGCTACACCAAATGTACAAGTGAGAGGAGAAAGCCATCGGCAAATTTTGTTGCAGACGTCTATCTGTAAAACATCAGAAAACCGGCATGCAGAAATCTTTTTGATTTCTAGGAGGTAGCAAAAAAAAATCGCTCCCCAAATTTGCCACCCTAGACTCAGCCTGCTGGAAGATGCGCCACTGCCAACTTGAAGTAACATTTCGCCTATAAATATAAATAAATATTTCTGTTCTTAAATGAAATTTGGTGTCATTCCTGTGTCATTAGGGCGTCAGTATAGATTTAACGAAACAAAAGGATATAATAAAAAAAAATTGGAGCTATAGTTTATTTGACTTCATATTTATTTGTATTATTTATGCTTAAATGATCCAGATCCTCTTGTCTTGGATTCAACTTACCTAATTAAGGTTGTTTATCTTCAACTGCCTTTATAATTTTCCATGCAAGGACATTCAAGGATCATTATCTGGATATATTTTGGATTCTGGATCATATGAGGGTTGGCGAATATCGTCGATTTATCGTCTTAAGAACGTATTGATATATTTATGTACTAATCGAGAGTTGCATACACATCGGTGTACAGTTGGGGTTTGAACACACGACCTCAAATCTCAGTATATAATACACACGCATAAATGCATAGTATGCATTAAAAGACTTAATACAGAAAAAATATATGCGTAATAAAGTCAAAGGAAAATCTGAGATATCGATTTAACGACCGAAAACATAATGTCTAGTTACACAATCAATATTCAGTGGAAAAGTCGTATATTGTACTTTTACGCACCACAATGAACACGGTTATATAAGAAAATTAAAATGTTCAGAGGCAATTGCATTCACGTAGAGAACAATCGAATTTTGCTCATCGAATATGCATTTTGTAAGTCTCATGAATAATATAATTAAATTGTATGAAAATATTAACCTTTTCCTCTCTTTCAGGGCTTAAATAAATGGACCATTATTTTTCTGATCGCATCAATCAGAAGAGCCAACGTACAAATGGCGTATCCCTTTTATATGCCGCCTCCTCCACCACCCATAATTGCTATGCCACCACCTATGCCTATCCCAATATTCGCCATCGAAATACCAGAGCAAACTACCAAAACTACTACAACAACTACAGAAAGAAGTGTGGCTATAGCAATACCAATTCCTGTGCCCATGCCAGTCCAAGTTGCCGTACCAGCTTATGGTCCCTCATATTGTGTAGCTTCCCCACGCCCGAAAGGCTGTCCACCATGTCCACCGTGTCTGTGCATGCCTCAGTGCACTCCAGCATTCTTTTCCTACTGCTCACCGTGTCATCAAAAATGCCGATGTCGCAGCCCGGGTGAGGCACCCGTGCCTTTACCACCAATAGCACCAATGCCTGTACCTGGACCAGCGTATCCTATGCCTGCAGCACCGCCAGTAATGGTTGTTCCGATGCCTCCAATTATACAATCAAGGCCGAGACGTCGGAGGCCAAGGCCAAGATCATGCAGTGAAGAGACCAGCGAAGAGACGAGCGACTCAAGCGACTGTGACTCTAGGCGGAGCAGGAAATTCAAACGACGAAAACTCAACATGTTGAGGAAGCGAGACAGTTCAGATAACGACCGTGAAGTTGTTAGACCTGTGCTGACTTACGTTTCCAATAACGGGGATGTCAAATATGAGAAGAAAATAAGCAACATCGAGGCCGATCAGCTTCTAGGTAGAGATGACGGAAGACGGTACCAGACAATGAATGTAATTACCAGAGAGAATGCAGCGAACAAACAGCAAGTTGTGGTAATGTCGGATGATGGTCCTCGGAGATATAAGCAGGTGATGTTGCGTAATGGAGTGGCGAGTCATGTTCTTAGCAGCGGGAAAAAAGAATTAGTGTTTCAGCCTCCGGACAATAAGAGAATTAGCAATTTATCAGTTTCGTTCCAAATAGCATAGATATTTTTGTAATATTTTTGTAATGAAGTAATAAACGTAATTCGTTACTTTTGTATATTATTTTTTATCCTAACTCTAAGAAACTCTATCTAAACTATTAGAAATTAAAAAGATATACAGATTATTTATATATATTATTTACCATATAAAAAAATAGTATATTATGGGTTCATTTAAGCGGCGGTTAAACAAGCATCTCCTGGACAGGCGTGCCTCCAATAGACCACTTCTCACTTAAAATCAGGTGGGATTGTGGTAAATCTGTCCAGTTCTGTATATTAAAAAACTCGTGATGTTCGAAAATCATTGGTGTATCGTTTATATATGATATGATGCTTCTCTTGATACTGGACTAAATATAAATTTACTGCATCTTTTAATTCATGAACAGAAAATATATGAAATTTTATTGTAATTAACACAATATTGTGTTATTTTACAAATGTAATCCAGTATTTGAATCTGCGTGTTCAATGATTCCACTTCATTTATCCTTATTTACCAAAATTATAGTTGATTTTTTCAAAAGCGAGACGTAACCGATTATGAAACAAAGACGGAATTAAACAATGAACGCGAAACCATTATATCAAAGGTAGATTCTGTATCCAACACAAGTAGTGCACACTATGCTTCTGTCAGTCATATTAATTTCAATAATCACCAGTGCTGCAATGCAATCGTCGCTACCACAAGCCTTCAGAGAGTTGTTTATGAAGGGAAGGGCGGATAATAGCACAGTAAAGTCAGGTGGGTGCTGTTTCGGGCAAGTCTGTACCAACCCATGTGTATATCCGGTGCAGCCAGCCCCACAGTTACCAGTAATACTGCCAGCGCGGACCGTGTACGAGCCTGTGGAACATGATCACCCCCCACTTGGGGAAATAAAGGATATAATTAGAGCGGAGAGACGTTATGAAAGAATTGAAAGCGACAGCTATAGTGATGACACAGATTCTGATGATTATGGGAATTTATATTATTAAAATTTTAGAATTTCAATACATGTTCGACTTTTGGGGGCGTGATATCAGAATTGGTGGACGTGAACCGGTGATTTTTTTAGAAATAATACAAGATGTAAGTTAATTAAGATTATTTAATTGTAAATTATATGTATAATTATTAAACATTATGCAGTTTTATTATTACGATTACCGCAAATTTTCGGTAAAACTTAAACAATTTATTTACATAATAACATTTAGTGACTTGGTCTTAAACGGTTGATTATAGCAAAATAATCACACATAAAAGACACAGATAGAAAAGGAGCTGATGGTATACTTCTTAGATTAGATTCCAACACAAAAAATACAACTACTTTAGCTAGCCGGAAGCAATACAAATAAAGTTTGTGTAAAACAGGCGATGTTTAAAATTAGCGAAATTATATAAACAAAAGAAAATACATAAATGTGACAATTATTATAAAACTTATTTACGTAACGAGATCGATGGTTTTTAATTTCTGTACCAGTTGTATTTATAGATAGAATGTCATTGGATTTGCCCTTTTCTATGTTAAATTACTAGCCAATTTAATATCTTTTCTGTACTTATCATCGAAAAGAGGTTGTGCTTGCGTAAAATCGCGCATATGTATTTTTTCCATGTGTAACGGAGGTAGAAAGGATTTAAAAACAAGTGCTAGTAGAACAGAGCCTATGATGAAGAAGAGAGCCTCTGCAGTGTGCATTACATGAGGCAAAATACCGTAGATAAGCCACAGGTTGCTTTTGCGTTTCTCATCCAGATCTTCTTGTTCCTGGAAATAATGTTGATAATAAGACAAATAAGCCAAAATGTCAATAAAAGTCAAAATTCATTTATTCGTCTAGGTAACACAATGTACACTTATGAACGTCAAAAAATAAATATACATTAAATGCTTTTAATTTTACATTTACTGCCAGTTCTCAAATCAAGGGCGTAGAATGGAAGAGAAGACTGGCAATAAACTCTCCGTCACTTTTTTTTCAATGTATCGTCAACAACGAATAAACCCAAGAGTTTCAGAAGTCAGAAGAAGAAAACCATTACGGTAATTTGAAATTTTACTTTTGATACTTACGATTTGAATAAATTTTAAAATAACAAATTGCTTTGCAAAACTCACGATTTTGAAGTAAGCTGCAGGTATTATCATGTCTGAGAAGGGGCTCGTAGCTTGGTTGAAGTTAACATTAGCAACTTGCACGTTCAATTGTAATGTTAATTTTGTAGCCATGACTGCGCCAAGTTTCTGAAAAAAAAAAACAACAAATTAATTATATATATAAAAAAATATATATACAAACTAGTTTTTGTTTGATTTGTATGCGTGTTATCAGTTTGTAGGTTTTAAAGAGCAGTATCAAATTACATTTCTTTTTTAAAGCATAAAGGGATTTTATTATATATTTAGTCAGAATTAAAAAAATATATAATTATAATATTCAATTCAATTCAAAATATTTATTCATATAGGTAACACATTACACAATGTACACTTATGAATGTCAAAAAAGAAATATATATGAAATGCTTCTAATTGTAAATTTACTGCCAGTTCTCAAATCAAGGCCGTAGAACGGAAGAGAAGAACTGGCAATCAATTCTCCGCCACTCTTTTTAATGGCCAAGGTTTTTGTTTTATACAACGTTTGTAATGAGCTGCAACCATTACACCATGTTCCACATGACATCTTAAGTAATAAATAATAATAAAATAAATTAAAAACAAAGATTTGTCCTCTATCAGCAGGAGGCATGGTGAAATAGGATTGAATAGGTGATTGAGAGGTGATTAGGTACATAGGTACAATAACGCTACTGTAAACTCTCTCTGCGAACATATAAAGCCTTCGACAGTGTCGGAGACAGTATTCAGTAGATGCGCCTTTGTCATCGGGGCTCAGTATAATCGACTGATTCTGACCCTTGGTATTGCAAGTATAGAAAGACTTAGAAGACATTGCGCGGCGAAGACTAAGACCTCTACTAATACATACACTATTCTTACAGTACTAACGATACAGTCATAATTAAAAATAATATTTAATATTAAATGCATAAGATATACAATATCGCTACTGGAAACTCGCTCGAACATATAAAGATGTCGATTATGTGGGAGATAGTATTCAGTAGGCGCAACGTCTTTGTTAACGAAGCTCTGTGCAACTGTTTCTGATCCTTGGTATTGCTAGTAAAGAAAGACTTAGAAGACAAAGGCGAAGATGTCTCATTTTTCAATTATTTATTTTGTATTATAAAACTATTTAATCGATATCAAAGTAGTAGCAATAAAAGGAGAAACGACTGTTTTTCACGGAAATGTTGTGAACGTTTGCCTACGTAAATTAATATATACGTATAATCTTTAACTAGGAAATTAAATAACTCACCGGATCGATCAGCACATCACTGCCATGAAGTTCCTCGTCAGGTTCTATGCCCTCAATCCGTTCGTAAAGTACGGGGTCGGCGTTCAAAAAGTGCGCGTTTGACAGCACAAAACTTAGACCTGAAATATTTAGGTATATTTTTAGTCTAGACAAACATTTTTAAGCAAGTTGGTCGCCCTTAACAATTATTTCTATACAAAAAACACAATCCTGTCTTAACAGGTGACCGAAAATAAACATTTACGCGTAATAAAAAATCACGTACAAAATAAAAAACAAACAGAAGAAATGAATTAGGAAAAAAACCAAACAAAAGAATTACCTACATAAGCAAAATTACTATAGGCACTAACAAATAGAAGAACTTTTGTCAGTTAGAGAACGTTAATCTAGGTAATACATCCCATGTGCCCTTTTCAGAAGGTTAGGCCTAACTACGAAGCAACGGCGGGCACTTTGAAGCTAAGGCACTGCTCATTTTTCCGATAGGAATCAAACCCCGTATGTTTACGCTGTTAATTACTAAGAAGGAAGACTTAAATAGTCAAAAACAGCTCGAAGACATATATAAAATTCTCGTGTCACTGTGGTTGTAATTAAAGTCCTCCGAAATGGAAATGGCGACTGATTATTTTGTGCATATCGGTTAGGTCTGCGAATCGAATAACATTTTTTTTTAATTACCCTAAATGTTAAGGATGGTCCCTACCTACCCCTAAATTTTATTTTTTACACAAAATTTTTTGTTTTTATTTTTTTATTATACAGCATACAAAAATATATACACCCATTGATTTTCACCCCTCTATGATCAACCTCTATCTTTTATTAAAGTAGATAGTTATTTTTATTGAACTAATAAATGTTTTTTAGAAATAATATACCCGACCAGGCAAAACAAAGTTTGTCGGGTCAGCTAGTATTATTATAATAATCGTTTTATGTAGGTACCCTGATAAAATGATCTGGGCGCTTACTGCTAGACCTACCGCATCGGTTATCTGCAATTCCCAATAGTGAATGCGAATGCTACTACAATATTGAGCTTTTTTAAAACAGTATCAAACTTGGTATCAATTATATTTCATGACAATTTTAATAAAAGTCTGTTGAACTAAACTTGTCTTTCGGCTACTGATTAAACCATTATGAACTATTGTATTATGAAACAAACAAAAACATTTTAAAAGCAATTATTAATATAATAATCATTAATTTTAATTGTTATTAAGGCTATTACTTTATCTTATCTTAAAATAAATCATTACCACTGGAACTGTTACCACTTGAAAATAACTCTGGAGAAAACTTTCGTAAGGATTATTTGGATGATTACGTTACTAAACAAAAGTTCTACATCTATAATAGATATATATTATAATAGGATAGTAGTACAGTCGATCTTTGGCCCAAAAATCGATTGCGTGACACAGAAGGCTTATACTTAATAAAGAAATACTATCACTGAAAAAAGATGTAAAAGTCTGAGGTCTCGAACAATAATGGTAATAAGTTTGTTTTATTTGGTGAACGCGCTAATCCTACTAAATAATAATAATAATAAATAGTAATTACATAATCTATTTATATAATATAAAGTCGTGTTAGTTACTCTATATATAACTCAAGAAAGGCTGAATCGATTTGGCAGAAAATTGGTAGGTAGTTTAGAACCAGGATATTTTATTCTGTTTCCGTAGGACGTGACATAAAACGTGGTATAACAAAAAGCATCAAACAGAAAAACGTAAAATTTATTAGGTCCTTACATATGAAATTGGCGTTTTGTATGGGAGGAACAAAAAGTCGAATATTTTTAAATATAATATATTTAAATAATCAAAGTATGAACCATTGTTTTCTATACACTTTTGCCATCTCATAGGTAGTTCATTGATCCCTTTACTAAAAAAACCATTCGGACGGGAATCAATAAAATCTGTGAAGGCGTTTGGACTGCCCCATCAGAGTTAAATTTTTTCCCTTGCAAGAAGTTGTCCAAATTTCGAAAAAAATGGTAATCTGTTGGAACAAGGTCCGGGGAGTACGGAGGATGTCTTAGACATTCCAATTGAAGCTCTTCTAAGTCGTCTGTTGTGCAGTGTGTGGTCTAGCGTTGTCGTGAAGTTGCAGTGGCGTGGAGCGATTGACCAGCCTAGGTTGTTTAGCCGCTAGCTTTTCCATCATGGTTTGCAATTGCTGACAATAGACATCAGCCGTAATAGTCTGGCCAGATTTGAGAAGACTGCAATGAACAATACCGGCACTAGTCCACCAAACGCTTACAAGTAACTTTTTGAGGTTTATTTTCGCTTGGGGCAGGATTTGGCTGGCTGGCCAGGATCCAACCATTACGCTGAGCGCTTCCGATTGTCGTAAAGAATCCATTTTTCATCACAGGTAATGATTCGGTTTAAAATACCTTCATTATTGTGCCGGTTCAGTAATGTAACGCAGCAGTCGACGCGCGTTTGCCGGTTTGCTTCAGTCAATTCGTGAGGTACCCATCTTTCAAGCTTTTTAATCTTCCCAATTTGCTTCAAGTGAATTAAAACAGTTTTATCACTTACACCGCAGCCTGCAGCTAACTCGAACGTGGTTTGCGATGGATCCGCTTCCACAATAGCCTTCAATACTTCATTATCAACTTGGGTCTCAGGCCGTCCACGAGGCTTGTTCTGCAGGTCGAAATTTCCAGAACGAAAACGTTGGAACCAAAAACGAACTGTGTTTTCTTTTGCAACTTGACCGCCATACACATCATTCATCCTTCGAGTCGTTTCCGCAGCACTAGTGCCACGGCGGAACTCGTACTCGTAAATAATGCGATATTTTAAGTTTTCCATTTTGTAAAATGAGTGACGCAAACAGAAAAAAACAAATGAATGACGGTCATCGAAGCACAAATACATGACTAAATAGCTGTACAAATTTGAATTTGGAATTCCTTACCAAAGAGGAGAACATCGTGATTAAAGTGGCCAGTACGAAATACGCCAATTTCATATGTAAGGACCTAATATAAGTCAAAACATCAGTCAGCAGTCTAGCCGTTAATTTGTTAAAAATGGTATAACAAAACGCAACTGACATCTAAACGTATGGTTAAGTATGAAATTTAGAAGTATTGAAAATTAGAAGTTTTAAAGTTGATCGGTTGATGTGTTTATTTCGATGCCACAAACTAAACGATTGAATCTTTTCCGAGAAAGCTGTAATGCAATAAATGGGTGGATCGATTTAAATGAGTGTTACTAAAAGGGATTCGAGAATAGTTCAGATTATTTACAATTAGATGTTTTTGAAGTTTGAAATTTTGTATTTAATATGTGTACAGGACAACGTCTTTCGTTTCCGCTTGTAATAATTTTAATCTTTCCGAAGCTGTTTTTATAGACTTGATAATAATATTATCTTATCTAAATCTATATTTTTTACTTCACAAGTATTAAATTTGCATTTAAATGAATATCTTAGATGTCATAAAAGTCAAAAATCATTTATTCATATAGGTAACACAATGTACACTTATGAACGTCACAAAAGAAATGTACATTAAATGCTTATAATTTTACATTTACTGCCAGTTCTCAAATCAAGGGCGTAGAACAGAAGAGAAGAACAGGCATGCACATTCTTGTGGGAAGAACACTCAAATACATAGTCGAAATAACTAGCATCACCCCATACACGAATTCAAGTACGACCACTCACCACAAGTAGCACCCGTTCACGAGTATGACGCATGGCCAGCCATCGGTCATAGTACTCCGCAACAAAATAATTTTCACGTATTGCTTACCGAAGAAACATGGTGATATATCGGAGACGCCATTAACACAGTCCTCATTCTTGCAAAGGCATATGTTATCTGTATTGTTTGAGTAGGAATCATCACTGAAGGAATAGCGGAAGACCTCTGGGCCAAAGTCCATGGCCCTGGTGTCTCGATATTGAAGGTTGAAGATCCGGCAAAACACGTTGCGGTAGAGACGTAGCGGTGTGTCTTCCGTGAGGTCTGGTGGGTATATGATACCCTCATATGCATCTACGAAGGTGTTACAGCGGGACCTATAAGTTTTCGAGATATTTTGTGAAATAAAAAACTACACAGTAGATGCGAAAGGCGAAACGACAGCGCGTACCGTATGATTCGTCAAATGCATCACTTAGTCTAAAAGTCACTTAGTCGCTCTTCCACCGTGCACCGCGTTCTGCAGTTCTCGGCACGGACGCTTCAGCGGGTGAACAGGGGTTCACGCGTCCAAGACAAGGGATCGCATCCTTGCAATATATATATAATTGCAATCATTCCACATCATTCATGGACAAAGGGCGTGATTTTTTTGTTTACATTGCGTTTCGTTATTGTAAAACAAAAATAGAACCAGCCAGCTTTTTGTCACCCGATGAAGATAAATATATAATATTCCGACTGCGGAAGATATACTGCAGCTGGCACAGGACAAGACACACTTCTCGAGACTGACGGTCAACTTCTAGTAATGCCTCTCACCAAAAGAAGAAGAAGATGAATACAATTATTGCAGTTTTATGACTTAAATTAGTTTATTTAAGGCCTTCGTAAGAACAGACTTACAACACTGATTTTAAGGGTTTCAGATTTAATACTCACGGTTTGACATCATAGCCGAGTTGGGTAAGTCCAGCTTCACCATTATAGGTTTTAATTTTGAATTTATCTTGATTTGTTGATCCCACTTCAAACCTGAAGTCGTCGATGTCATACAGCTGGAATAAATAAAAAAATATAAATAAATAAAGTATTCTTGTAGATACGGTAGCTTTATAAACGTAAATAAAAAATTAAACGACTCTACATGTACTAGCATCTCAAATTTAGGCGTAGAAGAGAAGTGAATGATAAGCAGAGAGTTAGCTAATGATTTATATATAATATAAAATAGCAATAAATGGCACTTTCACAAAGTCTTTAAAATGATAATAGGTTTTCAGAATAGACAAAAATATAGTATGTTTCTATGATAAATGTAACTTGGAAAAATCATAGAATGTTATGCTTCAGTTACAAAAATTCGAAATAAGAGAAAAAGTTGAGATATAATCTACTTTGCGTTATAAGAATATTAATTAAATATTTTATGTTGATACAGCTGGAATACAGCATTATACGTATATATTAGTCGACATTATCGACATAATATAGCGAAATTAGAGAATTATCACTGAATAAATTCAAAACTCTCGTTAAACGTAAATTAATCAATAAAGTTTTATAAATTTGACGATTATTTAACCTAATCTTTGGGATATATTTGCTCCAGCTCAATTCTTTAAAGCGATTAAAAGAAATGGCGGAGAGGTTCTTGCCAGTTCTTCTACCTCGCTCTACGCCCTTGACTTGCGAACTGGTAGTACATAAATGGAAATTTACAATCAATTTAATATATTTTCTGTTGACGTTCATTGTGTCTTTATTTTGAGTTTATCAATTACTTATATTGTAATAATAAACAACTAACCTAACTTAAACTTAAATTTTCTCACTCAGTGAATATAATTCTAAAATAAAGTATCTTTAAACCGAAGAATAAAACACTTATTTACGTACTCTATCTAATAATCCCATTTTCTCGAATTTAATGACACCAGGCATGACCTTATGGCCAAAGTTGATTAGGGGTTCATCAAAACCCCACAGGAACTCATGAGCAGATATCTTCAGAATTGGTTCGGACTCCAGCTGTTTGGCGAGCATATTGAACCCAACTCTCGTTAAAAATGCAGATTTGGACACCATTGATGCTATAGCCTGCAAAATCATTTCTTAATTCTCTACCATTGAATAATTTATTTATTTTAAGTTCTGATACTTGGACATATTTGAGAGCAGTGTTGGCCTAGTGCCTACACCGCGCGACTCTCATCCCTGAGGTCGTAGGTTCGATCACCGGCTGTGCGCCAATGGGCTTTCTGTATATGTGCGGATTTAATATTCGCTCGAATGGTGAAGGAAACATCGTGAGGAAACCGGCTCGTCACTCTTTAAAGGATAGATTTACGGTAGCTACGATATACTTTATTTATTAAATAAATATTATAGTATAAAGTTAAATATATCTATTTAAAAATATATGACTACTATAACTAGCATAAATCTTACAAAAATGAAATTATAAAATATTACACTTCGAATTTTAGATTTTAGTAGTAATTTTTGCTTAACAACGCTATTTTAAATTGATCAGCCCACTACCGAATATAAGCTGTGGATAAGTAGTGTTTATTCTGTTAAATTCGCGAAGAATTCGAATGAGTATTTTGGGACAGATACAAAATAATTTCATGCAATTTTAATGGTGGCAAGTTTCGTCATGTTTTATCATCTCTGTTCATTGTCATCCGTAATTCCCAATTACGTTTCATCATTTCGATCGCCGTGGGATTCGAACCCACTATCTTGTGAACATGTTGAAGAAAATAGCACTAATAATGTTTTGGATTGTGCTCTCCTATATCTGGATGACCACAGATTCCCTCACATTAGTGTAGAAAAATGTTGTTAAGAATTTTAAACTAATAGACTCACCAACATGGCAATATTTGGAAGGGTAAGGTGTACGTCTTTCGGATCCGCCACTGACTTCTCAGGAACATATCGGGGAAAGAGCTTTGGAGAATAACTCATTACTCCTAGTTCTTCATCCAACTCGAAATCGGCATTTGTACGATATTCCCTAAAATATTAATTTGACCTTTCAAGACTCTTCTTAGTTCAGAGTACGCACGATATGGTAATTCTTTTACAGATTAAAATTGACATTACTAGAAAACTTCTGTCTATATATTTAAAAGTCAAAATCATTTACTCATGTGTGTAACACAATGTACACTTATTAACGTCAATAAATAAATACAAATTAAATACTTCTAATTTTACATTTACTGCCAGTTCTCAAATCAAGGGCGTCGAACGGACGAGAAGAACTGGCAAATGAGCCCAACATGGATACGGTGCGCGGTACACAATGGCTTATAGATACCGGCAAACATCTTGAACAAATGTCCTTGCCTGCGCAGAAGTGATTATTAGGCATCACTGGGAGGGGGGACGGCGGGTGGTGGTGCACCGCGGCGGCGGGAGAGTGACGTGTCGCACGCGTGATTGATAAATCAGTTGACGTTTGTGTCCCGCGCTGCGTCCACGTTCCTTTGCCTCATAAGTACACTGTGACATATATAGGCTGGAATGTATAATTAATAAATAATATATTCTTTCATTTTTTTCCTGGTATGGCTTGAATCGCACTTGGCCGGTATTCATTTCCTGTTATCATATTTTAGAAGGTAGTAAAAATTATATTTAACAACTCACAATCATATCTGATATACACTATCAGTCTACAAAAATTAAAACTAACAATTTTTAAAGTTATCTACGTAAAAAGTATTCTACAGTTAAATAAAATAGTTAGACACTTTTTTTGCTCATATGTGTACGATGCGCAAAGTTTCCCCCACTCTCTTGTTTAATGCTCAAGAAGTTTGCCGGTATCTGTAATAAAACGCTAAGTTCTATATTAAAGATACTCACTGGTATGTAAATGGCCCGACTTCTTCAACCTTCAACTTAGTATCTATTCCCGCTAGAAACAGATCAGCGTTAGTGATATTGAAGAGGTAGGCCTGCACGTATGCCCCTGGAAGATTTGGCTGCTGCAGTACTTCGTAGAGCATCGAACCTTTATTTATTCTTATTTTCTGAAAGGGATATATAGAGTTTAATACAAAATAAAATATATATGGATATTCTTACATAATTTACAATTTACAGAAGTGCACTTTCTATTGAATGCCCAAGAGCGAATGTAGTGTTCGCTTCATTCAAGGTTAGTGGAACAAAACCTAAAACCAATACCTACATATTTTCATGAATTACTATCGTCGTTAAATTTATTCATTTATTAACCAAAATACATATACTTTGCTTACAGTACTAAGCTAATACGATAATTTCGAATAATGTTGATAGCTGTCGGAAATATCGCGGATATCATTTAGTAAGCGCAGCGTCTTACAACATACTGGTTCTGGCCCTTAAGCGGGCCAAAGACTGACCGCATGTTGCAGTCAAGACCTACTGCAACATGCGGTTTGCTCAGGAACTGCTCGAGCGGTCCGTGTATTGCGAATATGAATTTAGTATTGAAACTGTCTATGGCCCGCTTTAGTATCGCAAACAACCTAGGCCGTCGCCGTCGCACATATTCCTTAAGTACAAAGAAACCGAGTTCTTTATTTATTTATTCATGTTTACCTCATCATATATTACCCTATATTTACGGTATATGTTACAAACTATTTTATCTAAAATGTACATAAATGTTACAAAAAAATACAATAAGAATAATAGACATTTTTTATAGCACAGCGCACACAAAAACAAAAACAGCGGATTAGGTACGAGATAGGCACTTAACAATGCTTTCTTTAAAAATTGATCAGCCCATTACCACATCCAGCTCCGGATAAGTACTGTTTTATCCGTTGTAATCGACAAGAATTCGAAGAAGATGTGCCTGAACTCTTAGGTTTTTGGAGACTGAAGTTCTTGGAAAAAACTTGGATAGAGTTAAAACGATTATATACAATATGTACAAAAATGTGCAATTAATTCATGATTTCTTAAATGAATGTGAAGTTTTGTAAATAAGCTTCCGTTTATATCTTTTAAATAGTTTATTTAAAACTATATAATTTCATAATAATTTACTTTGAACTTAGTATTGCACTGAATTGTTTTTATAGGTACGCCTCCCGCCTAAAAACTAGCTAAAAGTTCATTTAATTCAATTGAGTGATTTGCAAAAACCTTCATTGTTTTCTATTATAATATTTTTATCGCAGTGATAGATAAAACTATTTCATCAATGCATGCTGTTTCAGACAAACGCTTGTTTTTATGCAAAACATGAATAAGTAACAAATTTTCTTCATAAGCCCAAGATTCAGAGCCGAGACTTGACGCGACATATATATCTATATATATTTGTGTATGTATATTGTATATGTCACCGGAATATAACATACAATACAATTTTTCTCTCGTTTAGAATAAATTTCCTAGGGAATTTATAAACTTACGGATTTTGTTATCTAGCGGTGTCATATATACTCAATTCGATTCTAGAGTGCAAGTGCATGTAGCAATATCAATGAGTCACTATAACTTTCCAAAAACCCTAACCCTAAGATTTCATGTAAGCTTCTCCGAAAGCCGTACAGTCCCGGTGGTAGAAATTGCTGAGGCGCAATACAATGTTTTGGTCTTCATCAAAGATCTATGATGCAAGATATGCCATCCCAAATAGAGCCTTAAGGCTGCGCCAACACACCCAAATACGATTGCTAACTTTAATGTTAAATTTTTGCACCGCGCATGATTGTGGTAGACGCCACGACTATTGAGACAACTACTCCGAAATTGCACACAAAAACGCTGCTATTATTAGTTACAGAATATTGACTTTAGTTTCTTGCATCATTCTCGGTTTAAAAGTGATTTACGATAACATTAAATTATGTACGATTATATTTATTACCCGCCCCTGTTTCGCACGGGTAATCGTGACCCGTAAACCTTGAAAAAATATATACCTTCCTGATGAATTGGAAACAAAACTACGTTCTATAAAAAACTTTTCAACGTTTCACTTAAATGGGTTGTTGTATACAAGAAATACACAAATAACGTGGTTTTCTATTGGTAAAAGAATTTTCAAAATCGGTTTAGTAGTGTAGGATTTTGAGCAAATAACACTGTATTTTGATTATAGTGAGTTTTTACTTCGTAAATATAAAACAACGTGTATCATGGAGATATGACTCAAGACTGAACACGAAAAGGAAAAAGAACAGCGCCACACAGGAAGGTGGCGAGATTCAGCACTAACTAATGTTGCGTTCCATTTCTATCAACTAGAACCAGAAGTTATCAACCTAACAAACTTCACCTCTTAATAATATTATAGTTAAGATGCAGTTATTAAATTTTTTGTAATAAAGTCATACCAATAATTCGTGACTATATTTTAATCAACTCAAAATAATGACATCGTCAAACTAATAATTTTTCATTACACTCATTACTTGTGTTATAAAAATAGGCAACTAATGGACATACCTTAGTCAAATTTAAATATTTGAATGTCCGTGAGGCACACGTTATTTCTAAAGATATTACGCACATATATTTCTGCGTCGTCCATGATAAAGGTGATATGATCTAAACCAGTGATTTCCAACCATTTTTGTACCATGCCCCACCTTTTTACAATTCTTATGTCACCCGATTCTAACATAATTTTTAATATTAAAAACTGAATTGTTCACTTTAGAATCTCAAATGAAAAAGATTTTAGGAAGATATTACCTACTAGGAAATTGTTCACGAAACACAGTAAGTAAATTTTCAAAACATAATAAAAAAAGAAAGAAAGGAAAAAATCTGCAAGAATAATTCAAATTTCAAATAATTTTAATAAATTTTCGTATAGCCTCAAAGCCGTAAAGTCTTAACAATCAAATTGCCCCTGTGGGGCGTAGGCCCCACGTTGGGAAACACTGATCTAAACGCTCAAACCTTTCAAGTTTTAGTTTAATATCAACGCGAACTAAGATCACATCTTAATCCATAAACGTCACTCACTGTAATATTAACGAAAGTCTTTTCAAAAGAATAAACAATAATGACATCGCCTGATGAGCTTCAACAGCAATAAATATTATGTTCTAAGGATATTAAGAGAACTATATCAAAATTGCATACAAAATATGTTGAGGGTAGTTAGTCAAATCGCGACGGTATTTAAAGGTTTTTTTAAAAAGTAAACTTTATTAAAGAATATTACACTTGGTATTCTTAACTATAGTCGATGTTAGACTCTAATTCTAAGGTGGTCGATGTTGACCAGGTGGCGATGCAAGACCCTATTACTACGGTGGTCGATATTAGACTGGCTTTAATATAATTCTATTCTTACAGCTAAAAACCCTTACATGATTACTAAGCATTCGTGGTACATGATAGAATAATAAAACTATGCATTCATTGTAGTGATTGCATTAACGCTTATGGTGCGTTCTGGGTATATGTGTGACATTGTAACTTTTCCCTCCTTAAGCTCGAAATCATCTGAAGAACAATTTTTCGGAGGATGGTTTATGCCAGAAAGGATATAAGACTTAAAATTAAAATTACATATAGAATTATTGTCCCTAAACTGACACTATTGGTTTTCACTACACTATCACTTTGATTTTCACTGTTTTGTAGGGCGTATGATAATACTTTTAAATTGGTTAAATCAACCCCATTAAGCTTAACAGGATTAATGTTGCTCTGGATACTGATCTTCAAATTTTCAGGTAAATTTACTAGCGGCAGCTTTTGAGATATAAGCTTCTCACCGTTCATGTATTCTTAAATTGTGATTTGCAATGTTATATTGGCATTTATCTTCTATGGTTAATAAGTAGGTATTTATGAGAGTGTAATGTAAAATTTCACTATCACAGGTTCTAACCAGATCTACAGGTGATTTAGAGTAGATTATCCATCGGTTAATATGTAAAAGTTCTACTTTAATTTCTTCGAATTCTATTGGATATGTTTGCAAGAGACGTTGTGAGAATATTTCATGAGGTCCAGGATACAAGTGTCTTCAACAGGTACCATGGTCTGCAGCTCATCACAGAGGTATATTTCTTCTTCTATATTCTTACATGGTGTCGACAGCGATTTCGCTTTCAACCCCTTCGCAATAAGGTAGGGATACTTGGGTAATATTATTAAGGTAAGGTTTGTTTCAGGTTGGGTGATAGGTAAGGGTACAATTTTATAATAAAAATAAGTTTCTTTCTTAACTAAGGGTATTTCTAATACTAAAGTAATAACATTGTTCTTAAAATACGATTTCAATGTCATGGACTGTTGAATTCTTACAATATTTTCAGGAATTACTTTAAATATCAGCTTATCTGTTTTCTCTGATTCTAAGTACATTAATGAGTTGATTAGTATTAATTATAGATTGATGTAATACGCCCATTCTACTGAATGCTAAAATGTTTTCAATCTCGGTCAATTTTGTGTAAATTATTTAAAAATTATGTAGGAAAGAATTATAGATATGTGTTATTTGGTTAACATGTGAAATAATTGAAATATCTTTAATATTTTTATTAATTTTATTAATTGCATCACTTAATTGTTCGAGATTGTTTGTAATATTTATAGTAGAGTTTGCAACAAGTCTTATCATTTCGGATATAACAGTAGTTTTCTTTTCCAAAGAATGTTCACGTGATTTTACGTTTTTTATTAAGTTTTCATATTTAATAGCATCATCATAATCCAAATTTCCTGTTATCATTTTAACTAGAGATCCCAAAGGATTAATGAGTCCTCTTTTCTGTCTATTAATTGGTACAATTTCTGAATATTTGTTTAATGTAATATTTAACATATAATTAACTTGAAGCTTAACATCATTGAAATATATTAACGAAGGGCTACTGGTATTAAACTGTAATTCTACTATTCTATTTAGTTCTATATACCTATGCATATTAAATTCTAATTCTTCCTTAATAAGTTTAATATCTAATGTCTTAATTACTATCCACTTATCATACGTAATCATAGCGGTTCCTTCTCTGAGAGAGGGAGAACGCCTGGATTCTTCTCAACTTTTTGAAGTTGAAGGGCCCGGATCGTTACTGCTTGGGTCACTAGCAGGACGAACCTGTGGGGGACGTTTTATGTCTTTTATTGGAACGTTTTTATCTTTTGTGCTAGTTTCTACCAATACTATATTTCTTTTTATTTTACCCTTAACTTTTGCTTTTTCATACCTAGGCTTATCCTTGCTTCTATGTCGATTTACACCTTTAATAAAAACATTATCACCTTCATTTAAATCAAAATTAGTTTCTCCTACTCTACTTTGTTGAACTTTTTCTTTCCTAGTTCCTATTTTATCGGTTAAGTATTTGTATAAGTAGTGAGTTCTTTTTGCATGATCCCTAAGTAGTTGTTGAGTATATTCTTTATCAAAATTTAAATTGAATTGATTGTTATTTTCCGTGTGACCAAATACTACTTCAAACGGAGTGAGAGGTCACTAGGTACTGAATGGATTGTTTGATTGTAAGCCATTATAGCATAAGTCATCACTGATGTAGCATCTGTGAATTTATGTTCCCCCTTTTTTTTTTTTTTTTTTTTTTTTTTTTTTTTTTTTTTTTTTTTTTTTTTTTTTTTTTTTTTTTTTTTTTTTTTTTTTTTTTTTTTTTTTTTTTTTTTTTTTTTTTTTTTTTTTTTTTTTTTTTTTGTTTTTTTTTTTATATTTCTGCAAGTCTATATATTTCTAAAATTGTGGAATGGAATCGTTCTATTAATCCCATTGAGTTTGGATTGTTAGGGGTGCCTATGTGAATGTCTATTTTATACAATGTCATTAAGTCTTTCATGAGTTTATTATTGAATTCAGAACCAGGGTCTAAACTGATTTTAGTAGGTACGCCGTAGAATGAAAAATACTTTATAAGTGCCCTGACTACTTCAGGTGTTGTTCTGTCTGGGATTTCAAAAGCTTGTGCTAACTTACTAAATGCGCCTAATATGGTTAAGTAATATTTTCCTTCTATGGAGAATAAATCTATAAATAATTCTTGAAAAGGTCTTGATTGAGTTTGTGTAAGTTGTAATTGGGGTTTAAATGGTCTACGATCGTATTTCATACGTTTAAAAGTGTCGCATGAATTTATTAAACTGGTTACGGTTTCTTCTAAATTTGTCCAAAAAAAAACCTTTTAAATGAGAAATTGTTTCTTTAATACCTCGGTGACAGGTTTTGCCTACGTGATACTTCATTACTATTTCCTCTTGTTCTTTTTCGTCAGTGACATTAATTACTCTTTCAGTGCATTCATAAAGCTTTACAGTTTTTTTCTAAATAATGAAATTAATACTTGTGTGAATAATTGTCGGTGTGCTTTATTTTCGTAATAGATAAAGTATTTAATTTTGGGTCTAATATATTCTTTAAGAAATTTTTTTATTAACTCGGAATTATCTAGGGGTAAGTGAACCTCTAAAATCTTTTGCTTGGGATGTGAACGAATTTTAACTGAAAGTTCATTTTTAAACCATGGGTATATTAATATTTGGTTTGGTTTTGTATCTATAGCTTCGTAAAGTATGGGAATGCCATCTGTGTCCATATCTTCAGCAGAATGTGCTGTATCTGTACTAGAGTTTATTGTTAATGTACGTGATGATGACCTGGAATTAACTCGAGATGGAATAGACCTAGATACTTCAGAAAAAGACATAGAGTTACTGTTATCATTTTCAGGTTCTTTACTTTGGTTGTTTTGTCCTAATCGTGTTATAGAATCGGTTAATTCTTGAATATAGTCATCAAGATTTCTATCAGAGTTTCCTACATTTACTTTCATTGATTGATTATCTTTATCATTTTTACCTAAAGCATTTAATTTAATACGCGAGAGAGCATCAGCATTGGTGTTTTGCTTTCCATTCTTATGAATGACTTTAAAGTTGTATTCAGCTAATCTGAGTTTATATCTAGTCAATTTACTATTTGGTTCTTTAAGGGAATCTAGCCAAGCTAATGGTCTATGGTCGGTATAAATTGTAAATTTTGTTCCATATAGGTACGGACGAAAGTGTTTAACTGCCCATACAATTGCTAATAACTCTTTTTCTATAGTACTGTAACGTTTTTCTGTGTCATTCAAAGTTCTACTAGCATATGCTATTGGTTTATCACTGCCTACTTGACCCTGCGAGAGTACAGCTCCAAGTGCATAGTCTGATGCGTCAGTTGTCAAAATAAAAGGCTTTGTAAAGTCGGGATATTGGAGTAATGGTGCGTTAACAAGAAGTTCTTTGCATTTTTCAAATGATTTTAAATAATTTTCATTAATTACAATTTTACTGTTCTTTTTTAGACATGCTGTCATGGGTTGTGTAATCTTTGAGAAGTCTTTTATAAATTTTCGATAATAACCAATAAGTCCGAGAAAACTCTTAATTTCTGTCGTAGTTTTTGGTACTGGGTAATTAAGTATAGCGTCTATTTTGTCGGTATTGGGTTTTAGTCCGTCAGGTGTGATAGTATGTCCTAAGTAATTTGTTTCTTTGCAAAGGAATTCCGATTTATCGAGTTGGACTTTAAGGTTGGTCTTTCTAAGTCTGTCGAATACTAGTTTTAGTTTTATTAGGTGTTCGTCGAGACTAGATGAAAAGATAATTATATCATCTAAGTAAATT